TAATGTTCATAGGTTAAATAGTTTTCGAGATGTCGTGACTAATAAGCGAGCATTTATATGTATATCTGCCCATAACCCCCTCGATCCAGCCCTGTCGCAAAATTAGTTCTGAGCTGACACGTCCTGTTCATAAACTACCTTTCTGTCAAATGTCATGTTCATAAGTCAAATAGTGTTTTTCTACAAACTTGAGAAGTGATAAGGCCATAGTAATATATTCAACCTCCTATCCCATCTTGAGGATATACTTTCTCAAAATCTTTGTTAATAGGAATTGAAGGGTACAGGGAAAAAAAGATGAATGTCACAAACTTGGTGTTTAGTAGTTAGATCCGGCAACATGTAGTGTTAGCCCAGTAGAATCCTAGAATCCCATGAGGTATCGGAAACACGCAAAAACAACGACAGTCTGTAGTTATACCCAACTGAAAACTTGCAGTGCATGGAAAAAAAGATGAATGTCACAGCTGTTGTATGAAAAAAAGATGAACGTCCACTGATCGTCACCGAAACTAGTAGCTACTACAACAGTTTACCATACACTCATCTACGATGAAATAAATAAACGTTACCTAATCATTTTTAAGCAGTTATCATTAATTTTGTTTGGTTTGTTCGATATTTTTATGAATAAAGCTTTTTTTGGTTCATTGTTTTTCCATTTCCCAATTAAAAAAATATTTAGAAATTTTGTGTTTGGGCTATTGAAGTTAGAAAATCACCTTTTTCTCATGTTGTAGGCCCTGTGTAATAAATTTCCTGTTAAAGTAGTTCTCATAGAACAGATCGTAAAACCAGAGGTAGACATTTTGCTGGTTAATCAACCCTGAGATTTTAGAGGGTGTCGCATATGACGAAAGGCTCACTACTGACCTCAATATCCTGAATTTAGTCATACACATAAAAAAGTTTAAAATCATAAGGATACTCTCAAAATACCGAAATTAAAAGGATTTCCGGTAAAAATGTTTGGTCTGCTTTCATTTTTTTAATTATAATTTAACTTTCTCGGAACTTGCTTTTTGTGAGTTTCCCCTGTACCCTTCAATTATTTTGAAGATAAAGTTGAAGACAAAAGATACTCCTACTTTTAAGCTGGATGAAATTGAAATATTCTAAATTCTCTACAAAAACTTGAAATGTGTGAAACCTCACTAAGTGGTGGAATTTACAACATTTATTTTTAAGTGCTCATTTACACTGTATCAAAGAACCGAGCATATAAAACATACATCTATACCTACGTCTAGCTTTAAAAAATAATATTTTCCACATTGTACCTTTTATCCCTTACTTCAACTCTTTCAAGTCTAATTTCCACAACAAAATATCCGTCTCCAAGGTCTAGTCTATATAGGTAGGTATATTCTTATCTATCCAAGTCGCATACTTGCACACTTTCACATTCATAATAGGGATAAGGATAGTACGAATTTCTTGCATAGCACAAGTGGGAAGCGAAAATTTAAAATATTTGGACAGGTAACTTCGCAATAAAACCTCTACCGCGTCACATCAGCAAATCGAAAACTACTTTTGTAGTAATTTATATTGAGTGTAATTTATAATTAAATTACAACACAAAACAGAAAAATATAGGGTTCGTTTTTTCAATTCGGAATAAAACAGATCGCCTATAATAGAAATAGAAAACCACATCTGGATCAGTACAGTAGCAGAATTTTATGTTTCTTTTGGACTAATAAAGCTACCGTTACAATGCTTTTTTTAATATCCAATATTCCAGTATTTTTGGGATATGCACATTAGTAAAATGTTTGTAAATAAATTATCTATGTATACTGAACTAACTGGATCTTCCCGGATGAAATGAAGAATGTGCAACAGCGCCTATAGGGGACTCCGCATTTCAGCGCCAGCGTTATAGTGCAGTAGAAGTGGAAAAAAATGAATATGCAAAATATGAGTAATACCACATTCTGCTAGTGGATAATGAACCAATAGCCTGAAGAATAAAAATCCGAATCTTTCCAGTTTTCCTTTTGGTCCGATTTTTCACTCGCACCTCTCATTATGGTATTGTAATCGCGAAAAATTTCGAAAATGAAATACTAATCATGGAATGTTTATACGACATGCGCATCACGAAAAACCATTCATTCATTAGCGTCGGCGTGTCTGTCTGTATGTGCTCCAATCCTTGGCCCGTCTATAACTTGAGAAGTACCGCTCCGATTTTGAGAAAATTTCTTACAAGGACGAAAATGCAGCAAAAATCGTTTCAACTCGATGTTTTGACGTTTTAGAATAAAATTGTAGAGGTTGAAAAATGAATTGAAATCTTTTGATCTTGACACGACCGCCCGACGAAGCGGTTCGGCTGACTAATCTATCCGTACTGCAGCGCCAAAATGATATACACACGGACCACGCACGAAATGAACGATAACTTGCTGCAGCGATGCCGCGCAAATGTGGAAAGGGACAACGTTACCAGATGGACAGTAACTACCGGTAGGGCAGCGGGACAATGTCTATGGACTAATTGTATGAGCCTTTCTGACTGACTTAATCCATTTAATTTCCGTTGTACATGCTCGTAACAGAGTATTTAAATTGCGCTGAACTTATTCCTTTATGATTTGATGAAGGGATTGGGTAGGAAGTACAGAGTCAACATACTTAACGCATTTTTTTTATACTGAATAAGGTCCTTAGTAAGTAGTAGTAGTAGCTAGGTGCATCTGAACGTAACCGTTGTGTAAACAAAGGAGCAGGGCCCTTAAGTTCAAGGTCAGTTTTAGGTGAAATTTCGAAGATTCCGAAGTAAGTAATCAGGTATCTGGCACTTGACTGTCATGAATCTGAGGTCGGCTTGTACCTATCCTTCCCCACACTGTCTCGAGCTTTGCTGGTGTTGTGCGGTGCCATCTTAAAGTTGGAATGATGACTCGGGGGAATTTCAGCATCTAACGGGACCTTTCAGACTCTTGTAGTAACACACTGTATAGGGATGTGAACGTGACAGGAAAAACAAACGGGGATCACCTAGAAGACATATAAATAATATATAACAAAAAATAGGAAAATAATGGGCAAAATCCGCAAAAAAAAGGAAAGTGGATTTGAGCAGAAAATAGGACATGTAATCCGAGCAATACGTATTTCTGCTTGTTGGCTTCATCAGGCCCAAAATGAATGCACATATGCAACCACAAAAGTAGATACATATGCCTATACATCCGGATACGGGTGTAACCTAAGAAAACGAAGATGGATGGGGAAAAATATGACACACGAAGTCCCCAACCTACACATTGTAGTATAAAATGGTTAGAAGACCTCGAATTTTCAAGGCGACGAATAATATCCTATTTTCTTCTCGAATCCACTTTCCTTCTTTTTGCGGAGATTTTGCCCATTATTTTCCTATTTTTTGTTATACATATATCTCCGCATGATCAGTTTCTCTCTCTCTCTAAATATATATAACTAGTTCAATAGGTCGCGTTTACTAAGACAAACTAGCTCTAGGAACTAGTTCGCGAACAACTATTTTACACAAGAATAATGTCAGTGAAATCACCTCTCAATCGTTCATCCAATCGCCGCAGATAAGCAGCGTCTAGTATTGGATGGGTTACAGCTTCGGAGCACCTCGTATTATTGGTTTTTCATTTTTTTTTATTAAGATTAATTACGCACACCTCTGATCAGGGTTACCAGATGTTCTTTCCGGAGAATGATCCTCGTTTTAGCGTTAAGATCCATCATAATAAACACCCAGGTATTTAAAATGCGTGCTCTGTTTAACACTACTGCCACAACATTTAATAAGTAGGATGAAGTCTAACTTAACAGTACTGAACAGAAGTAATTCAGTTCTATTGTTGTTCAAGACCAAACCACTGGCCCCGCAATAATTTTCCATTACATCACAAGATCTACAAGCATTTGCTGTAAGTGAAAGACCCACAATTTACAAGAAAAGCAGTATCATCAGCATATAGATAAATAAATGCGCAGTTTACAGTTAAATCGTTAACAAAGGATATAAACAATGTAGGACCCAACATGTTTTCTCGAGGAACGCCATATTCAATATCTCTCTGTGGAGATATTTTCGCACCATTGTTCTTAATCTTTTTGAGATCTGTTGGGCAAATATGAATGCAACCAGTCATATGCGCACCCTCAACAACCAACAGACGTGACTATAAAAAAAATTGTCTGACAGCTTGAGGATGTGTACGAAAGAGAAGCGCGAGAAGTGTGTACCAACACATGTTAGAAAGAGAGAGAAGCCGACTGAAGAGCGAAGGTTATCATACATTACCTAGCAACTGTGACGCAGAAGGTCATGAAATCTGCCGCGTTGCCAATAAGTTACACCAGAAAATGTTCGCACATGCTTCTACAATAGGTTAGTTTACTGTCGAACCGAAGAAGGAGGTCTGTTCGACTTAGTGTTTTAATTTATTTTAGAATTTACCGATGGTGATAAAATCAACACATCCTGAGTTATTGTTTCATTTTGTGACAGCGAGCGGCTGGAAAATATAACAAATACCATTACGCAATAGAAATTGTCACTGCCTGAGTGTACGCAGGTAAAAACCATTTCGAAGCAGGACGGCCCTGCCCAATGAGCCCTAGGCGGGCACTGACCAAAATCGTCCATCTATGAACATGGAAACCTTGCCTTGGAATGTACGAGATGATGTGTTTCCAAGCGAACCAACGATGCGATGTTGCAAAATTTGTGGCTAACCTGACCTTTCATTTCGACCTAAAATGAAGCGTCGTTAGGACCGATCCGGAATCGATCCTAAACAGATTCGACACAATTCACAATCCAAAAGTGTGTACGCTCAAAATAACACCATTATTTGAGTGTAAAGAATAAACTAACGCATATTTTCAACATGCATCTTAATTCAAGGAACGGGTGTATCATATTGGCAACGCGGCATCTATCTCTTTCTAACGTGTGTGCATATACATCCTTCTGTCTCGTACACATTGAACTCAAGCCGTCAGACAAATTTGGTTCTCAGTGTATGCATCGTCCTGATGGAATCTAACTGAAAAAATAACACGTGAACTCCTGTACTATAAGAGCGTTGCGGCGCATGGCGCACGTCCTTCAGACATCACCGTATGACGCAGACTATAAACATTAAACAGGAGCAACCAGCTGAATCGCTGCATGATTCACTATTCCCCTCGCACCTCGCACGTTTCTGTACCGCCTTGCCCCTTGTCATCCGTTCCACCGGTAGTATCAGACTGCCACTAGTGGTGAACGCGTTTACAACTAACAATATCACAAGAATACTTCGGTTGGTATTTTGGATTAGACTTACTTTAGTAGTGACTTGATTTTAGTTAAGTGCTTGTGCCAGCAGTTGAAAAATGAGAATTAAAAGGCCTAGTTCCTGTCTAGTGCTCCGATTTGTACCTGTTCCGCAACACAGTAAGTATCGTGATTCATAGTGTGTTAATTTAGTGCTTTTTGTGTGCGATCGTTTTATTTTTATATAAATATGTGATATAGTCGTAGGATTTGTAAAATTATATTATATAATTTAAGATCCAACATTCTCTATTCTTCATTCTCCACTCAAAATACGATAAATATTAATAGACGGTTTATTCGTATTGAAACTACACATTAAATGATGGATGGGTATGTAATGTGATTTAACTCGATTTTATCATCAAAAATATATTCCAATTCATCTACAATGTAGATGAATTTGAACTGTTTTATAGTATGAATGCCTAAATATATACATTTATATGAGACTTAAAGAACAGGTATGAAAAATATGCTAATTGCAATTCATCATTATGGAGCATCAAGTAGAAATACTATTTTGTAACATATATGCAGTTAATTGTTTAAAAAATATAACCAAGATATGATTTTCAGATTAAAAATATCTTGCAATGTACAATGTATTGTACAACACGACTATGTTTGTTTCATAGAGATTAACTCGTCATTTTTCCATACGCCATATACAGTAGCTCCAAAATAAAAACAAACTTTAATAAAAGGAAAGTTCTACAATTTAAACAGCTTTCATATACAGTTTACAGAAGAACCCTATCTTTTTCCGACTTAGTGTTATTTGCAAAAACATAATTGTTGATTTTCAAGTGTATTATTCTAGGTAGATGTATAAAATTCCATCCCAATTGCCACGATATTAATAACAGTTCTCTTATTTTCAAGTTAAATACGACGTTTTGACCCGGCCGAATCATTAATTTTGTTAATACGACCCTGTCCACTGTTCTCAGAAAAGCCGTCCTTATTTTCAGAAATCAGGATTACCCTTGCTGTTTTGATAGTACGGTTCTATTTCATTGAAAGTTATTTCAAATTGCAAGCTTTATAGGTTTTGTAAGTTATTTAGACTTTCCAAGATTCCAAAACAGACTTTTTGAGGCATTCAGCGCCGTATTCAAGATATCCTATCCTAAAATATTTAAAATGATGGCTAAAATAACCTAATCATCCACGCATTTAAATCATTATAAATGTATCTAAATGAAAATTGTCACATCATAGTTTATGATCCTTTTGAAGTCAATTAAGTTGTCTGGAAAAAATGCAATAAAAAACTGCTTCCTGTGGAAGTTACTTAAATTCCTAACATCAACAGTTCCTGATATACTATATCTTTCTTATCTTGGACCTTGAACTAGTACATCCATACAAGATTTAAAAAAGGCTATCGTGCACATAGAGCAATTTTATAAAAAGAGTTAGTTCATATTAATAATCCGAATTTTTTTCACTATATCTTCAGTTGAATTGTTTTTGACCTTCTACCATTTGTAACCCATGGAATGTTTCTGAAGGCATTGAAATTATTATAGGGGTGATATTTTGTTTGATTTTAAGAAGAAAGCTTCATATGAACATAAGCCGAAAAACGTCTCAGGACAGTACAGTGTGTCCGAAATATTCCCGAAAATTGATTTTTATCAGACATATTGAAAACACTTCGATTTTAACGAAAGTCTATCAATAAATGAATAGTACTCCATAGAAGAACTAAACTGGTGTCAGCTTTGAGTCAGTCCAGAGGGTGCTTGCTATACATTGTTAAGGTATTTTGGCAATTTTTCCAAACACACCAGTGTATTTTTATGAATTTGGGACCCTTATTTGATTGAACAATTCAAAATACATTTTTTGCGCCTGTTGCACTTGTTGCGTATCTAGGTTAATTTTTGACAAAAAAAAACAAAACAGCTCAATTTTTTAATGAAGAACAATAATCGAGATTGCCATTTCGAAAATGAAGCTTCTTTCGGAAAATTAGCACACTGCGAAAAAATAGTAGATTGACTCTGCACTTACCACGCAACACTGTCATCAGTTCATAACAGACTGACGGAAATGAGTGACATGGTTTTCCGTGATATACAAGGCATAATATCTCGTTTTCGATTTTTTTCGTGTTCACAATACTTCCGCGTCAGTGGCGTCGTAAGTAAAAAGCACAAGAGACAAATAGTTTGATGTCATGGCGACATCTGAATCATGAAAGATAAAAATAACAGGAAGCAAATAAAAATGACAATGTTATGAACCAGATACCCTAACTGCAAACACAGTTCATAAACATCCTACAAATCAGAATATATCTTATTCTACATAAAAAGACCTTTCAAATAATCTACGATTTACTGTTGTTGTTCTTGGCACCAGAAGCTGTGTATCTGTTGCGGTCATATCGTAGAGTGGATCATTTCATGAAATGGCCAACTAAATTTGACCATATCGCTAAATCGTCAACGTTTAACGATTTGGTCATCCACGTTTGATCATATCGTCTATAGAATATTCAATAAAAATCCAGAATATGTATATCACGAACTCGTTTATTGTTCTTTAAATACAACCATTTTGATTAAAACTAGTAACTTTAGGAAATTAAAATAAATAATTATTTCAAAACATTCTTAAATTGCACAACGTGTCACATAAAATTTTTGTTTGACGTATAATCTAAAAACGAAATTAAAAGTAGGAATGAGTTTTTCATACGAAGAAGATTTTCGTAATTCAATACAAGATGATCGATCATTTTATAAAATGGTCACATTTCATTTTAAGGGTCGCATTTCATGAAATGGTCGCATTTCATAAAATGCCCACCTCAATTTGACCATATCGTTAAATCATCAACGTTTAACGTTATCCACGATTGATCATAGAATATTTAATAATAAGTTCGGAATATGTTACGAACTCGTTATTGTGCTACATCCATTTTGATTGAAACTTGTAACTACAGGAAATTAAAATAAAATGGAATTATATTAAAACATTCGATAGGATAAGTGTGACATACGAAGAATAAAGTAGTGGTTCAATAGACATACACAATGTTTTAGCTGAAACACGACTTTGACTTTCAATGAATGAATGATAATGGACTTTAGAGTGAAGTACTAACCTCTGAAACACGTTTTGAACTCCACGGCTTTTTGACGTTTTGATCGGTACTTGCGTAACATGCAAAAGGTACTCGAGAACTCGAGTACCTTTTTGTCGTAAAGACTGTTAATCAAACTTTCTTCCTCATTTGGTAATGAGTTATTCCGCTTCAAAAACCAACTTTGCTATTAACGACTGCCATGTTGAAATGTAAAGAAAGCGTTGGTAATTCATGTAAATATTTTATTATTTTATCATTAATCTGGTCGACGCACATCATGATCTGGCCAATAGATAATGATACATTTCATGAAATGCGTATTGGTCAAGTTTGCGATATGGCCACGACATAAGCAGCCCATCCTTCTTCAGATGCTTGATTCACTCAAAAAATCCTAGATCCGGCACTGGCCGTAACTGTTTGATGACATATGTATATGACCGGCCTATGTATATGGTAAGGGTGATTCACGTGTTGGCTTTATTAGTAATACAGATTCATTCCATTTGTATTTCTTCCTTGCCTTTATTTCTTGAATTAATCATAATTCCAGTTAGAGTATTCAACCTCAGAATATTTTCAGTAGGATACGCCTCAAGATATATATTTTGTCGAAATTGGTTTTTCCGTTTTGCTATTCTATACTAGGAAGTATTGTGGTCGTGAAGCTTTCCGAATTTAGGGTGAAATTGGAACGTTCGTTCCTGGATGTTTTTGATCTTTTGTTAAGTTTTGGGTTGGTTACAGACTTTATTTCAGAGTAGACAACGTTTTTAAAAAATCTGTTTTACGTCTTAAGCCACTGGGCGAGGAATCTTTTATGGATATTATATGACATGTACATCACGAAAAATCATGCCATTGATTTCCGTCGGTCTATCGGTCCGCTGATCCTTGCCCGTCTATAACTTGGGAAGTACCGGTTGGATTTTGATGACAGTTTCACACATGTTTACTACTATGTCTATGACGAAAAAGCTTTGTAGCTTTTGTAAAATCGGTCCAGTGGCGGCGGAGGCCAAAAGCGAAAAAAATTATTTCGCTCAATCTTTGTTTTTTGGCGTTTCAGAGGATCTTAATTTTTGAAAGATTGTCTAGGGGTAAGAAATTGGGGGTGGAGGGTTGTAGGGGTGGGGGAGAGTATATGAAATTTTTTGATCTTAGTATATTTATTCGCTCCCAGTCCCGGTACATTTGCCTTTAAAATATAGAAGGTTAGAGAAATGTTTGGTGGTGGTTTTTTGCTTGCCTTTTATGAGTTTGAAGTTGACGGTATGGATCTTTCCAGTTTTGATGTACTTTACGTCAATTTTAGTACTCAAGTACTTTCAGTCTTTTTATGTATTGGTTCTGTATGTACCTCCTTGGATCCCAATAGAACTGTCTGAATTGTTTTTTGAGGCATCTGAACAAATCAAGTGAATGTACAGTTTGGAACAACATAATATGACATTAAATGAACAGATTATTGGATTTGGTGTTCAAAGCAATTTTACCTGTGTTTACTTGATAAGTATGTACCACTTTTCAAATCGAGCAAATGAAGGTCCACCTTCGTAACTTAGTATATTGCTGAGATTATACACAATATTCAGGCTAAAGTCGAACACCTTAAAAAATTTAGAAATATGGGTATCTACTATTAGCATGAAAAACTTGTAGAATTAAGATTTGTTATCAAGCAACAGGTAAACAGTTTACCTGTTGCATATGATCCGTATTTAATCAAAGTGAAGGAATCAATCTGTGGCCCCAACATTTTTGGAATTGTTTTAATGCAAAAAATCCCTGTTCACGGATACCTATTAGAATATTATTTAAGGAGAATATGTACAGTTCTCCAAAAAATATTGTGAGTTGTTTTGACACTTTTTTGAGTAGTGTTTTTGCTTCAGCTAGATCTGAAGGTTGTAGTGAAAATGATGATACTGCGAGTAACAATTATGGAATAAAATTGTTTCAAATCTCTGTACAAGAAATTCTATTTGCTCATAAAAAACTTCAAAATAAACTAACTACTTATCCATATAAGCTGACGTCCTTATTTGTTAAAGACTGTATGCTGTTATGCAAGTTATTTAATTTAGCCACAAATACGTGTAAATTTCCAGATGCATGGAAAACTGCAAGGGTGTGCCCCGTTTTCAAATCTAGAGATCTAAATAAGCTTCTGGATGTATATATAATTCCGTACGTAATCTCAATTTTCCCTGACAGCATGACTTTGGGACAACAAGATCAACTACAACAAATCTGATGGTATTTATACAATATGTACCAGATTGTGTTGTGCTGATGTTGTACTCGTATATACCGATTTTTCTTGCAAAAGCCTCTGACAGGTTGGATCATTCAGTTCTTTTAAACAAACTTGAAAATCATGGTTTAATTCGTCCAGCTTTGTTATGTTTTGTCATATCTATCAAACAGGAAGCGGTTTGTTTCATACAATGGTTACAACTCTTATGAATATGCTTGCACATCGGCGGCTCTGCAGGGATGAAATCTTGGTCCACTACTTTTCACATTATTTATAAATGATTTATGTGATACTCTCATTTTTAACAAGCTTTTTTAGGCTGACGATTTGAAAATTTTCCTACCTATTACAAGTATGGAGGACTGTCATACTTTAGGTACAGATGGAATTGGATAATATTCAGACTTGGTGTCAAGTAAATAAATTATGTTTGAATGTGAACTGTGATCGCATCGTTATCGGATGGTCGCTGAGCAGCGGAGACATTCCCAGATTTCAAGGTTGTTAAATGTGCAGGAACTACAAGATTAACTGTGGGGGCCTATTTGACTGACTTGATTCATTTAGTTTCATTGTTATACATGTTTGTAGTTAACTATGTGTTCTAACAGGGGCAGCCGTTCATTTCGGCTGGTCGGAGTCCAGATCACCGAGGACTTGATTTGGCATCAACACATCTCGTCAATAGCAGCAACTGCTGGGAAAAAGCTAGGCTATTTGTTTAAGGTTAAGAAGGACTTTTCTCCACATGACCTCCTCACTCTATACAAGGCCCAGATAAGACCTAGCCTCGAGTATTGGTCACACGTTTGGGGTGCTACCGCCCCGACTACATTATCCATACTCGATGTTGTCCAGACGAGGTCTGTTCGACTGATCGATGACTCTTTTCTAACAGACAGTCTCGAGATGCTTTCGCACCGGCGGGTCGTTGGCGATCTAGCTCTCTTCTGCCGCTACACAAACAAGCTTTGCTCATCAGAGCTCTCCACCATGATGCCGTCACGCGATGTGCCTGCGAGACAGACCCGCCCGACTTCGTCCTCCCATGCTAATCGATACGACCGTTCTTTTGTACCTAGGGTGTCGAGATTGTGGAACAATCCACAAAAAGGAGGCTTTTCTCAGTTATACTAACCTAAGGCAGTTCAAAAATCGGATTAAGAAAGTTTTTTTTGCAGCCGCGGTGTCCTGGCATTTAGGCTTCTGCCTGTCCGACTACTTTGGTGTAAAAAAACGTTTGCTGATGACAGCCTTGCTTGGAAAGTACAGATTCAACCTACTTGACGGCATTTCTTTTGTGAACATAATTTAAAACCACAAATATGAATCACAGCTCTGAGTACCCTTTCACATACGATGACCTACGAAGAATACGTAGAATACCAAAGACTACTATTAAGAAAAATGTGAGTAATTACCGTGTGGCATGACCCATCTGTATTTACCGTTTGAATTATGTTAATTACGCTAGACTTGTTTCTATACTAGACTAATGATTAATAAACAAAACAACTCGAACAGAAGAATTTAAAATGAATGAATCTGCATTGCTGAATAATACTTGTCTGTGAATCACCTTTACCGTACAACATACCATTGTCCCGGGGTTGCCACATCTGCTAGTTATTTTTACCTTCCCTTGTCTTCGAATGATTTAGAGTTCGGAGAAGGATGGTGAAAATGGCGTCAAGTAGATTGACTCTATACTTCCCTTGCCTTCGAAACAACTTCTAGTACAATTTTACGTGTACTGAAATGGCCTAAAAAAGACGTAGGTTTTGTCTATGTGGACTTTTCATGAAACCAAAAATAATCCCCATATTGAAGTAATGAGGGTGTCCGTTCATTCTTTTTGGAGCTCTTGTGCAAAACTGTTCGTCAACAATGTTTGATAACTTATTGTAATAGCTCTTGATACGTACTTATATACCAAGTGACATATAAATCCGAACACCCAGTTTAAATGGTTTTATTTTAATAAAAGTTGGTGAATGTGTTTATCTTACTGTAAATAACAAGTGAAAAAATATTCAGCCTTATCAGTTGGACATTCCGGTTTTTATACTGCTTTTTTTTTAATTCACTAACGCTCTAAAAATGAATATTTCAGCCGCAGTAAAGAATCAACGTTGGCGGATTTTGGTTCTTGACATCCTTTACGATCGGTTACGATGTCTAGAGTACGGAGACCTGCACGATTTCGTCAACTTAGTGAGTTTGATAGGGGCCGTATAGTGGGACTCCGGGAAGCTGGACTTTCTTTTCGGGCAATTGCAGTTAGAGTGCAAAGAAGTGTAGACACTGTGGTTAGGTGTTGTCAGGCATGGCTTCGAGAAGGCCGTACGCAAAGAGCAAGGGGCACTGGACGCCGCCGTAGAACAACAGACCGTGAAGATCGCCGCCTAAGATTATTGGCCTTAAGGAACCGTTTCTCCACTACCAGGTCCATTGCAAATGAATGGTTTGCAGAACACCGAAGACCTATTGGCATGCGAAGTGTTTACCGACGAATGAGAAGTTTTGGCTTGTTTTCATACCGGCCACACTGGGTCCTCCCTTTAACTCGAGAACACCGACGTAATCGCCTTGAGTGGTGCAGACAACGGTCACTCTGGGATCAGGAATGGAACAGTATTGTCTTTATTGACGAGTCTCGATTTTGTTTAGGCATGCACGATGGTCGTGCCAGTGTTAGAAGGCGACGTGGTGAAAGGAGGAATCCACAGTTTTTTGTTGAAAGACATGTTCATCACACTGTTGGAGTTATGGTTTGGGGTGTTATAGCTTATGGTTCCAGGTCACCTTTAATCTTCATCAGAGGTAACATGAACGCGAATCGTTATATCCACGAAGTTCTAGAACCCCATCTTTTACCCTATCTTGACACCCTGGCAGATCCAACTTTCCAACAAGATAATGCCCGACCACATGTTGCAAGAGTCACAATAGACTTCTTTCAACATAATGATATCACATTGTTGCCATGGCCACCAAGATCTCCCGACTTATCCCCAATTGAGCAAGTGTGGGATATGATGGGTAGGAGATTGCTCAGTTTGCAACGTCCTCCTCAGACTCTAGAAGCACTTCGAGAGGAGTTGGTGGTTGCCTGGAATGAGATACCACAGGAGGACATTGACCACCTGATCAGAAGCATTCCTAGGCGCGTTGGAGAATGCGTAGCACATCAGGGTGCATCCACACATTATTAAAGGTCAAAGGGCTTTAATGCAGTGCAATCATTTTGAAATTTTTATCATTTACTTATTATGCTTCATTAAGTACTTATACAAAATTTTATTAAAATAAAACCATTTAAACTGGGTGTTCGGATTTATATGTCACTTAGTATATATACATATATAATACACACATATATAATATTAATATCTGTAGATAATATGGCGCCCATCTCGTATATGCATATCGCGTCACCGTCTGCTACCTGCTTTTCTGAGTCCCTGCGGTCCTCTAGCAAAGATGCAATATTTACAACTTATGAGGTGTGTATAATTACCGAAGCTGGAAGTGTATTAATATACTAACATCACAAAATTGCGATGTGTTTTGAGTGGAGCGTAAAGTAGTACCTGAGAAATTGGATAAATCGTTTGAACCAATGGAACATGGAACCGAGAAGTATACATGCCATTTTTGTTATAGGAGAACACAAGGAGTTCCATCGTAAACATAAAGAATTAGAAGATGACCTTGTTTCTCCAAGAGTACCTGCTGCTACCTCTTGTCCAGTTCTAACGGATCTTGATTCCTATCCTGTTTCAAAAGTAAGTTTGTTTCGAAATATGCCCCAAAAATGGCTTAAAGTATATTTAAACGCCTACAATGTTATCTTTGTAATGTCTATCATAATTTACTTTGCACCCTCATACATCGTGCAAGAAACATGTATGAAAAAAGTAATTTCCAAAAACCTTGAAAATGGGTTGCCTAAAAAGGACCACTGTAATGATTGTCAATAATCAATTAATATCTCATTAAGCAAGAATACAGAATATATTCAAAATGGTTTTCAATTTTTTACCGTCAGAAACTTATTTATTTATGAAAATCACAGAAAGGTATCCAATTACAAAGGAGGGTAGAAAATAGGTAAATAGATACGAGATAAAAACGGTTATTCGCAGAAAGTAACTTATCTACAGTCTGCGAAAATCAAAAGTTCGCCATTTTTGGCGTGATAAGCCTAAAAATCGCTTCAAACTAAACTGAACTTGAAATACTCTTATTAGTCGAATCTTTAATTCAGATAATTGGCGATCTAAAAAATGATGACTTTTAATGGTGTTTTTAAGTTTTTTAGACATTGGGCAAAATTACTGGTTGCCTTTATTGTTCAAAATGATCCAAAAACGGACAAAAAAATCATTCTTTGTTATTTATTATGAAAACCTTGATAGGGGTTATCAAACGGCCACTTTTTGTTTCATGTAACCGGACATTCAACAAACGCGATTTTGAAGAAAAAAACGAGCTAGAAGACTTTTCTCGCGAATGCGAGGTTTATAGCCTTGTCTAACATCCTAGCATCTGTTCAAAAATTGTCACTGGATATAGTGGAAGTAACTAACTGATAAATTTGCAATGAGTAATATAGCTGACAAATATAAACAAAAATTAGCAGTTGACTCTTGGACTATCACCACTTCTTTATACATTTGGGAGTAGTGCGATGTTGCCAGATTGTAATTTATAAATGCATGGTTATGTTGATGAAGCAATTTGCAGCATTGGAAGATAATTTGAGGAAAACGTGGAGAATTTGTTTGTCATCTACGAGAGTTTTTAAACTCGATTTTTTTAATAATTAGTTTTCTTGAACGTTTACACATTATTTTGAGAAAATTAAAAAAAATGCCAAGACAAGTTTCTTAGGTTTTTCGGATCTTTCTGAACTAATAAGGCTTGCAGTAACTTTTGTCTAATGTTGCCCGTTTTCGAGTTATTCGCGATTTAAGTCTGGGTATGAGTACATTCGATGCTTGAAAACTCGGCCAAAAATTACAATTTCTGAGGTCGTCAAGTGTCTAAATTAAAGCTAAAACCTTGCTCTACAAGATTCTGAAGAGTACGAGCTCCTTCCTACTTCAGTTGGCCCACTTCCAGATTTGTACCAAAATATGCCTTTATAGACTAAACATGACGAAACTATTTACTTCTAAAACAATTTATTAAAAACATTTTAGATACACTCTAGTCGTAAAAAATACATATTTGAAATCACTTAGACCTATAACTAATAGAACATCTGAACACAAACAATGTGCGAATAAATGCGCGAAGTTAACAAAGCAACAATTGAAAGATTACCATTGGGTAACATCACCTTTATTTTTTATACGGCTGAAATTCTTTGGGGCATAGTGTTAACCAAGTTTTGGCAAAAAAATGGTGTAGAACAATCCCATATTTCTTGAAGTTTTTGTCTTAGTTCGGTGATTGTACGAGCAGGATGTTGTCGTAGCACCTTTTTCATCTCGTGCCACAAAGTTTCAATAGGTGACAGATCTGGACTGCTAGAAACCCATTTCAAAAGTGGTACATTATTTTCTTCCATCCATTTTATAGCCTTTATTGAGGTATGGCACGCTGCACCATCTTGCTGAAACACAAAATCTTGGCCGGATGTCAAACATTCTTCCATCACTGGTAAAAGCGATTCTTCTAAAATTGCCAAATATTTGTTTGTATCCACATTTCCATCAATAAAATGAAGCTTCCCTACTCCTTTTGATGACATACTGCCCCAGACCATAATGGATGCTGGAAATTTCACTTTTCTCTTCAGACAGTCAACAAGGAATGTTTCATTTTTTTGCGAATAACTCTACTGCGACTGTCACCACAAACTTCGAATCGGGCCTCATCACTCCATCGTATTGCACACCATTGTTGAGGTGTCCATTGTCTATGTTCTTTAGCCCATCTAAGCCGATTTTTCTTTTGCAGTGGAGTTAATAGTGGCTTTTCTTTGGCCTATAAACAAGTTGTGCAACTTTAGGGTTTTTACTTCACTTTTTTTATAAGAAAACTTACCTTGCAAGTGCTAAATCCCAGTTTTTGGGCCTCTCTATGAGTTGTGGACCTCGAAATTCTCCTTCCAACAGCGTCACTCTACAGAGCACTTAATTGTAAATAATTGGCACCCCTGTTTTTCACGATTATTCTTCTTAATGCTCTTCGTTCGGCATTTGTGATATTACTTTTTTTCACATATCGTGGCTTAATATTAACTGAATCAGTTACGTTATATCTTCTAACAATATTTCTCACACTGTATCGCGATAAGTCTAACAAAGTTGCAATTTCTGAGTTTCAGTAACCGAATTTTCTTACTAATAACCTTTCCTCTACCCATTTTGAAGACGTTAACTACCCAAAACTATTTTAAACGCATTCTGACAGCTGTGATTAATAAAAACAATTGTCATGGCTTTTATTTTTCACAGCCACCTATTCATTGTTAATATTTTAAACCTATAACACCCTGCTACATTTTTATTATTTGTGTTTGATAAGAAAAAAACTAAGATTTCAATAGTCGGACCAACTGAAGTGGGAAGGGGCTCGTATTTCAACCTTAGTTTGTTTTAAAGCAATTTTTAACCTTGTTCGTTGGGCTAATTGGCGAACTTTTGATTTCCGCAAACACTTTATGAACCGTTATGAATCTCTCTTTTTCTAACAAACCTATTTTGTAGGTGTTACCATACCTATACCTGGGTAACAGCAAAGATGCTGCCGACTTGTCTTGCCTAAAAGATTTGGGAACAACGTGTGTTCTCAATGTAACCTCCCAGTCATCAGGTTTTCATAAAGAGAGGGGCATCACTTACAAACAGATTCCAGCTTCGGATTCGGGACACCAGAACCTGAAGCAGTACTTTGAAGAAGCTTTTGAATTCATAGGTGAGATGCTGATATCTTTTATCTACCACATATCGTCATCCATAAAACGAAGTTGGCGTATCCCATTATTTCCAATTTTACAGGAGAGCGTTTTAAATATTTTCACGAGATTTGGGTTGTTGCTGACAAAAAGATATTATTGCTACATAATTGAATTTGTGGGTATATCTGCTCATGTTTACAAGCTTTTCAAAAATGAGCAACGATTATTCGATTTTTCATTTTATGTGTTCAAAATTTCCAAATAAAGTAGATACGTCATTTTGTGAAATTTAAGGGTCGTAATTCATAGAATAAAGATTTAGTTTTATTACAAGGCAAAATTGTTACAAAAAGGGGAACAGAGAATATTATGGAGAAATAAGTACATACAGTATCTAAAACTATCTAACTGCCTATACAAGTTAAATATGGCAGCACAAACAAAATACTCACTCAAATAATAATTATATAACAACATAAACAAAATAATAATTAGTATTTCATCTTTACTCATGAGGAAGATTTAAATACTATCTTTGGTATTCTTGTAAACGAACTACCGGTACATCTCCTTCACACAGCTACTTCAAATCCATATATTTTTTTGTAATAATTTTTTTGGCTCTGCACTCAGAACTTCTAGGGAATATCTTTTAAATTAAGTTGTTTTTCTTTTTAATCTGAAAAGGCTGTATTCGTGCTGAAGGGAAGTCAAAAAGATAGATTCGTCACAGTAGGTATATTCATAAAATTAAAACTACAATTTTACGAACGGGTGTAACTTAGATAAGTCATACGCTGTAAAATGATAACGTATATTTCATAATTTCACAAAATTGGCGTAACTTGTTTTAAGCTCCCTCGTGAAATTTAATTTCCTATTAAAATGAGGTAAGTCTAATATTATTTTTCTATAACTTTGAAGGTATTAGAAACTGACTTATGTCACTCCGTGATATTGAAGAGCAACCTTTTTTAAGAAATAAAATCGATTTAACTCAATTTTCGTATTTTCTGTGATACGCCACTTTGTGTTATTGGCGACGATATAAGAGCGAATTCATTGGAACGAGAAGGATCAACATTGGTCAACTGAGTGTTCCCACCCCTTTAATTAAAATAGCGATGAATGAGCACGGATTCGCTAAGGTAAAACAACAAAGTTGGGAATTTAGAAACGATATCTGACGAATGAAAATTCGACGGTGTTCATGTCAAATTCGCTAAGCCTTGATTTTCCTAATCCTAAAACAATTAAAAATGAATTTTGGGAAAGGGACGCCGTATGAATAATTTAATACCCCCTTGACATATAGAGGAGGCGAAAACCTCGCATTCGTGGGAGACATTTCCCTACTCGATTTTTTTTTCTTAATCACGTTTTTTGGCCACTCCTGAACATCAACCAAGAGGTTGCTGCAAATTTATTTTAATACCAAATTGAAAACATTTGATTTTTTTTGTTCCGTGTAAAGTTTTTTTAGGTTTTTGGATTATTCAGGAAAAATCGATTTAAACACCAGTTCAAACCATCGCCAATAAGACCCCGAAGAGTATTTTAAGCTAAGTTTGGTAGAGTTATTAACAATTAAATAACAATGCTCTAAAATAAACTAAGCCTAAAATACATTTTGGGGTTATTTAGGGTAGGGTTTGACCTTTAATTTAGACACTTTATAATTATTTTTAGGGTTATTCGGACATTAAATCGCTAATATCTCGAAAATGGGCAATTTTAGATAAACATGACCATTTTTGTTCAGAATGATCCAAAAAGCTAAAAAATTTCGATCACAAATGCGAGGCCTTTCCCTTATCTAATATAGACCAGTCGCTGGATGGAATTGAGTTTGCAAAATATGAGGACCGCACTTTATGCACAGATATTAGAAGAGGTCAAAGTATCATCTGGCAGGGTTATAAAACCTATATAATGTAAAAAAGTCATCCTGTTGACTAGATAGCTGGTAGTGTGCAAATAGTTCGTTCCGCGCTTGCTACAAGTGAGAATGAAGTGAACTACAGCTACTTCCTGCATAATGTCATAAAAAACTTATATACTGTCAAAAAAGCTCGACATAACGTCACCTTTCAAGTTACGTAATACCTCTGCGGATCTTGCCGGGCGATTTTTTGATCAATTCCTTTTAATCCCATCCCCTTTTAAGAAATTACAAAAAAAGGGTTTTTCGCTCCGACCATTTTTTTCTGATTTCTTGGATGATCTTAAACAAGAAATGTCCTCGGTAAGTTTTCTATGATTAAAAGCTCGTTTACCACCTTCATTAAATCGAAACCGAAACCAATGTTTTGTTTATAGCAAAGTATATCGGCAGTTCACTTTTTTTACATATACAGGACGTTCTAAAAGTCATGGAAATGTAGTGATATGGATCATTACCAGTCAGAAAAGACATGTATGGGGAAATCTATGACGTGTGAAATATGACTAATAGGTACATAATATTACCGGGGTTAGGAGTGTATAAATATACCTACTAGATCAAAAAATGTCCATACCACCCTTACGACCCATCAACAACACCCAACTCCCGAATTTTAACCTACACAATTATATTTCTGAAAATGATAAGAACCCTCTGAATCGTCAAAAATCGAAGTTTGAGCAATTTTAATTTTTTGGTTTTTGGATTTTTTCTTCGCCGCCACTGGACTGATTTCCAAAATCTACAAAGCTTTTTCACCCTTGGCATGATAGCAACCTTATTTGAAGATTTCATCAGAATCCGATCGGTACTTGTCAAGTCTTAGCGGACATACAAACAGACCGACCGACAGAAACTGAATTTCATCCAGCACCTGATCTGTCTAATACGGCCCTGTGATGATACGCATTGAGTAAGAAGCAGGGACGCGTCATTGATGGGGTTGCAGCTGTAACGCTGGAAGAGTGACGTGTCCCACATTATGATGAGTGTGCCAATAGAGGCGGTGACTCATTTCATTATACAAACCTTATCCACCCCATTTAAAACCAATATGTTTACATCTTCTATCGACGCTTTTGTCTAACGTTATTGATCATGATGTCTGTATTGTATATATGGTACGGGCATGTTAATGTTATTACTCACGTAATGTGGTAGCGAACTGCTTACGATGTGTTTGTGTTTCATAATACAAATATGAATGCCAAGTATGCAGTCAAGTAGATTACCCGGTACTATCGACCTACCAAGCATAACTAGCTTGTTTATTCTTTGGTTACTTCTCATGGGGATATTAGACCCTGTCAGCTTTGAAAACAATATTTTCAAACCACTAACTGACAACACTTGCTCAATTATGTCCAAACTGTTCAGAAAATAATCAAAGGTGTTTGATTTTATTACATAATGTCCTTTTTCTTAAATAGTGTGTTTTATTTCAAGATGCTTAATTGTTGATTAAATGAGTGCTGACCGTGTAAATTTTATTTTAGTAATGACCAAGGATTAATTAAGCATTGATCCAACATCGGCCAACACAAATAGTGTTATTATTGCATATCCAAACACGCACAACCACACATTTTTTTTTTCGAAAAGAGGTTTTAACTTTGACTTTAAGCTTCAGGGTATCAAAAAAGCAATCTGTTGATCGCAGGTGTGACGACAAAAAAAATTGCGCTGAGAAATAAGATGGCTAATGAAAACCCATAATTTTTTGCATTTCCCATTTCATATGTGAATAGATTCAACAGATTCAAAACAGAGGTTTTTGATATCCCCGATATTTGCTGAGTAAACCGTTCATATTTGTTTTTTTTGCGTATGAATGTTACGTACAAAAACTAACTGCTCAATATCCCTATACAAATTTAGTTCATATTTCTTTTCTTTTTGTATCAATGTTACGTTCAACAAATAACAATACACAATATCCCTATATTTAGTTATTGATTATAACTGGATTGTTTTAAGTCAAAGTGATAAACACTTTTAAGGGAGACGCTTCTGAATATTTTTAACCTTATGGGTTTGGTTAGTCTACGTCTAAAATATTCAAAAACACCCTTATTTTTTCGAGTCTTTGCAATGAGTTATGCGAGGTCTGTGAATTGAGTGATGAGACGTTGTTTTTTTATTTTTTTATTCAAATATAATTACAATTTTATATTGTCACCCTCAAAATAACTTCCTTCTGAAGCCAAGCAGCGCAGGAGACGTTTCTTCCACTCCTCATAACAGTGCTCGAACTCCAATTCTGGAATAGCCTTCAGCTGGTCGTTTGAAGAGAAAAAAATAGAAAGACTGACGTTGCTGTGTGACAAGGAGGATTATAGTGATGCAACACCCAGTTGTTCTTGATCTGATGAACGGTGGTGCGAGTCAAATTTAACTCTTGCCTGAACGTACAAAATCCCGGATTCAGTCGATATTATCATCGGTTCTTGAAGATGAAGTCGTGGTTTATCTGCAGTCGACTCCGTCCCTTCTGAGATTGCCTTAAACTAACGAAAAACCTGAGCTCTTGACAAGATACTAACAATCCAGATCGAACGCTACATTGCTAGTCTCATTACCCATTTTACAGACCTCGTGTAAAAGTGTCGTTAATTGACAGTGCTGTCCTTCAACTTTTCCACCAGTTTTAAGTGCATTCGAATAATTTTACTTCCTACCCACTTATTAGCCATATTTCACACATCATAAGTTTTCCCCATACACTTTTTAAAACAGTACGATAGAGAAATGTTTTATTTCTTCTGCTATCTGGCCTCAGCCTGGCACAACTGTTTGAGTTAAAAAATGGTCTCTCAAAATTTTTTACCATCCACAATTTAACAGATTCTAGTAAAATGTACAAAAACGGAGTTTTGCTAGGTTCTGATCTTTTGTTCATAACACCACCTCTACTGGATTGACAACTAAAATTTGAGCAAAACTTCGTAGTTTTCCCACCTATATAGGTCAGGAAGTATCGCACTTATATACAGTCCTGATTGCTGGGAAAAGGAATTCCAAAATTTGACTTTATGCATTTCACCGGATCTTTATCATTTTTTATCATTTGTATATATTTAGCCTGTGAGATAACACTGAACTCCTGAATTTTTGCAGAAAATGCAAGGAAGCATGGATCAAGAGTTCTTTTGCACTGCCAAGCAGGGGTTTCTAGGAGCGCTACCATAGCAATAGCATATATCATGAAGTACAAACACATGTCAATGGTAGAAGCCTACAAAACAGTTAAAGAGGCTAGACCTATAATATCACCAAACTTAAACTTCATGGGACAGCTATTGGAACTGGAACAAAGCTTACGGAATGACAGAAATACAAATCAGTGTTTACGGGAGAATGTGACAGAATCTAACAGATAAGATGTGCTATTTTTAAGTTAAACACTCCTCTTTATAATGACCCGTCCTGGACCACAGTCCAGGTAGAAATCTACTTTGAAAAGGTGTGTGTCTCATAGATGGCGCTGTAACCAACTATATGAGCATATAGTTGGCTCTGGGCCATTTATGAGATACGAACACACAATACCGGGCTTGTAGTGGATCAGTATGGGTCACTTCAGAGGGGTTTAAGACATCAGCTTTGAATAGCTGAGTTTCGATCTAGTCTTTTATGTTGGTAAATTGGCTGTGTTTCATTAGATTTATTTCAATAATGTATTAGTGATAGTCTAGGGACTGCAGTTTTTGTGTAGAGAGTGCAAGTATTGTAATTTTGGTAGACTATATTTATCTATGTAGATTAGATCATAGGTACTGAGTTTGATGGTCGATATTTCAGATTCTCAGTGGAGGAAAAAATATAAAAACGGTTCGTGAAGGAACACCCCACTGATATATGGAACGGTGGGGCCAGTATCTGGCAACATCGTGAAGTATTTCGTTTAGAATTTAAAATGAAATAAATGTAGACAGTAAAAATCTGACGATGACGGTTAAAACCTTAGAGAAACTATGATTTGCTTTAAAAGACTCCTTATTAAAATACATCATTAAATGTAACTGAATATTTGAATCAGTATAAATGATAAAAAAATTGCACATCACCTGACAATATATTGATTTTGTGCTCATAGTTACGCTTGTATACCTAAATTTTATAGTTATAAAACATTGGCTAATCATAAACATAAACATCACTCGGTGAGTTGGCACTTTTCTAACAGCAGAATTTCTTCTGTTGTACGATGCCACTGCTTTTAGAGCCTAATAGATGCACTAGTCACATTCTTCAATTTCCTACATGCCAGATTATTAAAAACGAGAGTTTGAAATGAGCATTAATGCCTTATTGACTTCTTGGTCAGTCAAGTAGAACCAAAATGACGCTGAAGTTGACATCCTTATTATTAAGGTATTTTTGAGAAATTGATGACACGCATTCCGTGATGCTTAATCACGTATTAGACAAAGCGAAAACTTCGCATAATTACGTTTGTTAAATATCACTTAACATGAATCGGCGGCAACCCGGAGCAGAATTGCTTCAAACAATTTTTAGACAAATTACATAAAATTGATTTTTCGCTCCAGACAGAAATTTTAGGTTTTTTGGATTACCCTGAACAAAAAAGGTTCTTAGTAACCGTACTAGAATGTTGACCGTTTATAAGTTTTAAGCAATCTAATTTCTGAAAATCCCTAAAAATGCCCATTTCCATTCCTTAAAAACTTGGCTGAAAGATATTGTTGTTGACGTTACCATATATCTGAATCAAAGCACAACGACCCCAAAGAGTATTTTGTGCTTAGTTTATTTTAAAAGATATTTATTTAATTGCCAATGACGCGCGTCCCCTAGAGGGACGCCGCGTGGCCATTTGCGTTAATATCAAATAACAATGCTTTAAAGCAGTGGTTACCTTACTTTTTTTCTCATTGACTACTATAAACATTTTGCTGCCTTCAGTGTACCCCTCACCCTATTACATTTCGACCAAATTAGAAAAGCTTTACAAGTGCGAAGATTAGATGTATCGATGCACATTTTAATAGTGGTAAAAGTAACAAAAATATTTTCTTATATCCTATTTATTTCTTACACATTCACTACCATACATTTGCCAACACCGACCAAAAAGCATAAGCACTATACAAGGTACTAAATTCGTGGCACAGTAGTTCCTCAGCCACATAAATCTATAATGCAGCTGTCATATCTCTAGCGCACAAGTTTTATAAAATTATAACTAAGGATTTAAAAAAATCCAGAAATTACTTCAAGAGACATTGTATATTTAGGTCTGAAATTTATAAACTCGTGAATTCGAACATCAAGTAAATAAATACATAATCCACTGTGCAGTTGCCGTTTTTTATAGTTTTTATTCTACAGTTACAGCTGGAAATTATTGGTCCATGCATAGGCAATGCCTCTTATTGGGCCTGTTTTTATTTTATTTTTATTTACCCATGTTATTTACTTGGTAAAATGAGTGAATAAATATTTTTTTATGAAAATAACAAATTTAATAGAGATAAAATTAAACATTAATAAAGTAAAAAAAACGCAACTTTTTCCGCAATACAATAGTGCAAAAAATATAATAAATCAGAATTTTATCAATCAATATTTGGCTTCAGGTTTACAAAGAATAATCTCAAATTTCCCCGGTCTGCAATATTAAATCTGCTCCTTTTTTCTGTCAATATATTTGTAACAACACTAATTAATATCCGTTTCAAATAGGTACGAGGAGAAAAACGCATATCAAACTTTACTCGCAGTTTCCCCAGAGCCCATAATATTTTCGGGTATTTCTGCCTGCTGCCAAACTGATTGATAGACTTTTTTAAATTTCACCTTCAGCTCCTCAGTTCTAAGCTGGAGCAGCTCGTCTCGTAATACTACATTTGCCATCTCATCAAATGGGTTTATGATCCTTGTATTTCCATCATCACAATATCGTCAACTCTGTTCTTAAAGTCATCGTGCAGGACAACTTTTGAATATCCTCATCAAGAAATTCTAACTGAAACAAGTTTGGAAACTTGTAGAGAATATCGAATATACAAAAGTTTGGACAAACCTAAATGTCCCGGAAGCTAAGGGTGCTAGAAATGCTTGAATGGCGCGTCTCGTGGTGAAAGTTTTTATGCATCGAAGATGGCCATTCTGAGGGGCGTACAGACTTAATTTAGCTTATAACTGGAAAACGGTTGACTTCAGAGAAGAGTTACTAAGGATCTTTTTTTGTTCAGAGTGATCCACAAACCCACAATGGGAGGTTTTCTGCTTGTCTGTATGTGAGTGTCCATGATAGATGGTCCAATATCACCGTGAAAAGACTGATTTATGAATTTAAAAGTGAGTGTCACTTTCAAATGAAATTGTACATATCGACGAAATGGCGAAAGTTAATACCTACGTAATATTTAAATAAGTCATGGAATATGTGTATCCCAGTATAGCTTAGTCGTCATTATGTTTTTGTGTAAAATTTTGGGATAGTATTCTATTCACAAGTTTAGGGCGATTGAGGAAGTTCGATATTGACTTTATCCAAAAGTGTATGCATCATTTGCCAATTTAAAAAAAAATGAACAGCGAATACAAAATTAACAAGTGATATTTTTATCCTTTCGGGGCCTGTATTTTCATAGGGCATTTTTGAAGTCATGTTTTTCCATTCGACAAATTGATCATTAATTATGGGACATTCTGTATAATCGACCTTTCTCTGTGTACTGCCTAAGTCGTATACCATTGTATGTATGTATGTATGTAGATAATTTATTTAACATTGACACAAAATGTTTACCTTTTTGTAGTTAATCATTTGGCCCCATTTAATATGACGTGCCTTCCTCACTATCAGATGTATATAGATTTTTGATTGTACAAATAACGTTGGGCCTATATTATTTATGTGTAATCTATATATTAATAAAGTGTTTGATGCCTTGAACTCTTTGCCTTCTGCCGAAACAACATTTAGATAAGTAAAGCTTGCCCCATCAACGAATATTTGGTTACGTCATCGGATATTTGATTACGATATCATTATGGCAGTATGCAAACGTAAGACTTGGGATTTTTTTAAATCATTTCAAAACATGTTTTGCATCCAAAACTCACTGGGAAAGACATGGAGAACGTTTGAGTTTGAGTTTACTTCCTAGGCCACTGGAAAATGAAAAATTGTCTTTTGGATGTTATATGGCATGTACCTCATTGGTTTATGTGGGCATTCCATTTCAGATGCGGGTCGACATGCATCCCCAAGAATTTTGCAAATGATATATTAATATTTGCATCGCATAGCTTTGGTATTGAGGTGTTGGGTTTTACTTCGATTTTGTAGAATTACACTCGCATCGAACCATGCCTTAATATCCGATTGTACGAAAGGAAAGGGTGAAAGCAGCATCTATGCTTGTCAAATGCAAGTAAGTAATGTACAAAAGGAATAGTATAAGACCCAATACTGAGCCCTGTGGAACTCCGATGGACAGACCCCTTTCCTGAGAAGAAACCTCTTCCTCCCTGACTACCTGGGTTCTATTTTCCAGATATGAGGGAAATAGCAATATTGGTAATTAGATTGTTATATAATATATGTTTATTCCGAAGTAAATTGTCCATGGAACTCAAAAATGGCTATATTGCGGTCAAAAGTGATTTTTTCGAAATCATTTCTTTGATTTATTGGGCTGATTCGAATGCCGTCCGAAACAAAGAATCCACAAAAATTTTTTTCGTGAAAGTGATGGGTCAACCTATTTCTCTGATCTCTTTAAAATGGTTGAATAGGTCTGTTGATCCAGTTTTTGGTATCTTTGGCCATCTTTTAGATTCCATAGAGCCTGTCATGCGACAGATCGGTCTGAATTTTTTACAAGCTTTGAAGGCTCGGGTGGCAAATTTCTTGTTTCTAGCTACTCCAGTCCCTCAAGGGACTATTCGAAAATATTGTCTAAGGAATTCAAAAATGTTATTTCGAATTTTTTCACGATTTTATTATTTGGAATGCCTTCCGAAACAATCCACAAAATATTTTTTTTTCGTAATGGAAAAGTATCAGCTCATCACTCTATATGAAATGGATTTTGAACCCGGGTCTCTAAATCAGTTGAATGGACCTTTGGAACCAATGTTTGATATTTTACCCCAAAACACCATTTTCGTTATATTAGATATTTTATTTTAGTCATATATTTATCAACAGATACAAGATCCAATTGCAGAGAAACACTTGCTGAAAAACAAATAGACACATATACAAAAAATAGTATCATGGATTGATGATACTAAAAAACCCTATGTGTGCATATCAGGAATCCAACACAAATACCCATCAGTGCAGTAGTAGCACACGCAAATTAATGTATTTCTGAACGTTAATTCTACTCCTAAAATGCATAAAGATGCATACTAAACGGTACTGATAAGCTAACAAGGGTTTACGTCATCGAACAGTTTTTAAATAAGACAATATTCTTCTGTTATACACTGAAAACCAACCAAATTCCACTGAAGTCGTATGTGTACGAGAGAGAAGCGAACAATACGTGTGTTAGAAAGAGAAGCACCTCGTTGCCTAGCAACCCTAGTACGAGGTCACGGATACCATCGGCGACACTCTTTCTAACATTCATACATTTCGAATTTGAACCTCACCATTCACTCATATCAAGGTCAAAGAGATACCTAACCTCGTTAAAGTATTTCGATATTCTTTATGAAGGGGATGCTAGGATAATATTTGTTGAAGCTTTTGATAGATAACACAGTGTAATTTCTGCTATTCAACCTAGGCACAATAAAGTTTAAGTTGGACAACATTCCACCACAGTCAATCTGATTGCTTACAAACTTGTGCACAAAGCAATAGCTTAACAAAAATCTTCGGTGGTCGAGTCTGATCTTGCCAAAGTGACCTAAAAGATCCTTTTTGGATAGCTAAATGGAGGTTATGCGTCATATGGTTTGAAATTCAGATATCTTAAGAATTTCGACTTCTGACTAAAGTGAAGAATACTTTTAATGATTCCGTGCTTGTAATTGTCCATTATATAATCATATAGTATGAGATACTCTTTCATCATCATTAACAAGAATCAAAAATAGTAGGAGACCCAAGCTAGTACTTTGTGGCATTCCCACTTGTAGGCATGTATGATTCTGATTATTAACAAGCCCCCAGAAAACCCCAATTTACACATTCTTTTAAGTAAGATGGAATGGTTTATTCTATCAAATACCTTTGAAAAAACCATAAATATAACTTGTTGTTGTTGATCTGTATCTCGACATTATAGGAGCTTGAGTTAATCAAACAGGTTAGCTATGTTACAGATACATCAACACAGTTTTGCTCATAATACAATCTTGGGGTACGGTGAAGTGGGCAAAGACCTGTAGGCAGGTGTATTTTTGGTTGGAAGATAATAAAACTATGATTAACTGCAAACATTTTATTTGAAAGCATAATTTTCCGCAAACTAGATCCAGGATAGCACAGGTATGTGGGGTGACAGTCGGTTTTTTATGACAATAATAGTTTTTATTTGATTGAGGATGTCAAAAATGTATCCTATTTCTTCAGAGCTCGATCACAGAACACATCAAACATCTGTAGCAGATGCAGGTCTGTTCGTATCCCTAGGAGAAGGGGGAATAACAAACCCGTAGGGCCTGCCAGTACTAGCATTACTCCCTGGAGTGATTTTTCCGTTAGCTCCACTGGCACTCCTTGAGCGTTTTTCTTTAGAGCGGGATTTAGAAGGTTCTAGCGACTTTGATGGTTCCAGCACTGGTTCTGGTAATTTTGCTTTGGGTTCTTCTACCACAGGTTCTTCAACAACTTCTTGGGAGTTTTCTTGATCTTCGGAGTTACCTTCCAGTGATTCTTTTGTTATCACTGGTTTGCTATCAGAGTTGAAGTCCAGATATACACGCAGCTCTGCCATGAACACCTGCAATCACGATTTGCAAATTGGTTTCTGAGAGAAAACTTTATTTTTCGTCCCTGACAGTGTTTTGGATCATGCAGGACGGAAAGTGTCCATAGGAACTTTTATCTAAAGCCCCCCACCACTACTATTACAAAAAGGTCGAACCCTCCTCTACAGAGCACTTACGAGTATTTTAGGATCAGTTTGACAAATATTCATTTTAACATGCCATATCAAAGAGTATTATTTCATGAACAGATAAAGAAAGGAAAGCAGTATGCTCACCTTGGTAAATGGCAGTTTGTTTTTCTTAGCAACTTTGACTACATATAACAAGTGTTCCATTATTACTATAATCACAGCTAAAATTGTGCCATAGATAGTGACGAAGAAGCAACCTTGTACGTTAACCAGCTTCAAAGGATCTGCGTCACTTGCTTCTGTCTTGCCCTAGGAAGTCAAAGTTTAATTCAGTAGATGTAGGCTTTAGAATTGCAATTATTTAGCCGAGAAAATATATCCAATGGCAAGTAGGCCATCTATACTTCACAGCGAGAATCCCCAGCCATCTAGCGGTCACATGGTGACTGGACTATTAAACGTCGACTTCAATAGTTCCAAGTAACAGAACACTGAGGAAGTGTATTCAATTAAACTGTTGATCCGGAAAAATTTCATTTCACGTAATAAATTTCATAATTACTCTTAGTAACCAAATTATTTGGCGTAACTGATCTGAATTTTCTAGAACCAGTTTAATTGAAAGTAATATACTATCAAACTAATTTGCTTGAAAATACCAAATCATGTATCTTTTTGATTAAACTGCTTAATTAAGTATGACGACCAAGTGGAATACTCGAGTACAAACAGACGAATAGTTGGTAAAACTTCATCCCTTATATGGCGATGTTCAAATTTGACTGACTTCGTAATGTGTATGAAAGAGAGAGAGAGAGAGAGAAGTGTGCAATATGTATGTTAGAAAGAGTGTACCAATGGTAACGCGGCAAGCCGTAGCTGCGTCCGTGGCCTCGCTACTCGGGTTGCTAGGCAACGAGGTGCTTCTATCTCTTTCTAACACACGTATTGCACGCTCTCGTACACATTACGACGTCAGTGGTATACGGACTTTACAATCAATGAAAACAAAAAATATCGAATTTTGTTAGGGTTATAAAATTCGGAACTTTTCGTTTTGATTTGAAATCATCAACTATCAAAATATCAAGTTCTCCAAATTCATTGATATTTCAGATTTGTCAGAGAACAGTTATAATATACATCATTCAGTAAAATGCATTTTTTTAAATTCCAAATATACTTCCAAATCTAAATAAAATAATTAATTAAAACTAGGCAAACACTTTTATCCCATCTAATTAAACGATTTTAATTAATATAATTAAATTGTTTTACTTGGACCAGCTAAACACATTTAAGTAATTCATTAATTTCAAATAAATTGACATAATCGATCTGAGTGAACCGTTGAATTAATTTAATTAAACGATTGCGTTTTGGTTTAATTAAACTAGTTTCATAGACTTAAGTGAACTGTTTCAGAAATTGGAGTTCAATCAAACTAATTGAACTTCTTAGCTGTCACATGGTTAATTAAATGTTTTGGTTGGCGTAATTAAAATTTTAATTGGTCAATTATTTTTTTTCTCGGTTGCAGCAATGCGCTCTCCGCAGTGGTCGATTATGGTGTGATAGATGGCGTTTTGCGCTGTCTTATTTCGATATTTGCTATTATTTACATACCATGTCATTTAAATAAAGGTATCTGAACGCATGCAAGAATTTGATGATCAATAACTCGGATTTTAAGATCGAAAACCACTGACTAAAAGAAAAAACGCCGAGACACATCAAAAAACTACTTTACTTCCTTTCACCCGCTACCCCCAGGGTCACCCCCTCAAAAATGTTAAATGACAAGGGGTATCTAGTAATATCTTCTTTGAAAGGTCTTTCGAATTCCTGTATTTTTGATGTTTGATTTTTTTAAATTGGTCGATTCGTGAGAAAATTAGAAAAATCTTTATTTATCTTAACTTGTCCAGACAGAAAACAAAAACACACGAAAATATCACTTTTTACTTCAATAAATGTTCAAAATGTTGCCCGTTATTAGCCAAACAATGATATAGGCGATGTTCAAATTCCTGACGGATATTTTCAAAAACATGTTGTGGGATATCATGGCAGCTTTCGATAATGCGTTGACGAAATATACTAAGTGACATATAAATCCGAACACCCAGTTTAAATGGTTTTATTTTAATAAAAGTTGGTGAATGTATTTATCTTACTGTAAATAACAAGTGAAAAAATTGTCAGCCTTATCAGTTGGACATTCCGGTTTTTATACTGCTTTTTTTTCAATTCACTAACGCTCTAAAAATGAATATTTCAGCCGCAGTAAAGAATCAACGTTGGCGGATTTTGATTCTTGACATCCTTTACGATTAGTTACGATGCCTAGAGTACGGATACCTGTACGATATCGTCAACTTAGTGAGTTTGATAGGACCGTATAGTGGGACTTCGGGAAGCTGGACTTTCTTTTCGGGCAATTGCAGTTAGAGTGCAAAGAAGTGTAGACACTGTGGTTAGGTGTTGTCAGGCATGGCTTCGAGAAGGCCGTACGCAAAGAGCAAGGTGCACTGGACGCCGCCGTAGAACAACAGACCGTGAAGATCGCCGCCTAAGATTATTGGCCTTAAGGGACCGTTTCTCCACTACCAGGTCCATTGCAAATGAATGGTTTGCAGAACACGGAAGACCTATTGGCATGCGAAGTGTTTACCGACGAATGAGAAGTTTTGGCTTGTTTTCATACCGGCCACACTGGGTCCTCCCTTTAACTCGAGAACACCGACGTAATCGCCTTGAGTGGTGCAGACAACGGTCACTCTGGGATCAGGAATGGAACAGTATTGTCTTTAGTGACGAGTCTCGATTTTTTTTAGGCATGCACGATGGTCGTGCCAGGGTTAGAAGGCGACGTGGTGAAAGGAGGAGTCCACAGTTTTTTGTTGAAAGACATGTTCATCACACTGTTGGAGTTATGGTTTGGGGTGCTATAGCTTATGGTTCCAGGTCACCTTTAATCTTCATCAGAGGTAACATGAACGCGCAGCGTTATATCCACGAAGTTCTAGAACCCCATCTTTTACCCTATCTTGACACCCTGGCAGATCCAACTTTCCAACAAGATAATGCCCGACCACATGTTGCAAGAGTCACAATAGACTTCTTTCAACATAATGATGTCACATTGTTACCATGGCCACAAAGATCTCCCGACTTATCCCCTATTGAGGACGTGTGGGATATGATGGGTAGGAGATTGCTCAATTTGCAACGTCCTCCTCAGACTCTAGAAGCACTTCGAGAAGAGTTGGTGGTTGCCTGGAATGAGATACCACAGGAGGACATTGACCACCTGATCAGAAGCATGCCTAGGCGCGTTGGAGAATGCGTAGCACATCAGGGTGCATCCACACATTATTAAATGTCAAAGGACTTTAAAGCAGTGCAATCATTTTGAAATTTTTATCATTTACTTATTATGCTTCATTAAGTACTTATACAAAATTTTATTAAAATAAAACCATTTAAACTGGGTGTTCGGATTTATATGTCACTTAGTATAATTCAGTTTTCTAGATATAATATGCTTAAAAATGTGATTTTTTTTGTGTATTTTTTTCTGTGAAAGCTTGTTCATGTCGTGGCAAGAGTTTCTAACTTGTAGACCTTTCTCGAAAAACATTATGTAAAAACTAGTAATATAGCTTTCGTTCATCCGACCACAGATGGCTAAACATGGACAGCTATTTGGTGACATTTGGCAACTTCTCAGCATGGTCTAGGCTTGGTCACAGGTAGGACAACAAACGAAAGCTGAGAAACTATCCTCTATCCAGAGGATAAGGTCTATCAAAATAAGACAGCACAAACTATCATCTATTACCAGAATCGACCACTGCGAGAGTGAAAACAGACAGTTGTCAGCCGGGTTACCACTGTGGCCGCTACATGCCGCCGATTCTGGTGCTTTTAAACTGTCTCATTTATGTTAAAATGTTCACCATCTAAAATGTCAGCTTGCTAACTCGATCCGCTTAAAAAATCATTGTATACTACCTCACATTGTCCTCCTCCTCGCCTCTCTTGCCACCATTTTCTTTTCAACTCGTCAATTACTCCAGAAGACTGGAGCTTCAATATTGCCAGACTTAGGCGTTTTCTGTAGAAAGACTCTGAAAAACAACTTCATTTACTATGAATACGACATTCGATCTGTCGATCTAAGATCATATGTCTAAAATATCAACTTTACAGGAAAGGCGTATTGATAGCGGCCCCCCAGGTTACAGGGGTCCCGACATGTTTTGTAATACCCTAGGTACTCCCGTGCTGATAGAAGCTTTTAGAAAGTCAATCAGACTCAGTATACTGGGTACAGAGTCAAAAAATCTGGAAACAGTAAAATCTTTAGCTATGCACAATTTAATAAGTTCAAAAAAAAATAGTATCAAGTAGATTGACTGGGCACATAGACTCATTCACAGATATTATTAAATTTTCTGTAAGTACAAATCGAAAATCTTCAATCCCCCATGCTTGTCTGGCCAATAAAACTACATATATTGGCATAATCTTCTATACTGTAAACGTTTCAGCCACAAAGGTGATCTTCAGTACAATGACAATGTATTTTATTTATCTGCTTTCCAGGTGAAAGTTCGTTTGTTCTTTATTTTCATTATCACATTCCTGTAAAGTGCTGTCAAGATAGAACGTCCGACCTCTCCAAAACAACAAGTGAGATGAGGCTATCCGCAGCTTTAAAATGTACCAGGCATGTTACCTTCGTCTTTTACAATCACAAAAATTTGAAAAGCACAAAAAAAAATAAAAAAGATCTACTGGAATTCTGAAAATCCACTCATCAAAGTTGTAGTATGCTTTGTTGATCATCAACCATTTTATTTTAATTTTGAAAGGCTCGTCATTCAGGAACTTGTAACCAGTTTATCTTGTAATAACACTTTTTTTTTAATTTCATGTGTTTTTATTTTTCATAACTTTAATATAGGGTGGTCCATAAGTCCTTTGAAATTTCAAATTTGAATAAAATTTAACGGGTGAGCGTGAGCGGCGCGGGCGAGGTGGGGGCAGTATCTTCAGTGTCTGGGAATTCAGTCGCCATGGAGTGTTTCACTGGAGCGGATCGTGCTTTTTGTGTGCGCGCGTTTTATCAAAATAATGGTTCGGCAACCATTGCCAGGCGTAAATATCGAGAATACCACAATTTACACAATTTTACAAAGTGTCCAACAGCTCAAACGATTAAGAACTGGGTTGCTAAGTTCGAAGAGACTGGTTCGACGTTAGATAACAGCGGTGGGGTCGACCAAGGACAACTCGTATTGAAGAAAACATCAACATTGTGGCACAGTCTGTTCGTCAAAATCCTACCCAGTCTACTCGTAAGCGTTCCAGTGCACTAAACGTACCCAGAACATCTTTACAGCGGATTTTAAGGAAAGATTTACGTCTGCACGCTTACAAAATTCAGTTAGTGCAGGAATTAAAAGATAATGACGCTATTCAGAGACTAAACTTTGCGAATGAAATGTTGAATCGATTTTCTTCGCTCAATAATGTGTTGTTCTCGGACGAGGCTCACTTCCATTTAAACGGGCATGTAAATAAACAAAATTGCCGTTATTGGAGCCCCGAATATCCAAGGCGTAAGCATCAGAAGCCCTTACACAGCCCTAAAGTTACAGTTTGGGTTGCTATGTCAGCGCATGGCATCGTAGGCCCTTATTTTTTTGAGGACGACAGAGGTCGCGCATTAACTGTTACTTCGGAGCGGTATGTAGCAATGATAGAAGAGTTTTTGACACCAGCGTTGCAGAATTTTCCAGGCTATAATACGCAGACCTGGTTTCAACAGGACGGAGCAACTGCCCACACCTCCAACACTTCTATGCCCGTCGTCTGTCAACTTTTTCCCAGCAAAGTAATTTCTCGAAGAGGAGACATTTCCTGGCCACCACGTAGTCCAGATTTGACCCCAATGGACTTCTTTTTATGGGGCTACCTCAAGAGTAAAGTGTACGACACCACTCCGCGATCAGTTGATGTCCTGAAAGAAAATATCCGAAGAGAAATGGCAAGCATTACAGTGTTGACTTGCCGCGCAGTCATCGAAAATTTTAGACGTCGTTTATATGAGTGCCGTGATCGTAATGGATTGCATTTAGACGATTTGTTTTTTAAATCATAATTCCCATTCAATAAAGATGATAACAAAATATAATAATTCTTCATAATGTAACTAGTTTGGTTTTATTCCTTTTTTTCCAGCTCAAAGGACTTATGGGCCACCCTGTATAACATGGACGTAACTACTAAGTATTTATTCTATGAATTACGACCCTTCAATTTCACAAAATGACGTATCAATTTTTTTTTGGAAATGTTGAACACAAATTCAATTATGTAGCTATAATACCTTTTTGTCAGCCACAGCTCAAACCGTGTGAAAATATTTAAAACGCTCTCCTGTAGAATTGGAAAAAAGCAGATCCAAGTGTTTTGTTTCAATGTTGTTTTCGCAAACTGGTTTTCAAATTACTTGTCATGCTTTGATCTAAGAGGGCTTCAGCTAATGCATGACTATTAATCAGTGTTGTGTCATCAGCATATAATATAAGGTTATTTATTGAACTACAGTTGGGTAAATTATTAATATACAGGGTGGCGCATCGAACACGAAACAGACGCATTTACTGGTAGCTTAGTTTATTTTTGGAAAAACGCTCAGACCCGTCGATTTTGCTTTCGAGGGGGACACAAGTTTGGCAAAAAATCACCTTAACACGTGCAGCCCCCTGGGCGGGGGTGACACCAACCCTAAAATCTTAAATGGAAAGGGGGGTCGAGTGATACCTTATTTTAAAGGTCTTTCAATTCCCTTTATAATGATGCAAAATACATGAGCTTCAGTTCAGTAGTTTCGAAGATTTATTGATTTAAAGCTTAAAGTAGACTTTAATAGGTACATCAGATTAGTTTGTGTCTTCAAATGACTCCTCAAATATTTTAAAATGTGCGGCAACGTTTTGAGCAAAATCTTTATTATTGCATGGAGAGTCATGGTGGCCATTTTCAACATTTACTTGCCTAACGGGTCAGCTCATTCTTCATTTTCAAATTACTTTGCTGCCAAATGTATTGATCTCCACTAATGATGACGTATTAGTTTTATTTAAACTTTAAATCAATAAATCTTCAAAACTACTGAACTGAATTACAATTATTTTATATCATTATAAAGGGAATTGGAAGACCTTTAAAATAAGGTCTCGACCCCCCCTTTCCATTTAAGATTTTGGGGGTGGTGTCAGCCCCGCTTAGGGAGCTGCATGTGCTAACGTGATTTTTTGCCAAACTTGTGTCCCCATCGAAAACAAAATCGACGGGTCTGAGCGTTTTTCCAAAAAAAAAACTGAGCTGCCAGTAAATGCGTCTGTTTCGTTTTCGATGCGCCACCCTGTATATCAAGAAAAGGATCGCGCCAAGAACTGAGCCCTGTGGGACTCCACTATTGACTGATAGTTATGCAGAGACTGAACTGTGGAAACATACAAGTTGATATCTATTGCACAAATATGATGAGATGAGTTTTATGCTACTATTATCGAAATTGTAGTATGAAAGTTTTTCCAACAGAATTTCATGTTGAACACAGTCAAACGCTTCTGTGAGATCGAAAAATCTCACCATACAATATGAACCGTTTTCCAAAGCGCAATTATCGTCGATTTAATTATTTTTACGTTGATGTAAAAAATATCTACCTACTTTGAGTTTTTTAATTTGTTTATAGCGTCACTCACTTGATTGTATGATACTGTTTTAAATTTAAAACATAATGAATCATTGATTTTGTTTAAAAAGCCGCTGAGTGGAGTTATAGAATTCTATATCTTCTTGACCAAGTTTTCTGCAATGTTTGAAAAATATTAGTTGAAATATGTTGCATTTAAAGACATTGTCAAATTTTCTTGATAATATTCCATATGGCTCGATGACTATTGCTCGCATTGCTTATGTATTCATCATTTGCTTTCCTTTTAGCATCTTGAATCTCGAATCTGTATCTGCTCTTAAAAACATTGATTTATTTATTCTTTACCGGCAAAAAGAGGGTTAATCCTATGTTATGCTCTCTCATGTTATGAAGGTTGGAGCTAAACCAGCTTATATTCGAGCTGTTATCATTATTATGATTGAGAACTCCTGTTTTAAGAGGTAAAGGGCATTAGACCAACAAATCTCTTAGCTTTGGCTTCAATTGGTAAGTCAGGTATATGAACGAAATCTCAAGGTCGATACTATCATATAATTTGAAAAAATCTAATTGAGTCGTTGGGAGATAAGTAATCTTATCAAAATTATTCAGTGGTTTAACAGTAGAAAATTAAGCATTAACTACTCTAAAACACATTTTTTACCATTTGGATCTTATGCTAGACATCTGCCAAATTACACAAATTTCTCCTTCAATATTAATGATCAAAAAATGCAAATTAATAGAGTGCCCAACATAAAATACCTTGGAGTGGTCTTGGATCCTCACTTACGATGGGACATCCATGTCAATTATATTTTAAAGAAAGTTAGATTTGTATCCTACAAAATTAAATACCTTGGGAATATATTGACAGAAAAATATCTTCGAACATTATACCATGCACTGATTGAGCCTCATCTCACATATGGTATATTAGCATGGGAGCTGTATGTTCCTCACATATCTATAATTTAGATGTTTTTCAAAAAAGTATTCTAAAAATGATATTTAAAAAACCGAAACTTTATCCCACTGAAAAATTATACGCAGATGTTCGAATGTATGTTATAAGACAGCTTTATTTCTTACACAGTATCACTCACCACCATAAATTTGTAAACACCGACCAAAAAATTAAACATAATCATTATACCAGGTACAAAATTCGTGGCACAGTAGTTCCTCAACCGCATAAATCTATAATGCAGCGATCATATCTCTATTTAGCGCCTAAATTTTATGAAATTATACCTAAAGACTTAAAAGATTTACGTTTCGGAAATTGTTTCAAAAGAAATTTAAAAAAGTGGCTACATTCTATATCTAGGACTGAAATTCATAAACTCATAAATACGAACATCAACTAAATACATAATCTACTGTAGCTAATTTTTGTCCTTTTTTTCATTTGTATTCTACAGTTTCAACTTAAATGATTGGTCCATGTACAGGCGATGCCTTCTATTGGGCCTGTTTTGATTTTGATTTTATATTTATTTACTCATATTGTTTGTTATCTTTGTACATTGAGTGAATAAATATTATTATTGTTATTATTATTATTTTGTATGGTATCGACGTAATTCAAAACAGAAATCGAACGCCAAATGATCCGATAAATGTGTGTCGTAAGCATCAACAGATTTTTGCAAATTAACATAATTTGTGAATACATTGCCTAAACAATTGGTATTTCTAGTACTCGTATTTACTAACACTTAATGCTGTAATCCATAACTCCTTCAACAGATTAACTACTAGTTGAGCCTGATACTGAGGTGTTAGACTTAACATTGAAGTCACCAGTAACAATAATTTTCTTGCGTTTCAGATCCAAAACAATGCAGCTGCAACATTTTAGTCGAAGATTGCATTAACAATTAACCAGTGTGTTACGACAATAGTTCTGGGTGGGTTTTCGCGTTTTTTTTTATTTTGAGTGCTTTTGGCGTTTTTGGGACGATGGACGAGGGTGAGGTGTCTGGTACATTGAAAAACGATAAATAACCATGCTCGCTTGCCACTTTGCGAGGCTGGAAAAAACAACCGAAGTGTCAGACTATGGTAGTGTTCGAATACTTGGTATTCTGAGTACATTTTTTTGAAGGGTTCGACATTTTTTAAAAATCCAAGACTGTCGACATTTTCCAACTTTCTGATTACTTTGGGTGCAATTAAAAAAATCAGGTGAACATTTTCTAGTTTCTAAGATTTCCGTGGAACCACATTTTTTATACTTCCGGTGGTTTTTACTTACCTTTTCTCATAGCGATACCGTAACCTTTCTCATCAAGTAGTCCACCATACTGTTTAAGAGTGCAGTGCCTTTGAACAGCGTACTCTATGGAGGTAGACTCCATAAAGAATGCGTACTTTTCATTTACAGCTCGTAGTACCCCCTCATCGTTTTCTTTAACGTTTTCTGGATGGTCTATCATGTATTGACCCACTTTTCTGAATAGCGTACCTTCTTCTGCCGTCTGTAGAGGACATCATTGTCTAGTATAGTTAGTATATTTTATATCTAGGTACAAACGTTAAATCATTGTTTAGTATCAGTGCCAAGATCTCTTTTCTTAGCAGAGACAATTCATGTAAAATTTTAGGTCTCATTCGAAAGTGCATTTAGTGTTACAATAAAGTCAGTAACATAGGGAACGTATCTCCCTTTCTTTTTTTGTAAGGGTCGATGCATACTAGTTTCTACACCAGTGGAGACATTAAGTCAAATAGATTGAGTCTGCAAATATACAGGGAAATGGCGGATGGCTGAGGCTATTGGCTATTTATAACGCCTAATTAATTTACATTTTGCCTCAGTTTTAAGGAGAAATAATGATTGTTCCTTTTATTGAGAAAATCACCAGTTTTTAAATTTAAGTAATATTTTTTCTATTTACGGTCGCCACGGCGCAAAATGATTTTATTCTTATGTCTACTGTTACTTCATTCAGATTCAAGCAACCTTTGATACAAACAGTTGAAGAACAAGTAACAGTGGAGCAACAAACGTCCTTAAATCAATGGAAAAAATGTTACGTCAACCTGACAATAAGAAAAAAAAATAACACAAAAGAGTACGGGATTTTCAAATGTAATTAAGAACTTCTCTAGTTAACAAGCTTTCTAACAGTATGCCGTATGTAATATAAATAATTAGATAACTCAACAAAAAGTAAATTTATCTTCAACGATTTGTGATAGTGGATGCAGCCAAATCATTCCAATTACCAAATTGAGCAGGTACAAACTTCTGTCTCATTCTAATACAGCTAAACCTATTATTCTCTTTTCGCTCGCTTTATTGTGAATCTTGTTCAAATTGAGTTCCATTAAAAAATATTGAAACTAAATTTAAAAACTGGGGATTTTCTCAAAAAAAAAAACATTATTTCTCCTTGAAACTGAGGCAAAATGTAAATTAATTAGGCGTTGTTAACAGCTAATAGCCTCAGCCATACGCGACTTCCGTTTGGCTACTCACCCTCCAAACACCTTGTATATTATATTTAGTTGAATTTTAGGTTACAAAAATTTTATAATCATCGGTTTTAAGCTGATGTGAAAGAAATGCTGAAATAGCTGTCAATTTATACAGGGTATCTCAAAACGCGTGTAGAGTATGTTGTTTTCTCATTATTTCAAATGAAACACTCTCTATATTTATATACCATTAAATAGGTTTCCATGGGAAATTTTCTTTTTGTTATAGGCTTATACCACTTTTTCCGAAGAGGTTTCGAATTATAGCTATTGATTCCAAGACAAAAATATATTCCACATTTGGTCTTAAAATCAGATCTTCCATAAAAACGCAGAGTTTTTTTTTGCACAACAAGGCTCATTTTAACCCTAGACAGTAATTAATTATTATATTGTTGTAATATATACAGGGTGACTTTGAAGTTGAGTCATTAATTTTCAGATAATGATTGTAGAAGGAAGATAAACCAAAATATGTGTGTAAAAATAAAAAATAAATAAAAAAAATTTTTACCTTGTTTTATAAAGTATCCTCCCGACAAGTATTTCAGTGCGAACCTGTATTTGATCGTGAGGTCTTGGAGCACCGGCATTCCCTCCCCTGTGAGGTCTTAAGTCACCTGATTCACGAGCCCGTTGTACTACATTAACAAAGGCACGAGGGGTGGTTGCACTCGACGCAGCAAACACCACTATTCACTCACGCGTTACCGACTGACACATTGACTGAATAAAAACATCGTGATCAGCGTTTCAAATTCTTTCGCTTTTTTGTTTCCGATGCGATGAACCGATAAGGCGGATTATATACGTTGTTGCCAAACACGAGCACATAATATTATTATTGAGACAGGGCGGTACTCAAACTTCTAAAGGGCTATAACTTTGTTACTTTAATTTTACCAGAAAAATGTTAAAGGAAAAAAACATTTCTTTTGATCAGATCTACTCACTGTTAAAATAAATGACTCAACTTCGAAGTCACCCTGTATATCTCAAGTAGTTCTGTTGATTCCTAGATGTTTGATCTCAGATCCAGAATTTTTCCACAACCGCATTGTTTCAGCAACTTGGGTAACACGATTTCCTATGTATGTATGTATATATTATTTTATTTAACCAAAACGACACAAAGTGTATATGGCAAGTCATATTTAAAGTAAAAGGAAAAAACAATTGTCTGTCAAAATAATTTCACGCCGACCTTGAATTTATTGTAAGGCTCTATTTTTCTAAATTAAATAGTTGGTTTGTTAAATAAGATTACACAATTATAATAGGGTGACTGCTTAAAATTTGATGTAATGTGATTTTGTACAGCTAGAGGATTGGTGTTTTTAGTCTGATATGAGTGATGATACCCTAAAGATTCAAAAATGTTCTGGTTTGCTTTAACAAAGGTAACACATTTCAAAATGTATATACAACACAAGGTCAATATATACTCAGTGGCATTGTTACACCCAGAAAAAATATTTTCTTCAACTTGTTTTTTTCGCAACATAATGACTATGTTTAAAGCATGCTGTGGCAACAATGTCAACGTTTTATCTTTGTTTTTGTTTATCTTTGTTGAAATGTTATCTCTTAGTTTTTGCGAAGAAAGCAATTTCTGAGAGCTGAGCAGTACAGTTATTTTGAGTCGTTGCCCTTTCATTTACTAGTGATAAGCATAACAAAATGCCTCGAGTTCGAATATGTCCAAATTATCACCTTGTTAGCGACTTGGACAGGGATGGAATTATTGCCTATCGAGATGTTGCTTTGTCCTATCGCGAAATTGGCCGCCGAGTTGATTGTACTGCAATGACGATAATGCGTGTGTGGGTAGAAGGAGGTAGAGGAACACGAAGAAGGTCAGCTGGTCCACCGAGGCGTACCACAGAGCGTCAAGATAGGCGCTTCAGATAACTAGCCTTACGAGATCTTTTTGCTACTATGCGTCAGATCGCTGACCAATGGTTTGGTGAAGAATATGGACCTGTCACTATGCGTACATTCTATAGCCGCGTTAGAGCCTTTGGACTTTTTTCATACCGTCCACGGTTAGTGCTTCCTCTGATTGAGCACCACTGTCGTCAACGTTTGAACTGGTGCAGAGAACGGCAGCATTGGGGGCAGAATGGTATAATGTCATCTTCAGCGACGAATCACGACACGGTTTAGGTACGCACGATGGTAGTAGAAGGGTAAGACGCCGCCGAGGAGAACGGCGTTATATTGGATTTGCTGCTGAGAGACATGTAAATAGGACTGTTGGAGTAATGGTTTGGAGGACTGATGCCTATGGTAGCCGATCACCCCTTCTCTTTGTGCAAGACAATATGACTGCTGCGCGTTATGTGATGTCCTACAAACCACTTTACTGCCGTGTCAGGATGGCCGTCCACACGTCCTTTTTCAGCAAGATAACTCACGTCGCCATATTGCTCGTCGTACTACGGACTTTCTTCAAGAAGCAGGCGTAAATGTTTTGCCGTGGCCACCCTGTTCACCCGATTTAAATCCGATCGAACATGTGTGGGATATGATGGGGAGACTATCCACTTTCCACTATCCGCCACAGACTATGCCACAACTAATTCACGAAGTTCGAGTTGCTTGGAATGAGGTGCCATAACCAGACATCGATCATCCCATTTTGTGGATGCCTAGACATATACAGGAGTGTATTCCGCTGCAGGGCCGCCCAACACATTATTATTTATTTTTTATTACTTGCTAATAGAATTTCGTGAGAATGTTTTCGTTTCATTCTTGATGTAAGACTACGTCATTGCCAAAAAATCAAGTTGAAGAAATCTTTTTTTCTGGGTGTAACACTAATGTCACTGAGTATAGATAATATATACTAAGTGACATATAAATCCGAACACCCAGTTTAAATGGTTTTATTTGAATAAAATTTTATAAAGTACATAATGAAGCATAATAAGTAAATGATAAAAATTTCAAAATGATTCCACTGCTTTAAAGCCCTTTGACCTTTAATAATGTGTGGATGCACCCTGATGTGCTACGCATTCTCCAACGCGCCTAGGCATGCTTCTGATCAGGTGGTCAATATCCTCCTGTGGTATCTCATTCCAGGCAACCACCAACTCCTCTCGAAGTGCTTCTAGAGTCTGAGGAGGACGTTGCAAATTGAGCAATCTCCTACCCATCATATCCCACACGTGCTCAATTGGGGATAAGTCGGGAGATCTTGGTGGCCATGGTAACAATGTGACATCATTATGTTGAAAGAAGTCTATTGTGACTCTTGCAACATGTGGTCGGGCATTATCTTGTTGGAAAGTTGGGTCTGCCAGGGTGTCAAGATAGGGTAAAAGATGGGGTTCCAGAACTTCGTGGATATAACGCTGCGCGTTCATGTTACCTCTGATGAAGATTAAAGGTGACCTGGAACCATAAGCTATAGCACCCCAAACCATAACTCCACCAGTGTGATGAACATGTCTTTCAACAAAAAACTGTGGATTCCTCCTTTCACCGCGTCGCCTTCTAACCCTGGCACGACCATCGTGCATGCCTAAACAAAATCGAGACTCGTCACTAAAGACAATACTGTTCCATTCCTGATCCCAGAGTGACCGTTGTCTGCACCACTCAAGGCGATTACGTCGGTGTTCTCGAGTTAAAGGGAGGACCCAGTGTGGCCGGTATAAAAACAAGCCAAAACTTCTCATTCGTCGGTAAACACTTCGCATGCCAATAGGTCTTCCGTGTTCTGCAAACCATTCATTTGCAATGGACCTGGTAGTGGAGAAACGGTCCCTTAAGGCCAATAATCTTAGGCGGCGATCTTCACGGTCTGTTATTCTACGGCGGCGTCCAGTGCCCCTTGCTCTTTGCGTACGGCCTTCTCGAAGCCATGCCTGACAACACCTAACCACAGTGTCTACACTTCTTTGCACTCTAACTGCAATTGCCCGAAAAGAAAGTCCAGCTTCCCGAAGTCCCACTATACGGCCCCTATCAAACTCACTAAGTTGACGAAATCGTACAGGTCTCCGTACTCTAGGCATCGTAACCGATCGTAAAGGATGTCAAGAACCAAAATCCGCCAACGTTGATTCTTTACTGCGGCTGGAATATTCATTTTTAGAGCGTTAGTGAATTAAAAAAAAGCAGTATAAAAACCGGAATGTCCAACTGATAAGGCTGAAAATTTTTTCACTTGTTATTTACAGTAAGATAAATACATTCACCAAGTTTTATTAAAATAAAACCATTTAAACTGGGTGTTCGGATTTATATGTCACTTAGTATAAATATGGATTTGTAGCATTATTTTTGCGAGTTTCAGATATGAATATATAAAAAAGTTCAATATTAATATGAGCCCGACACTATTCCGTCTTTATCCTATAGACCCAGGGCCCCGGCTTGAAGGGGGGCTACAAATGTCAAACCAAAATGTCTGAGTACCTCTTCCCCAACGGTAAAATAATGCCCCGGATTTGGCTCTGGCATGGGGCACTTCAGCCGTAGATCCAGAACTTTCTGTGTGCCCAGTGGCACTACAGGGTGACTTCGAAGTTGAGTCATTTATTTTAACAGTGAGTAGATCTGATCAAAAGAAATGTTTTTTTCCTTTACCATTTTTCTGGTAAAATTAAAGTAACAAAGTTATAGCCCTTTGGAAGTTTGAGTACCGCCCTGTCTGAATAATAATATTATGTGCTCGTGTTTGGTTCATCGCATCGGAAACAAAAAAGCGAAAGAATTCGGAACGATGTTTTTACAATTATTTTAGTCAGTTGTATACAGTCAGTGTCAGTCGGTAACGCGTTTGAATAGTGGTGTCTGTTGCGTGGCTCAAACGAAATAAAAAATGGCACATGTTTATGCGGATCGGTTTCCCAATCGAGTGCAACCAACCCCTCGTGCCTTTGTTAATGTAGTACAACGGGCTCGTGAATCAGGTGACTTAAGACCACACAGGGGACTGCATGCCGGTGCTCCAAGACCTCACGATCAAATACAGGTCCGCACTGAAATACTTGTCGGGAGGATACTTTATAAAACAAGGTAAACAAATTTTTTTATTTTTTTTTTATTTTTACACACATATTTTGGTTTATCTTCCTTCTACAATCATTATCTGAAAATTAATGACTCAACTTCAAAGTCACCCTGTATATACAGGGTGTTTCAGAACCAAGCGATCAAACTTCTAGGGGTTATTCATTGTAACAGTAGAAAACATTTGAGTATAGAGACCCATATCCGGAAAAGCGTCACCACGGCACTATGGCCTTAAGACGCGTTGAAATTTAGAAAGACGATGAATTGCCTAAATGGGATTTAATGCATTTAATTTTTGCCTTTCGTACATAAAAAAAAAAGAATTAAAAACAGACTGGCTCAATATCAAGGATGGTGATTAATAGGAAAGAACGGTAGATTAAAATGAATGATATTACATATAACAGGGCAATAACAGAAATAAAAATAACATAAGCAGTAATTTATTTAAGTTATTGAGAGATGCTAACTTGTAAACGTTCATCCTGTTGGTATGCATCCAAATTCCAAAATAAAAACAAAAGATATGAGGGGACAGGCAGCAGCGGTGGCCGCAGTAGTAGACTCTTCGGTCTCCTGATCAGTCGCCGTGCGCTGTACGGGTTCGAGTCCCGTCCCAGGAGAAATTTTTCTCTTGGCTATGGATGTTGTGATTGTTCGTAGGTGGTAGACGGTCTCTGACTATCTAACGGGGTGGTACCACCCGGCGGATCTCGTAGGCGGAGCCAGAATGTGTGCATGTTGCATGCACACGTGTTGTTTCGCCAGAGTCCGTGTGGCGTTCCCCCTTTCCCATGTATCCTCCTATAGCCCCACGGTACCCAATGGGCGCTTAGGCCACAACAATTGTTCACAATGTCTTCCTCCAACCTGAATACACTGATTTAAGCGTCGCACATGATTTCGGCGGACTTAACTAAAAATTTGATACTCGTTTTGATGATCCCATAGTTCTGAAACACCCTGTAAAGCTTAAAACAGTCCTGGTCCGATATACTAACCGTGAAAAACCTGTGTGTGGCTCCGCCCTCCTTAGCGCCATATTTGATGCCATGCTTGTTTTCGTAAAGGCTCTCCAGATCTGTGATCAGCTCGACTGGGTTCTCAGTCGCCAGGAAGGCAGCTAGATTGGCCGTATATGATGCAACGATAATCAAACAGAAAAACCACCACATGCCAGCAACCATACGCGTCGACATTGCACTGGAATAGAAAAGTGGCGTCAAATAGGTTGATTCTGCATTTGACATGCAACGTGGGACAAGTTAGTCCATCTGAGCTGGCTACAAACATGTATAACAAAAAAGTTGAAGGGTTCAAGTCAGCCTATCTGGCCCATACAGTTAGTATATGCGGGGGACTCTACGTTGTGTGAAATACGTACTAATACATGGGTAAGACTACCGGGGTTGGAAGCGTATAAATATACTAAGTGACATATAAATCCGAACACCCAGTTTAAATGGTCTTATTTTAATAAAAGTTGGTGAATGTACGAGTATTTATCTTACTGTAAATAACAAGTGAAACAATTTTCAGCCTTATCAGTTGGACATTCCGGTTTTTATACTGCTTTTTTTTTAATTCACTAACGCTCTAAAAATGAATATATCAGCCGCAGTGAAGAACCAACGTTGGCGGATTTTGGTTCTTGACATCCTTTACGATCGGTTACGATGCCTAGAGTACGGAGACCTGTACGATTTCGTCAACTTAGTGAGTTTGATAGGGGCCGTATAGTGGGACTTCGGGAAGCTGGACTTTCTTTTCGGGCTATTGCAGTTAGAGTGCAAAGTGTAGACACTGTGGTTAGGTGTTGTCAGGCATGGCTTCGAGAAGGCCGTACGCAAAGAGCAAGGGGCACTGGACGCCGCCGTAGAACAACAGACCGTGAAGATCGCCGCCTAAGATTATTGGCCTTAAGGGACCGTTTCTCCACTACCAGGTCCATTGCAAATGAATGGTTTGCAGAACACGGAAGACCTATTGCGAAGTGTTTACCGACGAATGAGAAGTTTTGGCTTGTTTTCATACCGGCCACACTGGGTCCTCCCTTTAACTCGAGAACACCGACGTAATCGCCTTGAGTGGTGCAGACAACGGTCACTCTGGGATCAGGAATGTGTGTCTTTAGTGACGAGTCTCGATTTTGTTTAGGCATGCACGATGGTTGTGCCAGGGTTAGAAGGCGACGTGGTGAAAGGAGGAATCCAGTTTTTTGTTGAAAGACATGTTCATCACACTGTTGGAGTTATGGTTTGGGGTGCTATAGCTTATGGTTCCAGGTCACCTTTAATCTTCATCAGAGGTAACATGAACGCGCAGCGTTATATCCACGAAGTTCTAGAACCCCAACTTTTACCCTATCTTGACACCCTGGCAGATCCAACTTCCCAACAAGATAATGCCCGACCACATGTTGCAAGAGTCGCAATAGACTTCTTTCAACATAATGATTTCACATTGTTACCATGGCCACCAAGATCTTCCGACTTATCCCCAATTGAGCACGTGTGGGATATGATGGGTAGGAGATTGCTCAATTTGCAACGTCCTCCTCAGACTCTAGAAGCACTTCGAGAGGAGTTGGTGGTTGCCTGGAATGAGATACCACAGGAGGACATTGACCACCTGATCAGAAGCATGCCTAGGCGCGTTGGAGAATGCGTAGCACATCAGGGTGCATCCACACATTATTAAAGGTCAAAGGGCTTTAAAGCAGTGCAATCATTTTGAAATTTTTATCATTTACTTATTATGCTTCATTGAGTACTTATACAAAATTTTATTAAAATAGAACCATTTAAACTGGGTGTTCGGATTTATATGTCACTTAGTATAGTTTTGGGTCGTTAAGGTTTTCAAAATGGGTAGAGGAAAGGTTATTAGTGAGAAAATTCGGTTACTGATAATTAAATTTTCTAATTCAGGGAAATCAAACTCAGAAATATCAACTTTGTTAGACTTATTGCGGTACAGTGTGAGGAATATTGTTAGAAGATATAACGTAACTGGTCCAGTTAATATTAAGCCACGATATGTGAAAAACAGTAATATCACAAATGCCGACCGAAGAGCATTAAGAAAAATAATCGTGAAAAACAGGCGTGCTAATTATTTACAATTAAGTGCTCTGTGGAGTGACGCTATTGGAAGGAGAATTTCGAGGTCTACAACTCATAGAGAGGCCCACAAAGTGCAGTAAAAACTCTAAAGTTGCACAACTTTTTTATAGGCCAAAGAAAAGCCATTATTAACTCCACCGCAAAAAAAATCGGCTTAGATGGGCTAAAGAACATAGACAATGGACACCTCAACAATGGTGTGCAATACAATGGAGTGATGAGGCCCGAGGTTTGTGTTGGTGACAGTCGCAGTAGAGTTATTCGCAAAAAATGAAGCATCCCATGTTGACTGAAGAGAAAAGTGAAATTTCCTCCATTATGGTCTGGGGCATTATGTCATCAAAAGGAGTAGGAAAACTTCATTTTATTGATGGAAATGTGGATACAAACAAATATTTGGCAATTTTAGAAGAATCGCTTTTACCAGTGATCGAAGAATGTTTGACATCCGGCCAAGATTTTGTGTTTCAGCACGATGGTGCAGCGTGCCATACCTCAAAAAAGGCTATAAAATATATGGAAGAAAATAATGTACCACTTTTCAAATGCGTTTCTAGCAGTCCAGATCTGTCACCTATTGAAACTTTGTGGCACGAGATGAAAAAGGTTCTACGACAACATCCTGCTCGTACAATCACTGAACTGAGATAAAAGCTTCAAGAAATATGGGATTGTTTTGCACCAAATTTTTGCCAAAACTTGGTTAACACTATGCCCCATAGAATTTCAGCCGTAATAAAAAATAAAGGTGATGTTACTCAATGGTAATCTTTCAGTAGTTGCTTTGTTAACTTCGCGCATTTATTCGCACATTGTTTATTTGTTCAGATGTTCTATTAGTTATAGGTCTAAGTGATTTATGTATTTTTTACGACTAGAGTGTATCTAAAATGTTTTTGAGAAAATAAATTGTTTTAGAAGTAAATAGTTTCGTCATGTTTAGTTTATAAAGGCATTGTTTGGTACAAATCTTGAAGTGGGCCAACTGAAGTGGGAAGGGGCTCGTAGTATATTATAGGCGGATGATCAGCTTAAAAGAAACCCTTTTTTTTAAAGCAAAAATCAGCAGAAACAACATGTTAAAAGCTTAAAATGTGTTTGTTTACCATGTATTACTTTATTAATAAAGATACATACAAAAGTTATACGTAATTTTGAAATTTGCATTTTCTCAGAATCTGATACACATATTACAGGCATACGTACTGTGTAGATGTATGTGTAAAAACCGTAAATCATTTGGTGAAAAAGCTAGTAATTTTCATTTGAACAGATTGTTTTGTGTATATTATTTAGAACAGCAAGTTGAATTTTATTTAATTTGGTAAGTGTGGCTGTAGTGTCTTCTTCTTGCTGAAAATAATGTTGCAACTTGCAGTCTAATGCCTCCTTAGTTGTCACTGGAAGCTCTTCTTCATCGTTGTTTTCTAGTTCGTCTTCCTGTTCGTTATCAACGGATCTTTCATTAACCAAATTGGAGTCTGACAATTCCTGTGTTGCTATTAAATTATTGTCAACATTTACATACTCATTAAATTTGTCTATATTGAGTAAACTATTAATGTTTAGTAAATCACTTAATGGAATTTGATCTTCTGGATTAAAAACGTTGACTATCTCTGTTATGTTTTTCACTACACCAGCATGGCGAAAACAATTACGAATCGTTTCTGGAGTAACCAATTCCCATTCAATAGTAAGCAAATTTATAGCATCTACAATGGTGACAGCTTTGGTAATGTTGACATCTTTTTGAAGCTCCATAATTTTCATCAACGTATGTTTCCAAGACTCCAAATGACACCCTGGTCCATTGGTTGCACAACTGATGTCACATTGGGTGGAAAAAATTGAAGGTTGATGTTATTAAGTGAAACATTTGGATGAGCGGGGCAGTTATCGACCAAGAGCAAAATTTACGATTTTTCTTAACAAGTTCAGAGTCCCACTTTATTAAATATTCTTCAAACATTGATGTCATGAAATCATCGAAGTTTTATTATTTCCATTATAATCGACGGGAACTGTTTTACCATTTTTGAAACACATAGGATTCTTAAATTTCCCTGAGATAAAAAAGTCATAAATTTTTTCCAGCACTGCCATTGAATATCAAAAAAATTAGAACATGAATTTTTATTAATTCAGTTAACTATTATCAATAGTTTTCGTTTGGTACCAGAAGCATTAGCACAAGTCATAACAGTTATTCGCTCTTAGTTTACCTCCATTTCAAGTTTCACCTTTTAATTTATGAGTTTTATCTGGTAGCATTCTATAAAATATCCCGATTTCCTCTGAATTGAATAATCATCTGAATAATAACTAGATATTACGGGAATAACTTGAGAAATCCAGTCATTAGTAACGTTCTTGTCAACTGAAGCTGACTCACCACACATTTTTCAAAAAACAATGTAATGTCTTTTCTTAAACCTGTCTAGCCAACCGGGACTACATTTGAAGTAATCTAGAATAAATTTCCCAAATTCTTCAGCCTTTATTTGTAGCATAGGTCCACTTATTGGAAAATTATTAGCACGCTTTTATTGAAACCATTTAAACAGCATGTCATCGACTTGGGGATAGCCGCATTTTTTCTTTTAACTATTTGATTTCCAGTAATTTTTAATTTAGTCACGGTTTCTCCAAATATTTGACACAGTGGATTTTTTTATAGCCATACGAGCACATATCTTTTCTTGAGATGAACCCTGTATTATCCCAAAAGTTTTTTTCTCTTATGGTTAGATTTTTTGTACTAGTTTTTTGCTCCTCCTGAAAATAGGTAAAAATGGACAAAATGCAATTTGCAAGTCTGCTCCTAATATATAAATGTTTCTCGAAGTTTCCGTCTCGTCTAGCTTATGTAGATTAGAGTGGATTTTGGACTATAATATCGGTATTTAATTTGCTTGACTTACATTGGTGCAATTTCAGAACCTTGTGCCATCAAACTGCCTGTTGTAAACCAGACACTGTTGAAGAAGCTGAACTGGTTGACCAAGTATTCTGGCTCCTGGACACATGGAAATGGGTTGGTCCATTCATCGGGTACCAATCGGCCGATTACAAATAGGGCTATGGATACTACGAAGAAAGATACTACCAGTGCCATCCAGGTATCTGGGGCGAACGGATCCGCAAAAGAGAAGAAACTCGGTGGGGCATTCTCAGGCTTGCGGAATAAGATGCTGATACCTACAAAATTATAGCAGTTATTCACAATGAGATAATACAGAGGCCATGATTTCGTTAACATGTTAAAAAAGAAGTAGTGCATTATATGCAAGGTTAAAAAGTGGACCATCAGTTGCCGAGAACTTTTATAGATAAGATAGGAATTGGTCTTGTCAGACAAGGTATGTATATATAGGGTGCTTCAGAAAGGATGTGCCAATATTTCTAGGGTATAAGTACATCTAAAAATATTGAATAAAGTTCCTATAAATATTGTTCCAAAGATGGACGTAGAAACTACCTGTACCACTAATAGGAAATATTCTCTAAAATACCATACAATTTTCCATAGATTTTGTCTCTTTAGGAATTCTTGTCAGATCACTCGTTTTGGGCATATTACGGTTTGAACCATGAAGATTGATATTGGAAACACTATATGACATGTGAAAAAAGCTATGGCACCTCATTACAATATTAATTGAATAATATGTGTGTCTTATCCTCAATAAGTGGCGTAGAAACTTACCATTCAATAGACATTGTCCATATACACCACTGGTTCTCATGGTATACTTCTCCTGGTATTACCCATATTACATCCTTCTGTTTGTTTAATAGCAAAGTAATTATGGAACCAATCAATTTGAGTAAATTCTTGTTATTGTATTTCTTAAATTATCGCCCTTTTTTCTCAAAATTCTTTAGCATTTCGGATTAAGAAGATATCACAAATCGGTGGCAACATCGGACACGAAGTATTCGGAGGAGGTTCACCATATGATTTATTTCTTTCTCATAGACAGGAGCAGAGATAGTAATAAAAAAATAGGAACAGTAGGCTGTTAGCAGAGCCAATATGCTACCGTCAAAAAATACAAATGAACTCTAGATGACAAACTCTGTATGACTGAATACAGTCAATCTTAGTTGAGCTATTTATCTATTTTTCTAATAAATGGCAGACATGCACCTGATATATGGTCAAGCAAGTGGATATTCATAAGAGGTAGTGAGACGATATACAGGGTGGTCCATAAGTCCTTTGAAACTTCAAATTTGAATAAAATTTAACGGGTGAGCGTGAGCGGCGCGGGCGAGGTGGGGGCAGTATCTTCAGTGTCTGGGAATTCAGTCGCCATGGAGTGTTTCACTGGAGCGGATCGTGCTTTTTGTGTGCGCGCGTTTTATCAAAATAATGATTCGGCAACCATTGCGCGGCGTAAATATCGAGAATACCACAATTTACACAATTTTACAAAGTGTCCAATAGCTCAAACGATTAAGAACTGGGTTGCTAAGTTCGAAGAGACTGGTTCGACGTTAGATAAACAGCGGTGGGGTCGACCAAGGACAACTCGTATTGAAGAAAACATCAACATTGTGGCACAGTCTGTTCGTCAAAATCCTACCCCGTCTACTCGTAAGCGTTCCAGTGCACTAAACGTACCCAGAACATCTTTACAGCGGATTTTAAGAAAAGATTTACGTCTGCACGCTTACAAAATTCAGTTAGTGCAGGAATTAAAAGATAATGACGCTATTCAGAGACTAAACTTTGCGAATGAAATGTTAAATCGATTTTCTTCGCTCAATAATGTGTTGTTCTCGGACGAGGCTCACTTCAATTTCAACGGGCATGTAAATAAACAAAATTGCCGTTATTGGAGCCCCGAAAATCCAAGGCGTAAGCATCAGAAGCCCTTACACAGCCCTAAAGTTACAGTTTGGGCTGCTATGTCAGCGCATGGCATCGTAGGCCCTTATTTTTTTGAGGACGACAGAGGTCGCGCATTAGCTGTTACTTCGGAGCGGTATGTAGCAATGATAGAAGAGTTTTTGACACCAGCGTTGCAGAATTTTCCAGGCTATAATACGCAGACCTGGTTTCAACAGGACGGAGCAACTGCCCACACCTCCAACACTTCTATGCCCGTCGTCTGTCAACTTTTTCCCAGCAAAGTAATTTCTCGAAGAGGAGACATTTCCTGGCCACCACGTAGTCCAGATTTGACCCCAATGGACTTCTTTTTATGGGGCTACCTCAAGAGTAAAGTGTACGACACCACTCCGCGATCAGTTGATGTCCTGAAAGAAAATATCCGAAGAGAAATGGCAAGCATAACAGTGTTGACTTGCCGCGCAGTCATCGACAATTTTAGTCGTCGTTTATATGAGTGCCGTGATCGTAATGGATTGCATTTAGACGATGTGATTTTTAAAACATAATTCCCATTCAATAAAGATGATAACAAAATATAATAATTCTTCATAATGTAACTAGTTTGGTTTTATTCCTTTTTTCCAGCTCAAAGGACTTATGGGCCACCCTGTATAAAAACCTTCCCAAGAAGAATAGTTCCTAGTCTTCTTCACATGCCATATAGCGTTTCGAATATCAAGCTTCATGGTGTTTTCAGAATAGGGCTAAACCTTTTCATAAGAATATTTTAGGATTTTACCTCAAATGTTCAGAACCTAAATATCTCCAAAATGAGTGATCTGACATAAATTCCTTGGGAGACTAAATTTATGGAAAATAATTTTTTTCTCCGGAAAGGCCAGTGACGTAGAAAATATTTCCTATTAGGGGTCAAGATACCTACGTCCTGGTTTAGTTAGGGCCGAGAAACTTTGTGTTTATTGCTTATGGTGAACGTCCACAAAATTTTAATTCGGAATCTTTACCCGCTTTGTAGATATATTTTTTTTCTATTTCCTGAATAAAACTTTATCACCATGTTTCTCGGTAGGGGAGCATATTTATAGGAGCTTTTTGTTATTTTTGGATGTACTTTCTACCCTAAACATATTGGCACGTCTTCCTGCAACACCCTGTAGACTTATCTTCACTACCAACACCTTAAAGAGTGTTCTTTACAGAGCATGTAGCTATAGCAAAGGGTAGCTATAACAAGAGACAAAGACAAAGGCTTTCTTCTACAGAAGAGCCCAACGCAACTGTTGGTTACATCATCGCGTGCTGGTATACGATAAAAACTAGTAAAAACGTATTTTGATGGTAAACAGCAAACTTGCAGGGACTGCGTTTCTGAAAAAAAGTCCTTTTTATAGCACACCGAATTCAAAATAACTGTAGAATGAAACAGGTGACAATAAAAACAATTTTTTAAATTTAAAACAAAAAATGCCTATAATAGAACAACTCTTCAACATTATAAAAACACTGATTGATAAGAAAACTGAAACCACAAAAATTGGTGTACTCATTTTATGTGTCTATGTTTTAAGTATCCCCTTGAACAACTTGCAGCAATAAAACAACACTTTACAATTACTTACAGGACTTTTTCGTCTATGATTATAGAGGGTGGTCCATAAGTCGTTTGAAATTTCAAATTTGAATAAAATTTAACGGTTGAGCGTGAGCGGCACGGGCGAGGTGGGGGCAGTATCTCGGAATTCAGTCGCCATGGAGTGTTTCACTGGAGCGGATCGTGCTTTTTGTGTGCGCGCGTTTTATCAAAATAATGATTCGGCAACCATTGCGCGGCGTAAATATCGAGAATACCACAATTTACACAATTTTACAAAGTGTCCAACAGCTCAAACGATTAAGAACTGGGTTGCTAAGTTCGAAGAGACTGGTTCGACATTAGATAAACAGCGGTGGGGTCGACCAAGGACAACTCGTATTGAAGAAAACATCAACATTGTGGCACAGTCTGTTCGTCAAAATCCTACCCAGTCTACTCGTAAGCGTTCCAGTGCACTAAACGTACCCAGAACATCGTTACAGCGGATTTTAAGGAAAGATTTACGTCTGCACGCTTACAAAATTCAGTTAGTGCAGGAATTAAAAGATAATGACGCTCTTCAGAGACTAAACTTTGCGAATGAAATGTTGAATCGATTTTCTTCGCTCAATAATATGTTGTTCTTGGACGAGGCTCACTTCCATTTAAATGGGCATGTAAATAAACAAAATTGCCGTTATTGGAGCCCCGAAAATCCAAGGCGTAAGCATCAGAAGCCCTTACACAGCCCTAAAGTTACAGTTTGGGCTGCTATGTCAGCGCATGGCATCGTAGGCCCTTATTTTTTTGAGGACGACAGAGGTCGCGCATTAACTGTTACTTCGGAGCGGTAGGTAGCAATGATAGAAAAGTTTTTGACACCAGCGTTGCAGAATTTTCCAGGCTATAATACGCAGACCTGGTTTCAACAGGACGGAGCAACTGCCCACACCTCCAACACTTCTATGCCCGTCGTCTGTCAACTTTTTCCCAGCAAAGTAATTTCTCGAAGAGGAGACATTTCCTGGCCACCACGTAGTCCAGATTTGACCCCAATGGACTTCTTTTTATGGGGCTACCTCAAGAGTAAAGTGTACGACACCACTCCGCGATCAGTTGATGTCCTGAAAGAAAATATCCGAAGAGAAATGGCAAGCATTACAGTGTTGACTTGCCGCGCAGTCATAGACAATTTTAGACGTCGTTTATATGAGTGCCGTGATCGTAATGGATTGCATTTAGACGATGTGATTTTTAAAACATAATTCGCATTCAATACAGATGATAACAAAATATAATAATTCTTCATAATGTAACTAGTTTGGTTTTATTCCTTTTTTTCCAGCTCAAAGGACTTATGGGCCACCCTGTACTAAAATAAGGCACATAAGAGGATGATTCACACAGCTGCTCACAGTGGCTTGCACAACTCATCAACACTGATGAGTGTTTGAGTTTCTTGATGAAGAAAGACTCCGAGGAATTTCTTATCTGTTTGGCTCTTTAATACTGAACTATTGACATTTATTCTGAATTGATCGATTATGCGCTGTTAACTGTTGAATCTGAGTACTTCCGTTTTCTCGATATTGAGAAAAAGGTCACGTCAGATCATAAAGTTAATCGGTTCCGTTAAGGACTTTTTGTATTCTTCTTCGACGACAGCATCCTCTTTTGATGAAATAAGCAAAGATATGTCATCCGTATAAACTATATATTTAATGGGATGTACATATTTCTCACATACTAAAGAAAATTAGATTCATAGCATATAAAATAAAATTTCTAACCGGTATATTAACTAAATATTATCTACGACTAATATATCAAGCTTTAGTCGAGTCACACATAACATATGGTATAGTAGTGTGGGGTGCTGCATGCACGACATACTTTAACGATTTAGATGTACTTCAAAGAAGAATTTTAAAATCAATGTTAGGCAAATCAAAATTATACCCAACTAATGACTTATATAATGATGCACAAGTATATGATACTAAACAACTTTACTTCTTACATACCATCACTCATTATCACAAAACTATTAGTGAACACGACATAATTAAACATAATCATAAAACCAGATATAAATTACGCGCAAAAAATGTTCCTAAACCAAACAAATCCCTAATGAAACGATGTCACCTGTATATAGCTCCAAAATTGTACGAACATTTACCAAATAATTTAAAACAATTACGCAATACATTAGGCTTCAAAAAAAAAATAAAAAAATTTATTAACACGATTGGGAGAAATCAAATTAATAAAATAATCTCAAATATTACACAATAAATGCTCTACCATTCTTACCAATAATTTCTTTTTTCTCTCTATTTTATTATAATTTGCAATTCAACATACATATGATCCATGCACAGGCGTTGTCCTCCTATGGATATATTATATTTATTTACTCATTTCATGTTCCCTGTATTTTAGAGTAAATAAATATTATTATTATTATTATTATATCTGATTGAAGAGGAAGAGAATCGATCCCAGTACAATACCTTGTGGCACAACCTTCCGAATTGGTATGACTTCAGAGTTGATGTTAGAATATATGCCGTCGGATTTAAAATTAATAGACACATATTGCCTCCGATTCTCAAGAAAAAAAGCCATCTATTTTGTGTACTGTACATCTAGATACAATTTGACATCACTAAGTGTGATGATGCATTTCTAACTTACCTAAAGACATAAATGGACTGGTGAAGTCGACAGCTTCCTCTCTATCTGAAGTGATTGTAAAGTCAGTAATCGCCAGATCAGCTCTCTGAAATATGTTAAATTAGACCTCTACGTTTTCAAAATGTAAGCAATGGAACCAATAATGACAACGAAACATTGTGTAGACGGATCTTAGAATATTTTGTGAATGACAAAATGACGTCAAGCATGATGACTGTGCACTTCCCATGCAACGATATCATCAGTTCATACAGGCAAAAGTTAGTCCCTCTGAGCTAGCTACAAATAAGTGTAACAAAAAATTGAATGGAACAAGACAGCCAAGCGCCGACCCATGCAATTAGTCTATACTCTATAGTTCCCACCCATTTAATAAAGCTAACGCTAGTTTCTTCCCTGCCATAAGTACTGAACCATGACCACTTCTCCACTATTTTACTGATATCTTCAAATGAAAAACATTCCAACATCCCTACCGTTAGTTACAACCAGGAAAATTACAAATTTTTTGTCGACAATTCAAAACTAATATCAAATCCTGGGAACAATTATACTCTATAAATAATATAGACAAAGCAACGCGACTGTTCATAGGGAAAATAAAAAAACTAATAGATATTAGTACCAATAAAGTAATAATTAGTCACAAAGAGAAAAGCAGAAATGCCTGGATTACCAAAGGATTAATAACATCGGCAATAGAAAAAGAAAGACTATATAATGTAATGAAACTAACGCCAACTACAGAGAATACCGACTGCTACAACCAATATAAAAATAAATTTATAGAGCTTGTAAGGCAAACCAAATGAAAACATTACCTAAATAAATTGAATAATAACTTAAATGATCCTAAGCGGCTTTGGACAACTATTGATGAGATTACTGGGAAAACAAAAGTTAAAGAGTGTGTCACTGAGTTAAATACAACATCGGAAACAGTATTAAAAAATACTCAACAGATATGCGATGAATTTGTACAATTCTTTACTGACATAGGCGAAAATTTAGCAAGTAATATACAAGCAAATGTACAAAATACTCAGCCTCCAAGAAGAACTTTGAACTCATTTATTTTGGATAAAGTCGAGCAATGTGAAGTATACACCACTGTTATGTCCTTAAAAAATCGGAAAAGTCCTGGGTTCGATGGTATTAAAAGCGAGCATTTGAAAATTATAGCCGAGGACATAACAGAACCACTCACGTACCTAATCAACAAATGCTTTGAATCTGGCATATATCCCTCAATTTTAAAAAAAGGTAATATAATACCCATACATAAATCAGGAACAAAAACAGATGTTAACAACTATAGACCAATATCAATAATATCCAGTGTAGCAAAGGTTTTTGAAAAAGTTTTATCTACTAGAATGATTCGATACCTCACAAAATTCAAAATTTTAAGTGAAAATCAATATGGATTTACAGAAGGGAAGGCTACATCGGACGCAATAACTAAAATTGTAAATCAAATACATCAAAATATTGATAACAGAATCCCTCCAATCTGCATTTTTGTTGATTTAAAGAAAGCTTTCGACACAGTTAATCGCAAATTATTATTAGAAGCATTGGAGAGAATTGGTTTCAGAGGAAACGCGTACTCACTGATCGAAAGTTATTTGTCAAATCGCCCACAATCTGTGCAGATTTCAGGATCATTTAGTAAAGAAATGTATATTAAGTGTGGTGTCCCACAAGGAACTGTCTTAGGTCCGCTGTTATTCAATATATATTTAAATGATATTTTCCAAATTAATTGTGTTGGCAAAATAACTAGTTTTGCAGATGATACTGCAATATTATATGAAGGCACTGACTGGTCTGATCTGAAAAATGTAATTGAAAATGATTTTATCAAAATTATTCGGTGGTTTAACAGTAGAAAATTAAGCATTAACTACTCTAAAACACATTTTTTACCATTTGGATCTTATGCTAGACATCTGCCAAATTACACAAATTTCTCCTTCAATATTAATGATCAAAAAATGCAAATTAATAGAGTGCCCAACATAAAATACCTTGGAGTGGTCTTGGATCCTCACTTACAATGGGACATCCATGTCAATTATATTTTAAAGAAAGTTAGATTTGTATCCTACAAAATTAAATACCTTGGGAATATATTGACAGAAAAATATCTTCGAATATTATACCATGCACTGATTGAGCCTCATCTCACATATGGTATATTAGCATGGGGAGCTGCATGTTCCTCACATATCTATAATTTAGATGTTTTTCAAAAAAGTATTCTAAAAATGATATTTAAAAAACCGAAACTTTATCCCACTGAAAAATTATACGCAGATGTTCGAATGCATGATATAAGACAGCTTTATTCCTTACACAGTATCACTCACTACCATAAATTTATAAACACCGACCAAAAAATTAAACATAATCATTATACCAGGTACAAAATTCGTGGCACAGTAGTTCCTCAACCGCATAAATCTATAATGCAGCGATCATATCTCTATTTAGCGCCTAAATTTTATGAAATTATACCTAAAGACTTAAAAGATTTACGTTTCGGAAATTGTTTCAAAAGAAATTTAAAAAAGTGGCTGCATTCTATATCTAGGACTCATAAATACGAACATCAACTAAATACATAATCTACTGTAGCTAATTTTTGTCCTTTTTGTCATTTGCATTCTACAGTTTCAACTTAAATTTATTGGTCCATGTACAGGCGATGCCTTCTATTGGGCCTGTTTTGATTTTATATTTATTTACTCATATTTTTTGTTATCTTTGTACATTGAGTGAATAAATATTATTATTATTATTATTATTACAAGTGCGAAGCAAAATATTATAATTCAAGATCAAGAACGCCGGCGATACAGTCAGACATACACAAGTCTGGCACATGGAGGTCGCCAACGTCCCGACTGACCGCGTGTCGCGTCTGCAAGCAATTTTAAGGGCAAACGTACGGGGAAATCTATGATGTGCAAGATATGTTTAATATGATGTGCGCAAAATTACGGTCATAGGAGAAGTGAGATATACTCCCAACCCCTTACAGCCCCCTTCAAACGGCCGCCACTGGTACCATTTTAAAAACCTACAAAGCCTTTCCTTCCTTGGTACAGTAGTTATTTCGTGTGGAAATTTCATCACAATCCGAGGATTAGCGGACAGACAGATGGACGGAAATGAGTAACAAGGCTTTTCGTGCTGTATTTTTTTACACCGAAGTAGCCGCGCAGACAGAGGCCTAAATGCCAGGACACCGCGGCTGCTATGAGGATCCCAAAGAAATTTTGTTAACCTGATTTTTGAACCGTCTAAAGTTAGTAGACCTGGAAAAGCCTAATCTTGTAAAATCTCGACACCCTAGGGACAAAAGAGCGATCGTACCGACAAGTTCTGGCTGTACAAAGTTCGACACGATCTGGATGGGAGGCCGAAGTCAGGGGGGTCTGTCTGGCAGGCACATCGCGAGGCAGCGTCATGGAGGACAGCTGTCTATAATACAACTATTTAAAACTGTAATGACTCATACGCGTGATCAACACGTGATCAGAGCTCGATCCCGGCTTCCTTCCAGTACAGCCGTATAGCGTACGACATATGTCGTTTCTGTGGCTTTGCGGTGGTCAACAGCACAGACAGAGATGGAAATAATGGCTGATTGTTCTCCGCCGGTAGAACCAATGAAATCAAAGACGCCCCTCGACCGGCAGACTCATATGCGTCGGCAACGCATTGGAACGTATTTCGTTGAGCGATCGCATATTGTGTGTTTTTATAAGAATTGTTGTGTGATTGTTATTGTTGTGGTTTCTGTGGTTACTGTTTTGGTTATACTTAACCATGGAGAGTACAAATGGCACGAGTGGAAGTACTGAAAGCCAGGGAACAAGTAGACGGCTTCGTAAAGCACTGAAGAGGGACGCGAAAGAAATCGTGCTCAACGTGTTCAATTATCTGAACAGAACTATGTCGCAGGGAGATGCACTCGCGCGTTGTGAAATGCATGAAAAGAAGAAAACTGGAGCTACTACTGATCCAAAGTTTAATTTGAAGGGACGAAAGGCCATTAAAATGGATGACGATAGCAAAATGGCGTTAAGGCGAACCGTACATTCATTCTTCTTTAGGAATGAGAGACCAACCCTCAAGGCTGTACATGCAGCGATCAAGGAAAATGAAATTATAGCCCAAATGAGCGTCGAGGTAATGAGGAAATCCCTGCACGAAATTAATTTTCGTTACGAAACGCGTAATCGGAAGTCAGTATTGATAGAGAGACCTGAAATAGTCGCCTGGCGTCGAAAATACCTACGCGAAATGATTGAATATAGGCGACACAGCAGAAAAACCTATTATTTGGACGGGACATGGGTAAATGCAGGTCACACAGTTGAAAAAACCTGGATAGACAAAAACGTAGTGAGTAACCGACAAGCAAGCATTGAAGGTTTGTCAACAGGTCTTCGTGGACCGTCAAGGAAAGGTCAAAGATTGATCGTAACTCATATTGGTAGCGATAGTGGCTTTTTAGAAGAGTTTGACTTGATTTTCGTCTCTAAGAAAGGAGGTGATTACCATGACGAAATGAATGCCAGCTGCTTCGAGAGCTGGTTTCAAGGGGTGCTTCAGCGAGTTGAGCCCAACTCTGTGATCGTCATGGATAATGCTTCCTACCATAGTCGTCGAGCCGAACGTGTACCGACTATGGGATCTCGAAAAAGTGACATGCAGCAATGGTTGCGCGAAAAAGGAATCCCGTTTGACGATTCATGTGTGAAAGCGGAATTGTATGAAAAAATTAAACAGCACAAACCTGCGAACATTAGTTACGTGACTGATGAGATGGCCCGTCAATGTGGTGTCACTGTGCTGCGGTTACCGCCCTACCACTGCGAACTGAACCCAATAGAGCTCATCTGGGCTCAAGTGAAGGGTTATATTGCGCGCCATAACACAACCTTCAAATTACCAGACGTAAAGGTTTTACTTGAGACTTCCATACAGCTAGTAACGCCCGAAGCTTGGCAGAATGCTATCCGTCATGTTGTGAAGGAAGAAACAAAAATGTGGCAGCTTGACCACCACATCGACACCATCATAGAGCCAGTTATAGTCAATTTCAACGAGGAAAGCGATAGCGATAGTTTATTACTGTCAGATGTAAGTGGAAGCGACGATGAATAAAGGTAGTTCCCAAATTTTTGACTTACAATATGTTTCAAACCACTCTTTATTAAGCATGTGACAAATCTAGTTCACCCATGTTAAACATTCATACCCCGCCTATGAACAGCCGACTACTGATAGTTAAGTGATGTTCACGTGAACATCGATGAGTCATTACAGTTTTAGATAGTTATAGTGTAGCAGCTGCTTCTTTAAGGGGCAAGCTGATGTAGCCCTTTATAGTCTTAAGGCTTTTTTTTTGTTTCTAAACTTTGTATATACTGTTTGATGAGGGTAATAAATATTATTATTATTAAATCCTTTTTTCGGGATGGGTTGGACATCAGCAAATTTCCAGTTTTCTGGGAAGGTGCCGGATTCATAAGACATCTGGAAGAGACACGAAGGAACTGGTGCAAGCTCTGCAGCACACCTCTCCAATACCATGGCAGGAATCAAGTCCGGACCAGAAGCTTTGTTGATGGCGAGCGACAGGAGCACCCGTCTTACGGTCTTATGCCTAAATGTTACATATAGTGTAGAGAATTCTTTGGATCGACGGCACTCGGGCGTTGGGGGAGTGGCAGCAAAGGACTTGGCAAGCACTTTCGCCTTAGCCTTTGAATGATTGTATGTCATATAAGATCCAAACACGTAATATCTCATTAGGGAAGTAAAAGCGCCCCTCGTCTCACAGAAGAAAATCTGCTGGGTATCTTCTTTTTATTAAACGTCAGAGATATAGTAATCAAGTCACTGGAGTGACCATCAAAAAAGGCCATCTTGCTCGGAAAAATTAACAACAGTTATGAATGTTAAATCACTCCAAATACTATTATTTTTGATTTACTGTTATGCATGCTTCGGTAAAAAAATAATTTGCAAATCAAAGATTTTCTAGGAGTGGCAAATTAGGTGCTACAATAAATTGAACGCCTTATTTTGATAGTCCCCTTTACTACTATGACCTTTTTGTGGATGGCTCATAGTTCTTTTAATACACGCAAAACATTTTCCATATTCACCGTTCAAAAAAAAAAGTTAATTAGCGAAATAGATGTGGGCGCTTTAATTTACACTCAATAGCAAAATTCAGTTTTGAAATCCGTCTATACAATTTTTCTCTAAGCTTCGTGACTTATAAGCAGTGTTGCCGAACCAAGAAATACAAAATCGGTAGACAGTTGAAATTCGGTAGATTCAAGGACAAAATCCGTAGGAGGAAAAATCAAGGGCGTCCATTTTTGTTTACCAGATTCTGAATATTTTTCTGTTTCACCCCTCAACTCGACGCCGCAACCCCTACATTTCAATTTAATATTCAATTAAACAGGGACGTGCTTTGGTTTTCTTATTGCTGTTCGGTAATACGGTAATATAGGGAAAGCGGAATAAGGGATGTGCGAACGTAATTGCTGGCAACCCAAATCTACGTCCCTCGTGTGCCTACTGTCCAAGTGTACCCTTATGCATGACTAGTATGGGGCATAAGACAATATAAATATAATTCACTTTTTTGCTTTATCTTTGGAAATACCTAAATCATTAAAAAAAGGAGAAAATCAGGACGTTTTCGGTATTTCAGTAAGTAAGGTCTCATTTCGGTAGAAATACCGAAAAATCGGTACGTTCGGCAACACTGTCTATAAGAGTGTTCTGCATCTACACAAAGGTAGTGATTTGAAACGCTCAATCATAGGCTATTGCGAAAAAGGACGCATATATGTTTAATTCAATAAGATACTCACGCGTTCCAACAGATCTCCAATCATACCGGTCCATTTATTGGTGACCGGATCAAAGTTTCCATTTTTCTTGTCTTCCCTTACAATGAAAGTATAATTGAAGCCTTCCATTTCAGAAAGCTTTTGTATCAAGTCAATGCCAAACCCTTCATACCTATCGTTGCCCAGCAGTGGTTTAATTTCATTCCTCAGCATCCCATATGGTTCAGTCTACATCAAAGTATTTCAAAATTGTATGGTATTCAAAATAATAATATTTACTGGAAGTGAATCATAAGATTTTCATCCCAAGATGCAACAAAAAGGGGTGTTACAAGTAAGGCTCCCCAGTACCCCATTTGCTTTTATAGATACAACAAAGAAATTTGGGCTTATGAAAGTAAAGTGCTTAATGAAGAGAATCACGTCGATTTTTCAAAAAAGTCTTTGTAAAAGATTTTGAACTTAAAATTGTAGTATTTTACCTTCTGTGGCTAAAGAATCAAGCATGGTATCAGAAAAGTTTCTCTAGGATCTGCTTTTTATCTCTTTGCTGTGCCTTCAAACGTAACTTGAAAATCTTGTAAAATTGGAATAGATTATATGTCTTCGTTTAACGAAGTGTATTCCCCTATTTACAACGATACAGGCTGTATGAACAGTTCCGAAACCCTACGATAATATGTGAACTAATAATGGTATGAATTCCCGCGATTGATTTGATTTTTCCTCAGATATTCAATGGTGACATTGCGTTTGACCTTGGCAATGATCTTCATGGTCATTTGAAGGTCAAGATGATTTTGTAAATGGAACCTCCATTTTTGACCACGTAAATGAAAAGAGCGGGCAACGATACGTTCAAATATGGTCTAGATCATTCTTAAATTTTGATCATGGGAGGTCATCGTCAAGGTCAAACCCAATTACAGTGAGATAACTTGAAAACCAGTAGTCGTATGGGGAAACTAGCGAGACATTATTTTCATGATTTTCCCCCGGATGTCCAACCTTGGATCTGACCTTAACCATGACCTTCAAGGTCATGTGAAGGTAAGGTCGATTTTTGTAGCCAGGGAGCAATCCTGAAAGAACAGTGAAGTCAGTTTGTCTGGGGATTACACAGATTATCAGGCAATTAAGGTAAAGTTATGTTTGACCTTGATGATCAAGGTCAAGGTCAAGTTCTAAATATTTTCAAGAGCATATTCTAACATAAAATTTTCCCTTTTCCCCATTTGCACGGTTAAAAGTATAGGGTCACATTAAAAAGATAGTTGACCTTTCAAACGAACTTGTAGGTCATGGCCAAGGTAGGAAAAATTATGAAAATACTGTCTGGGTAGTTTGCCTATGCGGCTACTGGCTTTCAAGTTGTCACCTTGCATGAAGCTGTATGAGGCAGATGTTTCTCCGGCGCTGATCTCCCTGCATTAAGCATGCTTTTCTGTATGATACAAAAAGATATATATCTTTTGCGGATGGATGGCGCTCCCCGTTCCTCTGAGAAAAATTCCTGCGCCCCCACATGATCGAAGCAATGTGTACATTGGATGTGGATGACGTTCGACAGTCCACATACAATCGAGCAGAGCAGGCGGACTGCTACATACACGCATCGGCAGGACCACGAAGCGAGGGTCAGGAATATTTCTTTTTTTTTATATCGAAGCAGCCGCGACGGCAGAAGCCTAAATGCTGGAACACCGCGGTTGCTATGATGATCCCAAAGAATGCTTAGGTTTGGGTAGTTACCAGCGTGATAATAACAACAAAAGACTGGTTGCGAAGACTGTCTTCATTATCAACGAAGGCTTGCGAAGGCAATGAGGTGAGGTTGAGTCCTTTCGACGAGTTCCAAGAGCCTATTTCCACGATGCCCCCTTCCTTCAGGAAAAACACACCCAGCTCGAACTCGCTGCGATACCCTTCTGTGTTGAATTTTGTCAGGCCGGTCACTCCTTCATACGAACTCTAAAAAAGGCAAAAAGGCATCAAGTAGATTAGGTCTAGATTTTTTAAAACCATACCTTGAACTTGATAGCTCACGAAGGAAAATTTCTGAGATATAGCGGTATAGCCATTAATCGTGTTAAATGTCTAAATGGCTCATTTTTACGCTTTATATATATATATAATCTCAATATGCACCTATCCGTATATGATTACATCTATCTCTTATTGTATTTTTTCCTTTTTTCTTTCTATCTCTGTATTCTGTCAATCTTTCCTTTTTCTTATACGTATTAGTTACGTCATTATTTTGAAACTGATGCATATAATTAAATATTATTCTTGTATCTCACTTTACTCTTATACCTTCATATTTTAAGTTTGAACTTAGATAAGTTAATTAAGTGTGTTATGTAGGGTTAAGTCCAGCTATTCACCTAGGAATGAAAGATGAGCTTCGCCTTCTCCGAGTAGCCATTCGTATGTTTGTACCTTGCCATCAGTGAATGAAGATGATTAAAATTATTAGTAATATTACTATTATTACTCCTATTATTATTACTACTATTATACTTTTAATCTACTGAATCTGAATCTGTGGTCCAAATCTCTCAATTGGCTCAAGTTTCCGAGATAACCTAGCCTAAATATACAAAAATACCGATTTTTGCCTATGGTGATGTAGCATGACAAATGATTTTGACAAAAAATCCATAGACACCATATCAAAGTACAAGCTTTGCCCTTTCAAATGCGGTTAAGTTTGTTTAATTATCTTTTATCTTCGCTGAGATATGGCACTTTGAAATCTGACCATTTTCATAAATTTCACTATACGTGTCTTTTAAATATCCGAACACACCGAAGACTTGGCAACCACGCATTTTTTGGAAAAAAGATTCAGACAAAAGCTTCAGGGTATCAAATAGGTAATTTATCGACTACTTCAGATACGACCTAGACAATGACCTCAGAAGTCATTTGGAGGTCAACTTACTACATTCTAATAGCAACAATCTATTATGACAACAGATTCGCGTAAAGCTCGAGATTTTTACATACGAATCTGTTTTCATACATGAGGTCAGAATGTTATGAGTGGTTCAATCAGCCTAATCTACTGTAATGTCGGAAAAGAACTCGAACACTTCGAAAACTTGGAAATCACGCATTTGTTTGAAAAAAAAAATGTTTCGAGAGAAGTTTGAAAGGTATTTTAAAAGCAATTTGTCGGTCACCTCGAATATGACCTAGACAATTACCTCAGAGGTTATTTGGACTTCGACTTTGTAAATTCAAATAGCAACCACAATATTTGAAAGCAGTTTCGTGTCGAGCTCGAAAGTCTACATCTACTATTAATTTGATACTCTTATAATAATCAATAAAAATTTCAAAGTGCCGTATTTCAGCCAAGGAAAAATATTTTTGAGCTTACTCAACAGCATCTGAAATGAAAACACGTCTAGTCTAAGATGTCTATGGCTTTTAAAAAACAAAAAACAAAAATCGTTATGCCTCATAATCTTAAATATAGTCAAAATCACTATTTTTGCACCTTTAGATCGGGGAATCTCTGAAACCACAGTCAGTTGAGAGATTTGATCCACAGATTCGGAATCAGTGCATCAAAAACCCTGCGGGAAAGTATATTCTGGTTTCTAGATAAGGTTCATTTTTGTCGGCCTATGTAATCATCTGCTGGTGATGAAGATACAGATTCTTCTTATTGAATAAAAGCAGAGTTGATCGCGGACACATCTTTTTTTTGAGAATCAAAGAAAAACGTAATACAGCTATTTACAGTCTGCTGCGATTTGTAGATTGCAATTCAATCAAGCTCTCTTACAAATCGAAACCAGCTTCAAGAAGTACATACAAGAATTACATCTTTTAGAACAGCGGCCATACTGGCAATTGAAAAGTGCCAACAGCACGTAACCTTTTTTTTAATATTTTGATCATTAGCTAGTTATTTGATTTTCTCTTTATTCATGGTAGAGTGCCCATTCCTAGGCCAAACCCATTTTAATACTTTCTTTTGGCAAACATAGTTTATTGATTTTATAATTTCAGACGCATTATATCTTTCTTTCTCAGCGATTTAGTATTGTGTTGAAATCTTTTGAACACTAATGTTCACATTAACGATTATCTCAGAAATTTCCTCATAAAATATCGTTGGTCCCTCGTAGAGTTGGTTCCGCCCATTGGTTTCCTATCAAGATACCTTCTTCACCGGCTTTTCTCCATCCCTTTTGATTTCCTCCTTCCTCAAGGCCACTCATTTTAATCTTCTTTTTCAAACTTGGTGTTCTGCGTCATTTTACTTTGCTGCGGAGAATGTGGTGTGGGCGTCGTTTCGTTAACTTCCAGATTCTGGAATATTAGACCCCAAACACCAGCTTATAGAGTAGTATCCCTTTTATTTTGTACCTTACATTTAGTTGCGTTGGTTTCGGTGCTACCTCGTCCATTTTCTTATGGGATTTCAACCTTCAGCGTAGGAAGGCATTGTGGAGAACCACCATTCACACTCCTCCAGCTTTGTTTTGTAGCTGCCTAGTAGCTGTTTTGCAGCTGATATTGCTGGAACCCATCCCTTCCCCTCGAACAAAAAAACCCTGTTCACAGCTGGATTTTTTTCTGGGGTATAAGAATACTCTTCTTTTTATTTTTCAGTCGTGCCATCTGATTGATGGACATCTATTCAAAATGAGGATTGACATTAAAAAAAAAGTAAGTTGACTATGTACATCCCACGCTACGCTGTCATCAGTTCGTAAAGGATCATGTTTGGCACAAGTTAGTCCTTCTGTGAAAACAGTGAGTCACGAACATGTATAACAACCTTCCACCTTCTTCTGAAAGGAACTGTTGCAGGTGCACATGATCGTTGCGTGAATGTCAATAATTGCCCTTTACAATGCCTAGCTCACGCAGCCCGCAGTAGTATGGAAGCGATTGCCGACTGTAACGTACCACCACCGATGATGACGCTTGTCCATCCTGGGGACCACGTCGCACGTATCGACACTCGACTGTAGGAGATATCTCTAAATTTTAAAGGGGCATCTATGATGAGTGAAATATGCCTAATATGTATGTGTGTGGAACTACTGACTGTTTTGTCCGCCGCCACTGGACCGATCTTAAAAAATACAAAGCTTTTGCGGCCTTGGCATAGTACCAACATTGTGTAATATTCAAAAAACATCTCATTTCCGAAAATCTTCGCGATTACTATACTTCCCTGCCAGTAGGCCTGGCAAAAGTAAAACAAAGTACCTGTGATACTTCTGCAGACAGGTACAAGAGCACGTTTATTATCGTTCAAGGGTAAAGCTATACTACTTTAATGTTGTCTCATAAGGTTTTGTTTTTGGAAGTAAAGTAAAGTACTTCTTTATATCATCGAAGGATTCTTGATAACAAGTCTTGTCGCCAGTTTTACTGGAATTATCTTTTAATAAGTAAACTAATGAATATTTTGGACGTTACCTTTTTCATTTTTACACTAATAGATTGTTAGTGTAACTAGGAGTTACCATACCTAAAAAACAGTACATGATAGGAAAAAGGTATGTATGTTATATTCTTATTAAGCTGAGCATATGCATGAATAAACAGTAAACATTTAAGTTGGTGTTTAGTTTTTTTAATTGTAACGCAGTGTTATCCTGGACATTAGTCCCAACAAAATTATACCTGTAAGTGGAAGTAACAACTGAATTGAATTATTCTGTTATTAACTAAAATTTTATTATATTTTTTTTTGAGGTCATCAATGATGATTGATGTTCGACCATCTACTACTGTAATATAAAGTCTTTGTAATTAAAAATTATTTTCTACTTTTTAGTTCGGTTAGCTATAAAAGCGTGTTTTTTTTAGTGTTCTTAAACTATTATTTTTCATTAGCAGCTCTAGTTCTCTAAATATAAGCCATTTAATATTTGAAAAAGCGCCAAATCTTACAGCGGACTTGTCACCCTGTCTAGTCTCCAAGGCCGACGCCTCCAGTGTTGCCAGATCGAACACGACGTTGCCAATCTCATCACTTAATTTACAGACCTCGTATACTGACATCAGAAAATTGCTATATACCCTCCCCTAGGCTCATATATTCTCGAGATTTTCCTCGCTAGCAGGCGTAGGGAGTAAAAAGCAAATGTTTGCATTCAGTGCATCAAAAATACTCAACTGCAGTTCTTACTTCTAACTGGCAACCTTAGATAACCGCAAAATGTTAAACTAGAAGCGTAAAATAATATTGGATTCTAAATGAACCATACCGATTTGAGCATATTGACCACACTCAGGCCATGTTCCCAGCTGTTCACTTCATCGCATGGGAAGGAGTGAGTACTATTGTTTACTACTGGTACAGAACTCTCCTTCTTTCTTTCGTTCAGAGTGTTGGCAAACATATTGACCGCGTCCACTACCAAGGCAGTTTCAGTTTTCATCTGTGTGGCCAGAAACAGATCGAGCAACTCATCTGCCTCACCTTCTTCTTGTTCGTCATCTTCTTGGGATTGGGCGAATAATTCCCTGGCCACTTGCTGAACTAGCTCCCTCTCGGGGTTCACCAAGCGAATCTGCGTTTAAATTAAATATAAATATATACAGGGTGACTTCGAAGTTGATTCATTTATTTTAACAGTTAGTAGATCTGATCAAAAGAAATGTTTTTTTCCTTTAACATTTTTCTGGTAAAATTAAAGTAACAAAGTTATAGCCCTTTAGAAGTTTTAGTACCGCCCTGTCTCAATAATAATATTATGTGCTCGTGTTTGGCGACAACGGATATAATCCGCGTTATCGGTTCATCGCATCGGAAACAAAAAAGCGAAAGAATTTGAAACGTTTATCACGATGTTTTTCGTCAGTCGGTAACGCGTGAGTGAATAGTGGTGTTCGTTGCGTGACTCAAACGAAATAAAAAATGGCACATGTTTACGAAAATGCTGAACTTGTGGACATGATTCTTATTTACGGGGAGTCTTTACAAAATGCTGCCGCGGCATCACGGATTTGTGCGAATCGGTTTCCCAATCGAGTGCAACCATCCCCTCGTGCCTTTGCTAATGTAGTACAAAGGGCTCGTGAATCAGGTGACAAGGCCTCACAGGGGAGAGCATGCCGGTGCTCCAAGACCGCACGATCAAATACAGGTCCGCACTGAAATACTTGTCGGGAGGATACTTCATAAAACAAGGTAACATTTTTTTTTAATGTTTTTTTATTTTTACACACATATTTTGGTTTATCTTCCTTCTACAATCATTATCTGAAAATTAATGACTCAACTTCAAAGTCACCCTGTATATATGAGTAGTTAAAACTGTCAGTTAGGAGTAATGGACGTATCTGGTAAAACCATACAGGGTGTTTCCTAAATAAACGTCAATATTTAAGCGAGTGCTTTTTGTATCCATTTTAAGTTTTTAATATACAGGGAATACCAAATTTGTATGATCGCTTGAGTTCTATGTGTACGAGAGAGAAGCGGCGAGAAGTATGTATCAACACATGTTAGATAGAGATAGAAGCCGGGTAAAGAGCGATTATGCCAGAAAATGTTCGCACAGGATTCTACAAGTTATGTACTTATGTACTTTGGCTCACTCTATACAATATAATTATTATATTGCATAATCTTGGCGTTATTCTGTATTCTTCTAATACCGTTGTTAGAAAACTTGGAATTATCTCATACATGCAACCTGATACGTCCTCCATGATTCTCAAGAATTAGCTTATGTGTTTATTCCTATTATACGACTTTATAAAAACCGTTGTACCTTTTGTTCGGAAATCAGATAGCTGTCAACTATTTTAGTGGTAGTTAGATTCATCAGCGGGAAACGTTATTTTTTAAAAACCCTCGTCTGCCCCTGGCAAACATAATCTTACAATAGGTTAGGTTACTGTCAAACTCAAGAAGGAGGTCTGTTCGAACATTTAATTTAATATTTTGTTTTCATTTTGATTAGATTCCTTTATTTTTATTTTGAGGCCACTTAATTTTTTCTTTTATTTTAGAATTATCTTTGATTTCCACCAATGGTGATAAAATCAACACATCCTGCGTAATTGTTACATTTTGCGACAGCGAGCGGTCGATACTCCCCAACGAGCGCTAGATGGGTATTGACCAAAATCACTCATCTATACTAAGTGACATATAAATCCGAACACCCAGTTTAAATGGTTTTATTTTAATAAAAGTTGGTGAATGTATTTATCTTACTGTAAATAACAAGTGAAAAAATTTTCAGCCTTATCAGTTGGACATTCCCGTTTTTATACTGCTTTTTTTTAATTCACTGACGCTCTAAAAATGAATATTTCAGCCGCTGTAAAGAATCAACGTTGGCGGATTTTGGTTCTTGACATCCTTTACGATCGGTTACGATGCCTAGAGTACGGAGACCTGTACGATTTCGTCAACTTAGTGAGTTTGATAGGGGCCGAATAGTGGGACTTCGGGAAGCTGGACTTTCTTTTCGGGAAATTGCAGTTAGAGTGCAAAGAAGTGTAGACACTGTGGTTAGGTGTTGTCAGACATGGCTTCTAGAAGGCCGTACGCAAAGCGCAAGGGGCACTGGACGCCGCCGTAGAACAACAAACCGTGAAGATCGCCGCCTAAGATTATTGGCCTTAAGGGACCGCTTCTCCACTACAAAGTCCATTGCAAATGAATGGTTTGCAGAACACGGAAGACCTATTGGCATGCGAAGTGTTTACCGATGAATGAGAAGTTTTGGCTTGTTTTCATACCGGCCACACTGGGTCCTCCCTTTAACTCGAGAACACCGACGTAATCGCCTTGAGTGGTGCAGACAACGGTCACTCTGGGATCAGGAATGGAACAGTATTGTCTTTAGTGACGAGTCTCGATTTTGTTTAGGCATGCACGATGGTCGTGCCAGAGTTAGAAGGCGACGTGGTGAAAGGAGGAATCCACAGTTTTTTATTGAAAGACATGTTCATCACACTGTTGGAGTTATGGTTTGGGGTGCTATAGCTTATGGTTCCAGGTCACCTTTAATCTTCATCAGAGGTAACATGAACGCGCAGCGTTATATCCACGAAGTTCTAGAACCCCATCTTTTACCCTATCTTGACACCCTGGCAGATCCAACTTTCCAACAAGATAATGCCCGACTACATGTTGCAAGAGTCACAATAGACTTCTTTCAACATAATGATGTCACGTTGTTACCATGGCCACCAAGATCTCCCGACTTATTCCCAATTGAGCACGAGTGGGATATGATGGGTAGGAGATTGCTCAATTTGCAACGTCCTCCTCAGACTCTAGAAGCACTTCGAGAGGAGTTGGTGGTTGCCTGGAATGAGATACCACAGGAGGACATTGACCACATGATCAGAAGCATGCCTAGGCGCGTTGGAGAATGCGTAGCACATCAGGGTGCATCCACACATTATTAAAGGTCAAAGGGCTTTAAAGCAGTGCAATCATTTTGAAATTTTTATCATTTACTTATTATGCTTCATTAAGTACTTATACAAAATTTTATTAAAATAAAACCATTTAAACTGGATGTTCGGATTTATATGTCACTTAGTATATGATCATGGAGGTGGAAATCTTGCCTTGGAATGTACGAGATGCAGTGTTGCCAAGCGAGCCAATGATGCAATGTTGCGGAACTTGTGGCGATCCTGACCTTTCATTTCGACCTAAAATGAAGTGCCACTAGGACCGAACCGGAATCAATCGTAAACAAATTCGAAACAATTTAAAAATGTGTACGCTCAAAATAAAACCATTATTTCGCATCTTAATTCAAGGAACTGGTGTAACGTATTGGCAACGCGGCACATTGTCGGGTCAGCGTTACTAGGCAACGCGGTAATGAAAAGATTTGTCAAGGGGGGACAACTTTTTAACCAAAAACTACTTCACCTCCTTTCAACCTCTGCCCCCAAGGTCATCCCTTTAAAAACTTTAAATAACAAGGGTATCGGGTAATAGCTCGTTTGAAAGTCCTTTATTTTGAAGTTTGATTTCTTAAAATCCGTCGATTCGTTTTCAAGAAAATTAGAAAATTTTTTATTTATCTTAATTTGTTTAGATAGAAAACAAAAACACGTGACGGACATTTCCAAAAACATGTTGTGGGATATCATGGCAGCTTTCGATGATGCGTTGACGAAGTTTATCCAAACTTTCAGGTTGGGGAGTGAACACAATAGATTTCAAATGGCCCAATAGAAAAAAGTCTAATGGCGTCAAATCAGGAGATCTAGCAGGCCATACTATACGCCCTCTTCGCAGTATCCATCTACCTGGAATCTCGTCTTCTAGCCATTGCCGAACTGGAAGAACCTAGTGAGGAGGAGCGTGGTCTTGCTGGAAATATATTTCAGCCTCATCAAGTATGCGCTTTCCATCCTTTTCGATTTGGTTTTCAATGGTTTCAGTGATAAGCGGATTGATGGTATTTTCCAACATATTCAAATAAATGTCTCCATTCAAATTTCGATTAATAAACAATGGCCCAATCACTTTGTTTCCTAAAATGCATGCCCTTACATTAATTTTTTTGGGGTACTGGGTATGCCCTTCTACAAAAGCATGAGGATTTTCATTGCACTAATGCCTGTAGTGATGCTTATTAAGAAATCCATTTAGGTAAAATGTGCATTCGTCACTGAAGCAGATATTATTTACATGAATGGTATTATCATTAATCGCTTTATGGAGTTTAGTAACTGTGTGTACAGAGCCTGATGAAATACCAGTCGCAGCAACAATTTTGCGTAATGAAGTATTAGGATTTATTCCAAAATGACCCAAAACTTCAACTTGAGTGGCTTCATCCAAAACTCTCCAATAATCACGGTTTTTACTTGCAACAGATCCAGTTTGAGTTAATTTAATAACAATGTCCAAAACATGTCCAAAATCGGGTTGTTATTTGGTTGTTGCCACGTCTAATCTTCCGAATTGCTGTTTATGTTAGTAGTTTCCAATTTTAAATCTTTTGGCAACATTTTGAGCACTTATTGAAATAAAAAGTAATATTTTCGTGTGCTTCTGTTTTCTAGCTAAACAAATTAAGATAAAGATTTTTCTGATTTTCTTGCAAACGAATCGACCAAGGAACATTCTGCCCATAATGTCTCAGACTTGTTCAATCGGTGAAAGATCGGGAGATCTAGGGCTATGGCAACAAATCGACAAATCGTCTACAAAATGGAGCAAGGTAATTCTGGCTATATGTGGCCATAGGAAATTAAGAATCTCTTCTTTCATCTCGTTGGCTTTTCGCGCTTGGACGGCCATCATGCATCTTCACCACCAATTGAAATCTTAGATGTTTTCTTATCAAACACAAATAATAAAAATGTAGGAGGGTGTTATAGGTTTAAAATATTAAGAATGAATATTTTGATAATATACAGGGTGACTTTGAAGTTGAGTCATTAATTTTCAGATAATGATTGTAGAAGGAAGATAAACCAAAATATGTTTGTAAAAATAAAAAAAAATAAAAAAAAATTTTTACCTTGTTTTATAAAGTATCCTCCCGACAAGTATTTCAGTGCGGACCTGTATTTGATCGTGAGGTCTTGGAGCACCGGCATGCCGTCCATATGTGAGGTCTTAAGTCGAATGATTCACGAACCCGTTGTACTACATTAACAAAGGCACGAGGGCTTGGTTGCACTCGATTGCCATTTTTTATTTCGTTTGAGCCACGCAACAGACACCACTATTCACTACCGACTGACACTGACTGTATACAACTGAATGAAATAATTGTAAAAACATCGTTCCAAATTCTTTTGCTTTTTTGTTTCCGATGCGATGAACCGATAAGGCGGATTATATCCGTTGTCGCCAAACACGAGCACATAATATTATTATTGAGACAGGGCAGTACTCAAACTTCCAAAGGGCTATAACTTTGTTACTTTAATTTTACCAGAAAAATGGTAAAGGAAAAAAACATTTCTTTTGATCAGATCTATTCACTGTTAAAATAAATGACTCAACTTCGAAGTCACCCTGTATAGTAGAAAACACCAACTTTATCACTCCCTAATCAAATTTGCAGCATAAAAATAACACATGTTGCAATTACAGCATATCAACCTATTTTCATTTCAATGCAAAATAAGTCTATAACGTATAGGTGGCTGTGGAAAATAAAAGCCATGACAATTGTTTTTATTAATCACAGCTGTCAGAATACGTTTAAAATAGTTTTGGGTAGTTAAGGTTTTCAAAATGGGTAGAGGAAAGGTTATTAGTGAGAAAATTCGGTTACTGGTAATTAAATTTTTTAATTCTGGGAAATCAAACTCAGAAATTGCAACTTTGTTAGACTTATCGCGGTACCGTGTGAGAAATATTGTTAGAAGATATAACGTAACTGGTGCAGTTAATATTAAGCCACGATATGTGAAAAAAAGTAATATCACAAATGCCGACCGAAGAGTATTAAGAAGAATAATCGTGAAAAACAGGGGTGCCAATTATTTACAATTAAGTGCTCTGTGGAGTGACGCTGTTGGAAGGAGAATTTCGAGGTCCACAACTCATAGAGAGGACCACAAACTGGGATTTAGCACTTGCAAGGTAAGTTTTCTTATAAAAGTTGCACAACTTGTTTATAGGCCAAAGAAAAGCCACTATTAACTCCACTGCAAAAGAAAAATCGGCTTAGATGGGCTAAAGAACATAGACAATGGACACCTCAACGATGGTGTGCAATACAATGGAGTGATGAGGCCCGATTCGAAGTTTGTGTTGGTGACAGTCGCAGTAGAGTTATTCGCAAAAAAAATGAAGCATTCCATGTTGACTGTCTGAAGAGAAAAGTGAAATTTCCAGCGTCCATTATGGTCTGGGGCAGTATGTCATCGAAAGATGTAGGAAAACTTCATTTTATTGATGGAAATGTGGATACAAACAAATATTTGGCAATTTTAGAAGCATCGCTTTTATGTTTGACATCCGGCCAAGATTTTGTGTTTCAGCAAAATGGTGCAGAGTGCCATACCTCAAAAAAAGCTAGCAGTCCAGATCTGTCACCTATTGAAACTTTGTGGCACGAGATGAAAAAGGTTCTACGACAACATCCTGCTCGTACAATCACGGAACTGAGACAAAAGCTTCAAGAAATATGGGATTGTTTTACACCAAATTTTTGCCAAAACTTGGTTAACACTATGCCCCAATGAATTTCAGCCGTAATAAAAAATAAAGGTGATGTTACCCAATGGTAATCTTTCAATTGTTGCTTTGTTAACTTCGCGCATTTATTCGCACATTGTTCATTTGTTCAGATGTTCTATTAGTTATAGGTCTAAGTGATTTCAAGTATGTATTTTTTACGACTAGAGTGTATCTAAAACGTTTTTGAGAAAATAAATTGTTTTAGAAGTAAATAGTTTCGTCATGTTTAGTTTATAAAGGCATATTTTGGTACAAATCTTGAAGTAGGCCAACTGAAGTGGGAAGGGGCTCGTATAAGGAGGAAATGGAAAAGCTGGAGAGGGACGTAGACGATTTGAGGGAGCTTAATAAAAGTATAATTCAAACAATCAGGCTTCTTGAAGAAGAAAATAAAGCATTGTATAACTGTAGACGTCCAATTGAGTGCAGCCACCAGCAAAAGACTGTCACTTAGTATATTATTCTAGAAGGACACTTCTTCAGGTTTCAAATTACTAGAGTCTACCACTTACCCCTGTTATGTTGGTTCCTCCATATTTATACGCAGACAGATCTATGGTATGTGCGTCCAAATTTGTGATGAAGTAGTTGTAGTTGTCATTCATCAAGCCAACCTGTTGCAGCTGGGAGAGGACTTCTTGCAAAATGTCAACGCTGCAGTCTAATACGAAGAACCGTTGATCGGATTTCTTCATTTTCTTCAAAGCAGTTCTTGAAAAAACGTGTAACATTACTTTTGGTTCATACTGTATACATGACAAATTAATGAAAGTTTGCTTGGTCCAAAATGTTTCTTTACAAAAAAACGGGGTGTTGAAGTTTTAAAAAAAAATGGAAATTAATTGATATTTTCAGAACCGCTTCAGATATTTCACTGATATTTAGTACGTAGTGAAAGTTAATAAAGTTGCATATTTTTCAATGCAAAATTTTTTAGCTTTAGCAGTCGCGTTATAGTTATAGCTAAAAATTATTTTTGCATTGAAAAATATGAAACTTTATTAACTTTCACTACGTACTAAATATCAGTGAAATTGAAGCGGTTCTGAAAATATTAATTAATTTCCATTCTTTTTCCTAAAACTTCAACACCCCGAGTTTTTGTAATGAAACATTTTTGGACCATAGTTTATAAAGCAAACTAACATTAATTTTTCATGTAGATTCACACCCTTAAATATTCGGATATCATTAAGGAACATCCTGTATAAAAGGTCCGTAGTAAATCTTCTCTAAAGCCGCGCAGACATAAGCCTAAATGCCAGGACACTGCGGCTGCTATGCAGATCCCAAAGAAATTTTGTTAATCCGACTTTTGACCTGTGTTAGTAGCAGTGGTAAAAGCCTCCTCTTATAGATTGTCCCACAACATCCTCGGGACAAAGGAGCTGTCGTATCGGCCAGTTCTGGATGTACAAAGTTCGACACGGTTAGGATGGGAGGACAAAGTCAGGCGGGTCTGTCTGGCAGGCGCATCGCGTGGCGGCATCATGGAGGAGAACTCTGAGGACCAAAGTCCGTTAGTGTAGCTGTAGCCATTATGTTCTTAAGAACCATTTTCGCTTGTTAATATATTTTTATGTATCAACGCATAAAAAGCCACTGTTTATTTTTAGAAAAATAATAGCCCAGGACAATTTATTAAGTGATGAATTGATAGATTTTTGCTCTGGAATATGGTTGTAAAATTCAAATGCTGCAAAAAAGACTTGAGCAAGTATTTTTGTAACTCATGCTCGGCAATTTTTCACAAAAGCTGTGTGGAACGCATGAGAGGAGAAAAAATATGTGTGCTAGATGGCCACGTGGTTAATTGTTCTAAAACAAGCGAATTTTTTGACGGAGTATATCAAGATGCAAAACAACAATAGAAGAGCTGACTGTCGAAAATGTGAGTAGACAGAAACAAATTGAAAGGAAAAAGAATCAATTGAAAGACTTTGAAGATGAGGTCATAGAGACGGAGAGAAAATATCTAGAGGATTTCAACAGACAAAAAGAACAAATAAATCGACAAAATGCTGAAATTAGGGAAATCAAGGAATTAAATGAGATTCTAAGCTATAAGGAAGAAATAAAAAAACTGGAGAGGGACGTAGACGATTTGAGGGAGCTTAATAAAAGTATAATTCAAACAATCAGACTTCTTGAAGAAGAAAATAAAGCATTGTATAACGGTAGACGTCCAATTGAGTGCAGCCACCAACAAAAGACCAACGTAAGTATCATACAATTGTGTGAAAAGATAGTCCAGAATCGTCATATATCGAACAGACAACTAACAACTGTTAGAAGTTCAGGAAATGAGACTACAAAGCAAGATTCCCATAATCCATCTTCAGTGGGTAGACATACCTGCATTAAAACCAGCTCCGTAATGAATAAAAGGGTGCATGGGTGACGAATTAGCAAGAGGCTGTTCTTCGAATCTAAGCACAAAACTGAACTATCGGGATTATATAGTAGAAGGTGTTGTAAAACCGAATGTAGAAATCGCAGAATTGACCTTTTTACCAGTAGTATAGCCCATGGTCAAAATGATCATGTGATTGTTATGTTCAATGTAAAAAACATAAGTAATCACATATCCATGAACAATTTTCTTAGAAATGCATTACCATTAGGAAAAACTACAAACCTGATTATTTTATGTAATCTGATTTCAAAGATACGGCGATTGTAGCATATATTCGTTGCTCAATACTTAGATACAAACACATTAATCCAAATGTATCTATTAGTTTCGTAGGGGATATGAACATTCGGTACTCAGCTCGCAAATGCATTGAGAAATTTATAAAGATGGCCTATAATTTAAATAAAAAACCGATACTGAGAACAATAACACAACTCAACAAACGTAGTAGTACTGGAAAATTTTCAAAACGAAATAGCGCACCTAAAACACACTTAGCATTGCCCAATACTTTTTATGACAAAAACAATGACAATGATAATAAGGGTAGTTGTACTCCCCGCCCTAATATTGTGATGAAAAAACATATGTTAAATGAATCAGACTTTAAATATTATGGTATTCGTTTATTACACCATAATATCCAAGGAATGTACAATAAGATTGGCCAACTTTGTGCTTAAATGAACATTGGTTGAAATCGGATGAATTGAGCTGTCTGCACATTAGTGGTTATAGAGCTGTTTCTAGTTTTTGTTGGAAAATTAAGATTAGAGGTGGTGTGGTAATTTATACTCATAATTCATTTGCTGCTGAATCCCTTCCCATGGATATTTTGAGTCTATATGATGAAGTAAACTTTGAACTAGCTGGTGTTATTATTGGTGATGTACAACTGGTTTCGCTTTACATATCCCCTGATGGTAATTTTAATTCTTTCCTGTTGAAGTTATCGATGCTTCTAGATAAGATTAATAGCAATAAATTGTTTATAGTAACTGGTGATTTCAACGTTAAATTCAATACAAATCAATATCAAGCATTACAGATATTGAACTTGTTTGATAGTTACGGGCGTGAGGCTACGGTGTTTGTGGAAACCCGTAAGGCTAACTGTCTCGACAATATATTTATGAATTGCGCAGAAATAAAAAAATCTTTAACCGTTTTTGACACCTATTTTTCAGATCACTTAGCAATTGACTTCTCCATCGAATAAAAGCCTAATTCATCAACATCTAAAAGTTTTAATTATCGTCCAATTACAGATATTGGTCTTTTCAATCTATATTATAGTCTTGAGCACATAAGTGGGACTTTGTCGAGAATCGTGATATGTCTATTGAATGTATAGTCAAAAAATTCGTCACAATCCTGGTCGATGAAATTGACAGAAATATTCCAGTGAAATCAAAAACTCTCAAAAACAATAGGTACCAATACCAATTTCCGTCAGAACTATATAAATCTCATCCTCAAATTGTTAATAAAGAGAATCTCAACTTATGCAAGTGTGAATACAGACGTACTATAAATCAAGCCAAATAACAAGCGAAACGTTATATTAAAAATGCTAAAAATAGACGACAAGCAGTATGGAATGTTATCAAAAACAACAAACCAATGAAAAGCCAACACACAAGCACGTCGCTTAGCGCATCTAACTTTAATCTTTATTTTACTAACATTGCAAATAATCTAGTAGAACAAATTAGATCTTCAGCTTCAACTCATACGAGCTATTTGCATGAGGTAACTCATACAGATGGTTTGATTTTTAAGGAGGTTACTTACAATCAAGTCAGGGCAGCAGCGATAGATAAATTAAATAAATCTAAAAGTTTTGATGTTTTCGGTTTCACTGCGAAAATTATTACAACTACTCAAAATATCATTATTATACTATTAATAAAATTATTCAATTGGTGTATTTCAAATGGTATATTTAGTGATATTTTTAAACTGTCGAAAGTTATCCCTCTTTTTAAAAAAGGCGATACCAATGATCTTTCAAATTATAGACTAATTTCACTTATACCCCTACTTGCTAAAATACTTAAGATTCTTTTGAAAGATCAGCTGATTGACTGCTATGTCAGCGCATGGCATCGTAGGCCCTTATTTTTTTGAGGACGACAGAAGTCGCGCATTAACTGTTACTTCGGAGCGGTATGTAGCAATGATAGAAGAGTTTTTGACACCAGCGTTGCAGAATTTTCCAGGCTATAATACGCAGACCTGGTTTCAACAGGACGGAGCAACTGCCCACACCTCCAACACTTCTATGCCCGTCGTCTGTCAACTTTTTCCCAGCAAAGTAATTTCTCGAAGAGGAGTCATTTCCTGGCCACCACGTAGTCCAGATTTGACCCCAATGGACTTCTTTTTATGGGGCTACCTCAAGAGTAAAGTGTACGACACCACTCCGCGATCAGTTGATGTCCTGAAAGAAAATATCCGAAGAGAAATGGCAAGCATTACAGTGTTGACTTGCTGCGCAGTCATCGACAATTTTAGACGTCGTTTATATGAGTGCCGTGATCGTAATGGATTGCATTTAGACGATGTGATTTTTAAAACATAATTCCCATTCAATAAAGATGATAACAAAATATAATAATTCTTCATAATGTAACTAGTTTGGTTATATTCCTTTTTTTCCAGCTCAAAGGACTTATGGGCCACCCTGTATAATGTTCTTCCTGCGGCACTCAGAATGTCTGGCACCGTCTCATTTAGGAGCAGAATTAAAGCGTACATTATCCGGAAAGCCTTTTACAACTTCGAAGAAATTTTAAGTTATAACTTTTCGGATCTCTAATGTTGGTGTTGCAGTGTGCTTGCTTGCTTGTACTCTGTTTGTTAATTTGTTCGGATGTGCTTGTTCTATAGTTTTGTATTTATTTTAAATTTTAAATTCATAATATCTTTTTACAGTTTTTCTGTTACTGTTGTTTTTTACAATTTTCTGTTCATGTTGTTCTTTTGAACAAATTTTATTGTTTTGTAATTTTACACTTTCGCATTTTAAATTTTACTTTGACCTGTGTAAGCACGCAAGTGTATTTAGCACCAACAAAGAGATTAAGTGAAAGAAAATGAAAATGTAGGAGAGAGCTAGATCGTCGACGGCCGATGGTGCGAAAGGGTCTCGAGACTGTCTGTTAGAGAAGAGTCATCGATCAGTCGGACAGCCCTCCTCTGGACAGCATCGAGCATAAATAATGTAGTCGGGGCGGCAGCACCCCAAACGTGTGAGCAGTACTCGAGGCTAGGCCTTATCTGGGCCCTGTATAGAGTGAGGAGGTCATGCGGAGAAAACTACTTCTTATCCCTAAACAAATAGCCTTGCTTTTTTCTTGTGAGTAAAGAGCTGTCATGAGCAAAGCTGTGGATTTGGTTGATCGTACAGGAAAGAAGGTCGTTGATATGTAAGAGGAACAGTGCCGGGGCCAAGACCGATCCCTGGGAAACACCCGCGTTGACGTTATGGGATGAAGGGGAGAACCCGACACGACGGTTATCTAGCGCCCAGAGGACAGGTTGCCAAATGTCACTTGATGACACTGAAGAGTATTTTAGGCTTAGATTATTTTTAAACTAGCGGTATTCTGTTCTTTCAATTCATAATGGTCATCACTTCTTGTTTTTCTTTCACGGAATACCTGAAAAGTTGCGAAACCCGAGGTATTTCGGCATTAAGGCTTAACCGGAGTATAAAAAAAATTACCTGTAGTTTCCAGTTTGTTCATAGTCAAGCTGTTCAATCTGAACCGTAATGCCTTCTTCTTTAGCCATTTCGACTAGATTCATGGTTCTAACGAGGCTTTCATCATCTTCATAAAGCAGGGTGAACGTCTCCCAGCCCCATTGCATCACAATATCGAAGTATGCCCTTGCCAGTAACGGTGGGTGGGGGTAGAAGTTGATTTCTGTACCGTGTCTTACTGGCCAGTTATTCCATCTGCAGTATTAATGTATACTAAGTGACATATAAATCCGAACACCCAGTTTAAATGGTTTTATTTCAATAAAAGTTGGTGAATGTATTTATCTTACTGTAAATAATAAGTGAAAAAATTTTCAGCCTTATCAGTTGGACATTCCGGTTTTTATACTGCTTTTTTTTAATTCACTAACGCTCTAAAAATGAATATTTCAACCGCAGTAAAGAATCAACGTTGGCGGATTTTGGTTCTTGACATCCTTTACGATCGGTTACGATGCCTAGAGTACGGAGACCTGTACGATTTCGTCAACTTAGTGAGTTTGATAGGGGCCGTATAATGGGACTTCGGAAAGCTGGACTTTCTTTTCGGGCAATTGCAGTTAGAGTGCAAAGAAGTGTAGACACTGGTTAGGTGTTGTCAGGCATGGCTTCGAGAAGGCCGTACGCAAAGAGCAAGGGGCACTGGACGCCCCCGTAGAACAACAGACCGTGAAGATCGCCGCCTAAGATTATTGGCCTTAAGGGACCGTTTCTCCACTACTAGGTCCATTGCAAATGAATGGTTTGCAGAACACGGAAGACCTATTGGCATGCGAAGTGTTTACCGACGAATGAGAAGTTTTGGCTTGTTTTCATACCGGCCACACTGGGTCCTCCCTTTAACTCGAGAACACCGACGTAATCGCCTTGAGTGGTGCAGACAATGGTCACTCTGGGATCAGGAATGGAACAGTATTGTCTTTAGTGACGAGTCTCGATTTTGTTTAGGCATGCACGATGGTCGTGCCAGGGTTAGAAGGCGACGTGATGAAAGGAGGAATCCACAGTTTTTTGTTGAAAGACATGGTCATCACACTGTTGGAGTTATGGTTTGGGGTGCTATAGCTTATGGTTCCAGGTCACCTTTAATCTTCATCAGAGGTAACATGAACGCGCAGCGTTATATCCACGAAGTTCTAGAACCCCATCTTTTACCCTATCTTGACACCCTGACAGATCCAACTTTCCAACAAGATAATGCCCGACCACATGTTGCAAGAGTCACAATAGACTTCTTTCAACATAATGATGTCACATTGTTACCATGGCCACCAAGATCTCCCGACTTATCCCCAATTGAGGACGTGTGGGATATGATGGGTAGGAGATTGCTCAATTTGCAACGTCCTCCTCAGACTCTAGAAGCACTTCGAGAGGAGTTGGTGGTTGCCTGGAATGAGATAACACAGGAGGACATTGACCACCTGATCAGAAGCATGCCTAGGCGCGTTGGAGAATGCGTAGCACATCATGGTGCATCCACACATTATTAAAGGTCAAAGGGCTTTAAAGCAGTGCAATCATTTTGAAATTTTTATCATTTACTTATTATGCTTCATTACATACAAAATTTTATTAAAATAAAACCATTTAAACTGGGTGTTCGGATTTATATGTCACTTAGTATATTAATTGGTATAAATGGTGCACCAAAAGACAACAACTCTTTTATGTTTAAATTATACAGGATTCCTAAACTGGGAAAAAGAATTTGAGAGGTCGTTTCTTGAGTCAATCGAGTTAGCAGATTTAGAGTCTGATGTAAGGTTCTTGATTTTTTCTATACCGAAGCCATCGCGTAGGTACAAGCCTAAATACCGGGGCATCGCGACTGGTATAGGAAGCTTAGAAACACGTTGTTCATCTCTCACTTGAGGAGAAATTGCGCCAGTGCATTGATGTATGGAGGGATTATATTGAAAAATAAAATTATCAAAAAATGATATGTCCTTTATTTCATGCCTAGGTAGATTTCTTTTCTAGAGCCCCTCGTACCCTGGTGGAGAAAGTCATTAATAATGGCATACTTCTCTGGCAAGGTATGTATTGTACTATTTAGGGATCGACAAATGATACAATATTCTGACGGATCTGTCAACGCTAGATCTGTAGACAGAGTCTTATTTTGTTGTGGTCTTTTGTGTGCTACAGATTTTGATACTTCCTACTACAGGCTTTAATACAAAGGTGTAACTTGCTGATCACATGTTCACCTTAGTAGACATCAAAACCCAAAAAAGGCCACAGAGGGCAAATACCTTAATGTACGACTTATACCATTGTAAGCTTTCGATTTATATTGCTTATGAAGTGCGCAGGAAGTCTACCTACCTGGTGATCAAGTGTGGTATCTCCTTGGTGTCGCAAGCAGACTGGACAATGTTGATGTTATTAAATGAATTAGGTCCCAAGAAGGCAACAACTCCAGTTTTCAACATATCGCAGGTGGTCTTGAGAATGTTGAAAGGACGATCCTCATCGATTTCATTTTTCACCATAGGCGCGAACTTGAATGCTTCAGGATCATCTGCTAAACGTGCGTTCACCTGTTCTATGGCATATACGAATGCTTCTTGCTGTTCTTCTGCAGTCGATTTTTCGAAAAGGCCGCCTGAATCATCATCAATTTTTTTCCTATGTGTTGTAATTCGCCATAGATTGTTTTGATCAGAGGTATCCATTTGAAATATTTAGCTCGTTTAGATCGCCAAGGATTGACTAGCTAATATTGCTATCTTTTCAAATTCTGTACTTAAAAACGATACCTTAGGAAAGCCTGATATTTTAGGTGGAAAAATGTAGTCTTGTTTGATATAGAAATTTCGAAAATAAGATAATAAGAAGTATGTTTTTGGTTGTTATACAGGGTGGCCGATATGTAATTGACTGGTATGTATCTTGAATATTTGTAAAATGAAATAAAATACGTCAATTTGTTTCATCTTAATCTTTTATTGAAACGTAGAAATGATGCATGAAAAATAATATCAGACTTTTTGGTAGGTTTCGGGAGGAATATTTTCAATCGCTTCCGTAACATTGTTCTCCAGCTGCTCTACAGTATTTGGTTTATTGCATAAACCCTATTTTTCAAAAATACCCATAAGAAAAAGTCAGGAGCCGTTAAATCCGGTAACCTTGGTGGCCAGTTGACATCACAAAATCGAGAAATTAATATTGTCCGCTAAATATTCATAGTTTCCCTAGCTGTGTGACAAGTTGCTCCGTCCTGATAGAACCACATGTTTGGCAGGTTAAATTATTGGATTTGACGAGCCAGAAAGTGTTCCACCATATCAGGGTAGCGCTCGCCAGTGGCAGTAAGAGAATTATCTGCAGCGTCTTCAAAGAAGTAAGGTCCATACTAAACGCCGCACCAAATTGTGACTGGATGAGGATGTAGTGGTCGTTGATGGATGATACGACAATTCTGCCTATTAACAAATCCGTTCCTATCGAAGAGGGCCTCATCGCTCATTATCAGGTGTCGGTAAAAATCGTTATTATGCTGCAATAAAGCCTGACTATTTTGTCGGCGACATTCATGGTCACTAGGCTCTATCTAGTTCTTGCGTTAACTTAATTTTGTATCGCCGTAAATGCAAGTCTTTTCTTAAAATCATGCATAATGACGTCCGACGAATATTCAGTTCTTGAGAACGATGTCTGGTAGATGCCTCAGGGCGCACTACACTTTCACGAACTCTCTCGATATTTTCAGGAGTACGAACAGTTCGAACACGGCCAGACCTTGGCAAGTCTATAACTTCACCTGTTTGTTCAAATTTCCGCACCAGCTGACTTATGATTTAAGTAAAACGTTTTATCAATACGGACGCGTTGTGGGATTGTGTAGCGCTCCATGATGAATTGGACACATGTGCTTAAAACAACTAAAGTATATTCAGATAAGAGATAGACCGGATGTAAACAAAAGGCTCGGGTGATTTTCACGCTAACGCCGCCGTCTCGACGTAAAACAGGAGCCCTCATTGGTCAATTCGCAATTAAATGCCTATGCCGAGCGGCAGAGCAGTCGTATCAAGGCAGAGTCACATTCAGGTTCAGACGTGTTACGTATGTCGTGTGCATCATTGCAATTTGATATTTCTTTGGACGTTTTCGTTTGTTATCTTATTAAGTTGTCGAGTTTGTCGTTGTTATTGTTATACCTTGTTATTGATTGTTATTGTTATCAACTGCTTGCGCAAAATGCCCAGTAGTACAGATACTGCCGATGAAGTTGTAAACTCCTGTAGTCCACCTAGGAAACGCTCTAAAAAAAGACACCTGAGTGCAGAAATGAAAGAGGTCATTTTGAATATATATAAGATCGAGCGCGAGGAGAACGAGGCATCAACCATCAAAGAAATTGTTGTGAAGGTTTCTCACAAAGTTGGGGTGTGTCGCGCATCAGTGTTTAATGTGTTAAGACAATACAAAAAAATCACACCTTTTCTGAGCCAATGACCAGTAAACATCGCAAAAGTATTGTTAAATCATTGGATGAAGCTGATAAGCATGCGATTAGGAGGAAAGTGCATGAATTCTTCTTTAGGAATGAAATACCTACTATAGATAAAGTACTGCAGGAGGTAAATGGAGATACAACGTTGCCAAATTTCAAACGATCAACTTTCCATGCGTTACTGAAGCATTTAAATTTCAAATGGAAAAAACGGGGTCGTAATAGTTTACTACTGGATAGAGAACAAATTGTGCTATGGAGGAGGGATTATTTAACAAAAATTGGGAAATATAGAAATCAAAACAGGAAGATTTATTACCTTGATGAAACGTGGGTAAACGCAGGACACACTACAAGTAAAGTATGGGTTGATGATTCTGTAACTTCATCCAGGAGGGCCTTTCTAGATGGACTGTCCACCGGATTAAAAAATCCAGCAGGTAAATACGAGTAATAGACAACAATCGGATGTTTTTCAAACCTTGGGAACAAGGTTCTAAACATTAATTCCAGGGGGCAGATAAAACATATTACAAGTAACAAAACTTTTATAACTTTCGATAAAATGCGTGGATGTTTTATTGTCATTTTCATTTGTTACAACTTTTTTAAGCCATGTTTTTATGTGTTTTCGATATTTCAATAATTTTTTAATATAATCTTAAAATATGTCGAATATTATAAACTTAAAAAAAGTTACTAAGTTTTATATTGTGTACTGTTCCTAATATTTCTAATCATTTTAATTCATACTTTAAGCTTTATAAAGTTATAATTTGTTAATATTAATATTTGCGCGTATTTCAGGTTCCTGATCATTCATTTTTTTAAAGGTTTATAACTTTAAATTAAATTGTGAAGCGCTGAGTAATCATACGACGTTCAATATTCTTTCTTTCAATATGACTAAATAATCCCAATTATAGCAATCTGATACTCATGTCTCAATGTTTTTTCGCTGAATGTGATGAAAACATTTGAAAAAGGTTCGCTTATTGAAATAAATCTACACCAGTTAGTACTTCGATTTCCAGGTAAAGGGAAAAGGCTCATTATCTGCCATATTGGCAGTGAGGATGGATTTGTTGTTGACGGTCTGTGGTGCTTTGAGTCTAAGAAAACTGGAGATTACCACGAGGAAATGAATGGCGAATCGTTTGAACAGTGGTTTTCAAAAATTTTACCGAACTTAGAGGAAAACGCAGTAATTGTGTTGGATAATGCGCCTTATCATTCTCGAAGAATGGAGAAGGTCCCAACAACGGCTTCAAGGAAAGTTGATGTTCAAAATTGGCTCCGCTCGAAAAATATCAACTTTGAAGAAGCAATGCTGAAAGTACAATTATTAAGAATTGTCAAGGATCACAAGGCGGAATATCAAAAATACGCCATTGACGAAATGGCAGCAAGTCAAAATAAAACTGTGCTCCGTTTACCTCCATACCATTGCGAGCTCAATCCCATTGAGCTCATATGGGCAGAGGTTAAAAATTATATAGCTAAGCACAATACAACTTTTAAATTTTGTGACCTCAAAGGACTTTTCAAAGAAGCACTAGAATTAATAACAGCGCAAAAATGGGAAAACTGTATTAAGCACGTGAAAGACAAAGTTGAAAAGAGAATGTGGGAACTGGACAATATTTTAGAGGAACAAGTCGAGCCATTCATTATTGACGTTGGTGCTTCAGGCAGTAGCGATGATGAAAGCTCATCAAGCTCATCTTTCCAATAAAAGATGTCGTTCATCAAATTCGGTAAGTTATAAGTAATTATAAAGCTACTGTATTTTTTAATTAATTATTGACATTTTTGAACCCATTTTGGCAAAACCTATTCAAGAATCTACTTTCTGACAATGTTCAACCATGCAAATTTTTTTACGTTTTGAACGTTTTAATTTGGTTACATATTTACCTAGAAATCAAAAATCAATCAATATTCTAAAAGCAATTTTAAGAGATATACGATTATTTTTAATTTAGGCTAATTTAAACGCCATTTTGAGATTATATTCGTCTGAATTTCACCAAACATCAGGCGGCATCCGAAGCTGGAAATCGAAGCGAAAATTTTGAAACCCTTATGTATATTTACATCATTATATATTTCCTACCCCACCCCCACATGATCCTATATCCATCACCAATCGTATACACATCGAATTGTGCTAATTTACTACAAAGTTACGCAAAACAGCATCTACTATCTAAAATATGTACTGCGTGACTCTTAATACGTCCCTGCCGAATGTTACAGCGTTCGATGATCACGTGGTCTTGTTTATGTCCGGTCTATCTGTTATCTGAATATACTGTACATACTACGGCGTCACCTACTGAACTGCGTGTATCAAAAATGGCGCGCAATTTAAATCAGTCAGTTATATATTGGCCACCCTGTGTAATAAGAGTAATAAACCGTCTTATTTAACACAAATTACACGTAATACATGCATTAACTATAATGAAGCTAGAGAGCAGCTTAATGGCGAAGTTTAGCTATAGCAGCTATGTTACACTCAACCATTTACTGCATAGAAATATTTGATTGTAGAAATGTGCCGCTATACTACACATAATTAAAAGAAAGAAGAAGAAGCTTAATTGGGTACAAGAGCTTTTAAATGTTTTCTAAATTTATATAGAGGCAGGCTTCTTGTTCTATAATCAAAGCTATTGTAAACACGCACGCATTACATGAGCAGGACCGTTTAAAAAGAGATGCACTATAAAGGGGCATTGTTAATGAAGATGTGTTATGAATAGATCGTTGATGAACAGCATCTAAAAATTAGCTTTTCACGTGAATAAATTGGAGTTCCAGACATAAGTAACTTACATATAAAATTGTATTGTACTAAATCTGTCATATTTACCCAACCTATACAGGGTGACTTCGAAGTTGAGTCATTTATTTTAACAGTGAGTAGATCTGATCAAAAGAAATGTTTTTTCCTTTACCATTTTTCTGGTAAAATTAAAGTAACAAAGTTATAGCCCTTTGGAAGTTTGAGTACCGCCCTGTCTCAATAATAATATCATGTGCTCGTGTTTGGCAACAACGGATATAATCCGCCTTATCGGTTCATCGCATCGGAAACAAAAAAGCGAAAGAATGTGGAACGATGTTTTTACAATTATTTTATTCAGTTCAGTTATACATACAGTCAGTGTCAGTCGAAGGGTTTATCTCTGGTCAGTCGGTAACGCGTGTGAATAGTGTCTGTTGCGTGGATCAAACGAAATAAAAAAAGGCACATGTTTATGCGGATCGGTTTCCCAATCGAGTGCAACCAACCCCTCGTGCCTTTGTTAATGTAGTACAACGGGCTCGTGAATCAGGTGACTTAAGACCTCACAGGGGACCTCACGATCAAACACAGGTCCGCACTGAAATACTTGTCGGGAGGATACTTTATAAAACAAGGTAAAAATTTTTTTTATTTTTTTTTTTTATTTTTGCACACATATTTTGGTTTATCTTCCTTCTACAATCATTATCTGAAAATTAATGACTCAACTTCAAAGTCACCCTGTATATTATAGGGTAACGATCCGGAACATGGTCAAACTTTCTTAAGCTAGATATGAAACGTATGCAGTTATTTTGTAAAATAGATATGCTGTTACGACTCGCAACATTTGAACAGAGATTATAAACTAGAATCCAATAGGTAATTAAAAATTGATAATACAAAAGATTCACACAACTTTTTTCGCACGTTTAAATTCAGCCAATTTTTGTTCGCATATTAGACGGATATTTGTTCTTCGTAAGAAGTTATTTAAATGTTCACGTAGCCGCACATCTTCATAGATTAAAACACCCAGGCACTTGATATGCACATTACGAAAAATCATGTCACTTATTTTCGTCCATATGTTGGTCTGTTTGTCTGTGAATCCTAGGTACCGCTACACCGCTTGGATGTTGAGGGAATCTTGAAACAAAGTTACGAGTATGTCAAGGCCGAAAAAACTTTTTAGTTTTTGTAAAATTATCCAGACAACATGCAAAAACCGAAAAACCTTGATATTTGATACTCATATCATAGGGGTGACTGTGGAAATGACAAATCACCATATTGCGACTGCCGCCATATTGAATTTAGAATGACGTCACTTTGCTTATTGCGTTCCTCTCACCAAGCCCTTTCATTTGATACCAATCACAGGTTTTTTTTTGGAAATGCTAAATCGCTATTTTGTAGCATCCTGCCATATTGGATTCAAAATGGCAGCATTCAATACATTTTGTATTGTTATGCGAACCAAACTTATACAGGGTGTCCTAGAAGTCAACGTCAAGTCATAATAGTTAACAGAAGAATGTAAAAAATCTAAGTCGTGTACTTTTCAAATTATAGGCTTGAAAAAAATTCGGAAATATGTACACCCTGTGATGATCTTTTAGTTCCCATCACTACAAATTTCAATTTTTTCTTAGACGGAGTGACGAACAGTGTCATTCTATGTAGTGGCAGCAACACAGATAGTAACGCCACTTTTATTAATTCGTGAATGTATACTAAGTGACATATAAATCCGAACACCCAGTTTAAATGGTTTTATTTTAATAAAAGTTGGTGAATTCATTTATCTTACTGCAAATAACAAGTGAAAAAATTTTCAGCCTTATCAGTTGGACATTCCGGTTTTTATACTGCTTTTTTTTAATTCACTAACGCTCTAAAAATGAATATTTCAGCCGCAGTAAAGAATCAACGTTGGCGGATTTTGGTTCTTGACATCCTTTACGATCGGTTACGACGCCTAGAGTACTTAGTGAGTTTGATAGGGGCCGTATAGTGGGACTTCGGGAAGCTGGACTTTCTTTTCGGGCAATTGCAGTTAGAGTGCAAAGAAGTGTAGACACTGTGGTTAGATTTTGTCAGGCATGGCTTCGAGAAGGCCGTACGCAAAGAGCAAGGGGCACTGGACGCAGCCGTAGAACAACAGACCGTGAAGATCGCTGCCTAAGATTATTGGCCTTAAGGGACCGTTTCTCCACTACCAGGTCCATTGCAAATGAATGGTTTGCAGAACACGGAAGACCTATTGGCATGCGAAGTGTTTACCGACAAATGAGAAGTTTTGGCTTGTTTTCATACCGGCCACACTGGGTCCTCCCTTTAACTCGAGAACACCGACGTAATCGCCTTGAGTGGTGCAGACAACGGTCACTCTGGGATCAGGAATGGAACAGTATTGTCTTTAGTGACGAGTCTCGATTTTGTTTAGGCATGCACGATGGTCATGCCAGGGTTAGAAGGCGACGTGGTGAAAGGAGGAATCCACAGTTTTTTGTTGAAAGACATGTTCATCACACTGTTGGAGTTATGGTTTGGGGTGCTATAGCTTATGGTTCCAGGTCACCTTTAATCTTTATCAGAGGTAACATGAACGCGCAGCGTTATATCCACGAAGTTCTAGAACCCCATCTTTTACCCTATCTTGACACCCTGGCAGATCCAACTTTCCAACAAGATAATGCCCGACCACATGTTGCAAGAGTCACAATAGACTTCTTTCAACATAATGATGTCACATTGTTACCATGGCCACCAAGATCTCCCGACTTACCCCCAATTGAGCACGTGTGGGATATGGGTAGGAGATTGCTTAATTTGCAACGTCCTCCTCAGACTCTAGAAGCACTTTGAGAGGAGTTGGTGGTTGCCTGGAATGAGATACCACAGGAGGACATTGACCTCCTGATCAGAAGCATGCCTAGGCGCGTTGGAGAATGCGGTCCACATGTTTACTTTAAAACGATACTGTGATCTATCTTGTCTCATCGTATGTGGATTCTCTACATGTCACTCGAGTAAGTTTTGTAGGTTCATGTAACCACCTTTTTAAATGTCGACTCACCAGTCCATGAAATTTTCTCAAAAAACCGCCGGCCTTTCCGGTGTCTCTGTAACATTGTTTGACAAAAATCAACTCTTGGAAGATAATCCCGGAAATTGCACTTGCTCTACATGGTACGGGTGGTGCTTGTTCTTTCACAAGATTCGCTGCACTTTTGGAATCTTTCCTCTGAGAGTAAATGGTGCACATCCTCAAAAACTCGGTGATCGGGATGATGAGCAGCATTTGGGTACCTCTCACAATAAAGACTAGCTGCAGCATTAGCATTATACATATACAGGGTGACTTCGAAGTTGAGTCATTTATTTTAACAGCGAGTAGATCTGATCGAAAGAAATGTTTTTTTCCTTTACCATTTTTCTGGTAAAATTAAAGTAACAAAGTTATAGCCCTTTGGAAGTTTGAGTACCGCCCTGTCTCAATAATAATATTATGTGCTCGTGTTTGGCGACAACGGATATAATCCGCCTTATCGGTTCATCGCATCGGAAACAAAAAAGCGAAAGAATTTGGAACGATGTTTTTACAATTATTTCATTCAGTTGTATACAGTCAGTGTCAGTCGGTAGTGAATAGTGGTGTCTGTTGCGTGGCTCAAACGAAATAAAAAATGGCACATGTTTATGCGGATCGGTTTCCCAATCGAGTGCAATCAACCCCTCGTGCCTTTGTTAATGTAGTACAACGGGTTCGTGAATTATTTGACTTAAGACCTCACATATGGACGGCATGCCGGTGCTCCAAGACCTCACGATCAAATACAGGTCCGCACTGAAATACTTGTCGGGAGGATACTTTATAAAACAAGGTAAAATTTTTTTTTTAATTTTTTTTTTATTTTTACACACATATTTTGGTTTATCTTCCTTCTACAATCATTATCTGAAAATTAATGACTCAACTTCAAAGTCACCCTGTATATCTACATTCCCCATAAATGAGGTGAATGTTAGCGTATTTCTGTACGGTGTACCCAGACATAGTGGCACTACACATTAATTAATTAATGTGGCGTTACTGTCTGTCTTGCTGTCACTACGTAGTATGACACTGTCCATTACTCCGTTTAAGAAAAAAATTGAGATTTGTAGAAATAATGGGAATCACAGGGTGTATATTTTTTCTATTTTACCGATTTTTCTAAAGGACACAATTTTTTTTAATATTTTATTGATAACCATTATGACTTGGCCTATCGCCCGTTCTCGGTTTGATATCGACTGGTTGAAGTTAGCTGGTTCAAAATTCCATTTCAAAGTTTAGATGTACTTAGTAATGGTGGTGAGGAGGCAAAGCCTGGCAACTAGCCTACCTTTGATCTTGCATCGATCTGGTGCGTTTGATGACGAAAGTCTAATAAAAATCTAAAAACCTATTATTTTTAGCTTAAAACTTGTTCCGCTCAAAGGATAAGGTTATTGTCGTGTGAACTTTTTGGATAACGATTCTTTGATACTGATTAATGTGTTCATGTTTACGTTAATCAATGATTATACGCTGCGGTCTACAACACTGAATGCTAAACAGGCGTGGGTACGCTTCATTTTTTTTTAAATTGCAGTGTACAAAAAAGACAACTAGGATTACTGCTGTTAGATTGATCTTTATCCAAAACCAGTAAGTAGACATTTTAGTTAAGATAATTTGGAAATAAGTTCAGAGCTTGGAGGTTAGGTAGTGTGATGCAATTATCACATGTGTACAATAATATAAGAGTGGCATTGGGAATATATTTATTGGATGATCTAGAAAACCTACTCGTTATTGGGATTTAGGATAATGTTTTAGATAGATTTAGACGTTATAATGAATTTGAAACCTTTTCTACTATAGCCTATACTGCAACAGTTTGTTCGTATAGTAGTCGGCAACTTGTTCAGAGATCTTATCTGTTCGTACAGTTTCTGACTGTTTGCAGACAGCTAATTCCAGGGGGGTCATGGGGGTCAATTTTCAAAGTTCAAAATCTCTTAAATACATCTGTAATGCACACATATTAAATGGATGACGTATTGGTATTTTCTACTAAACACTAGCAGCGCTGCATCCGTCAACTTTGATTTAACTGTAAGCTCATAGATGATAGCGCAAGACGAGTTGCCTATGCGGTCAGCTTGATGTAGGAAAAACTTCTTCGCGCGCGCTTAAGCTGTCAGCAAATTTGATAAAAAATACTTTTTTTTTTTTTAACGAGGGGGGAATGCATTTACGCACCATACCATAGCACGAGCTACGACGTGTGTGGGGCTCCAGGGTCTTGAAGAGATCACCTAATACCCACTAAACCCTAAACCTCCGCGTGGCCCGACTCATCAGCGTCTCGGTAGGCCATGTGTTGTGCGTGACCTGCGGTCTGCTACAACGTCTCCTCATGTGTTTCAGTCTCTGGGAACGCCGGGTTGGTTCCCTTTACCTCGCACATTCTATCGATGTCGTTAAGCGATCATCGATAGAGGGTCTGCTAGTTTCTCTTGAAACTCTTGTTTTCGAAAAATCAAGAGTTTCAAGTCATCTTACCAATATGTTGTTCCTGGTCCTGGTCCTGAAGGGTCCTGGTCCTGGTGGGTCCTGGTCGTGGCGGGTCCTGGTTGGTCCTGGTCCCGGTGGGTCCTGGTCCCGGTGGTTCCTGGTCCTCTGCATCCACGCCGTGGGGGGGGGGGGAGCAGCCGCAAATTCTCCTAGTCTCCTAGTCAAGGTTCCAGTTAGCGGGTGCCAACTGGGACCTTGGTCTGGGGTACCTGGTTCTGCGGTTGCGAGGCCTCTCGTCCGGATCGTAGTCCATGAGGAATCGTAGCTGCTCATTCGGGTGGTCCTGAGCTTTCTCGAACGTCTTCTCCGCTTTTTTCCTCATGTACTCGTGGATGGTATCCCAATGCAGGTCTCTACGCAAGGTTGAGTTCCTTACGTAGGAAGGTGCATTGGTGGCGATCCGGAGTAGCTTCATCTCTAGAGCAGCAAGTCGCTTGCGGTAGCTGGGGGCAGCGTACCCCCAGACCGCGGAGGCGTAAGCGAGCTGAGGTCTGGCGATGGCCTTGATCAGCCGTAGCTTGGTCGCTAGCGGCATCTGGCTGTGTCTACCCAGTAATGGATAGAGTTGAGCCATGGCTGCTCTGGTTTTTGCGATGACAGCTTCTATGTGCGCTTTCCAGGTGAGGGACTTGTCAAAAACGATCCCCAGATATTTGACATTGTCGCTCCACTGGATATCTTCATCGAAGATGGATGCTTCGAGAGGTCTTGCAATCCTTCTTCGTTGAATGAAGATTGCCTGCGTCTTCTGGACGTTGATGCGGATTTTCCATTTCACGCACCAGTCCTGAATTTGGTCCAGTTCACCCTGTAGTCTCCTACGGATGATCTCGGGTCGTCTATGCTTGGCGGCTATAGCAGTGTCGTCTGCATATAGGGCCAGCATTGTGTCAGCTGTCTTCGGCACATCGTAAGTATAGATGTTGTAGAGCAGGGGGGCTAAGGCTGACCCCTGGGGCACGCCTGCTTCCAGCTGACGTCTTGTTGAATGGCATGTACCAATCTTCACCGTGAACCATCTTTGTGTTAGATAGCTCTGGATCAGTTGGCACATGTTCGCATCGATTCCGGCGGCTTCCATTTTGGCGATGAGTCCATCGTGCCAAACTCGGTCGAAGGCTCGTTCCACGTCCAGCAGGACGAGACCGGTTGCCTCCTGGAGATTGAAGCCGCTGTTGATGTTTTCCGTCAGTCGTAGCGCTTGGAGTTCCGTGTTGTGGGAGGATCTGAAGCCGAATTGCTCTGGGGGGAGAAGTTGCAGTTCTTCTGCCTGCTTCTCTAGTCGAACGGCGATAGCCTTTTCGACTACTTTGCCCACCGAGGAAACCAGGCTGATGGGCCGGTAGTTCTGGGGCAACTTCCGGTCCTTGCCTGGCTTGGTGAGCATTATAACCTGGGCTTCCCGCCACCGCCGCGGGAAGTGGTTAAGTCTCAGAGTGGCATTGGCGATGTTGGTGAGCGCAGCAATGCCTTTGGTGGGAAGGTTCTTCAGCATCCTATTGTTGATGCCGTCCCTTCCCGGCGCCTTTCTGACCTTCAACCTGCGGATGATCAGACGGATTTCCTCTGGACTGGAGGGGTGATCCGTCTCCTGGCCAGGTGGTCGACTCCTCATGTTTTCGGCTGCGACTTCCACGGCCTCCTCGTGGTTGTCGTCCTCGTCTTCATGGTAATTGAGTCTGCATTCGGATTCTAGCGAATCGGCGAATGCTTCGGCTTTTTCTTCACTGGAGTAGGCCAAGCCGCGTTGGCCGTGAAGAGTGGGGATCGTGGTGCGCTGACGACGAAATTTTCGCTGCATAGACCAGGCCGTACCATCCTGGGTCTCTAGTTCTGCACAGGCTGCATTCCATCTGTTGTTTTGGAGTTCCGCGAGTGCGTTCTTCAGAGCTAACGATGCTCTGTTTCGCGCAACTCTCGACTCCTCTGTCAACAGCTGGAGATGTTCTCGCTTGAGTCTTCTGTTCTCCCTGATCAGGTGCCTAATATGGTGCGGTGCTGGACCATTTAGGTATCTAGGAACTGCCGTAGTCTCGGAGCGGGTGCTGTCCTCGTGCGCTCGCAGGACAGCATTCTCCAGCTCCTCTACTGCGTTGTCCAGTTCCTCCGCTGATCGGATGGTTGGAATTTGAGTGATGTTCCTCTGGACGTTGGATTTGTAAAGGTTCCAGTTCGTCCGTTTGGTGCTCAAGCTATCTCGAGTTCTAGACCCTGTACCAAGTGTTAGTAGAATCGGATTGTGGTCCGACGATCCTTCCACCAGGGTCTCTATCTCGAACTCCTCTCTGATGTTGCGGAGGATGGCTATGTCCAGTACCGCAGGTCGCCCAAGGCCGAATGGAATGTAGGTTGGTTGCTCCGGACCGACGATGACCCCCGCCAGGGCATCGACGTGTTCCTGGAGCTGCCTTGCATTCCTGTCTTCGACGTTGTTGTTCCAAGCCGGAGACTTGCAGTTTAGATCTCCGATGACTATGCGTGCTCCTGGGCCTCTCAGGAGGTCAGCGATGTCATCTTCGTCTAGGGCCTCCCCTGGTGGCACATATAGGGAGGTGATTCTGTAGGGACGGTGGTTGTGATGGACCTGGACCGTGATTCCGTCCCCATTTATGTCTGCGGCATCGTCGAGGACATGACTCGTCAAGGTACGTTTGACGAGTAATGCGACTCCTCCACCTCTGCCCCTTCTGTCGTAGCGGTACGTCTCGTACCGCGGGAAAGTCAGACTATGGGCAGCATCCAACTTCGTTTCTTGGATGGCCATCACCTCTGGTTGGTACTGGTCTAGTATCTCCTGGATTTCTGGTTTCCGTGCCCTGAATCCGTTGATGTTCCAGGAGATAATGCGTAGAGATTCTACGTTTTGACCTGTAGACATTTCGGGTCTAGTGCTTGTCTTGCATCTTGGCCTCGAGTGCATCCAGGCGGGTTATGATGGCTTGCATCATTGCTAGCAGTCTGTCATCGCCGTGTTGCTTCTGCGCAGTAGTTCCAGTAGCAGTGGCGGCTGCTGGGGCAGAAGTGGACATAGGCTTCTTCACTTTTTGGGCGTAAGAAGTCCTATTTGTGGTGGGGACTGCTTTGGGGACAGAAGCAGCTTTCTTCGGCGCCTTACTACATCCCTTGTAGTTGGCGGGGTGGCCTTCTCCACAGAGGCAACACTTGGCGTTTCGTTGCCCTGTTGGCGGCGCTGGCAGACTGCAGCTGGTGCTGTTGTGGTCCTCTCCACACTTAACGCACCGTTCAGCGAGACGACAGTTCCGCTGTGTGTGCCCGTACCGCTGGCAGCGGTAACATTGGCTGGGCTCGGAAGACTTTTTCTTCCTCTCGAAGCCGACCGTGAGCATGGCTAGCCTCTGGATCTCTGCAAGCTTTTCCGGCATCTTCGTCTTGACGAGGAAGAGCGGAAGTGGCTTCTTTGTGGTCCTTGAGGTCATCTGCTGAACCTCGGCGTCTGCGATGCCTTGGCTCACTAGATCCTCTTTGATGTCATTGACTGACATCTCTCTCGGAAGCCCACGAATGACCCTCTGGTCCATCCTGTCCTCCTTCAGTTGATATGTGAAGAAGGGCCGCTTGATGGATTCCAGCAGTGCGACTAGCTGACGGTAGTCAGCTGGTGTATTTGTGAATACCTTCACACTGGTACCCGCCGTCCTCGCTTTGGAGAATTGAATCCCCTTGCTGTTCATCATCCTACTCAAGGATGACCAATCAGCGGTGCCCTCGATATTGATTGGCGGAACTCCTGTTCCTGCCATGGGGGCCTCGGTGGTCCTGGTTGCTCTAGGACCTCTCTTCTTGGTGGCAGCTGGCATCTTTGGCTGCCTGGGTTCTTCTTCTTCTTCGGAGGAGGAAACTCGCACCCGCTTCCTCCGTCTGGTGGCGACACTGAAATCGGTGTCGTCCGTCCTCTTCTCGGCTTCGTCTACGTCGATATCTTGGGCATCCATGTCCAAGTTCTCCGTAGGCTTCTGGTCCTCCTCTCCCTGGTCCTCTTCTTCTTCTTCTTCCTCCGTCTTCTTCGCTTTCCTCTTTGCTTTGAGGAGCTTCCTTTTTACCTCATCGATTTCATCCCTCGCCCTCTCGAATGCTTCTTGCAGATTTTTCATCTGCTCAGCAAGCATTGCAAAATTCTCCTCTTTCTGCTTCAGCTGGCTCGCCAGCTTCTCTATTGTCGCCATCGTGGATGGCGATCGTACCGTGATGAAAATCACAGTAGGATCGCACTGTAAGTCCGGGTGGGTCGCAGTCGCACAAGTGTATGCTCGTGACGGCTGCTAGCTCGGAACTCGGGGTGGGGAATACTTTTTGACGGACCAGTGGTGGATTTAAGGAAAAGGGCCCGGTCGGCAATATGCACTGAGGGGGAGGGGGGTGGGGCAGTGGTACGATCGGCGACAAACGGCAAATAGTGCTCACTATAACTGTTTTGCGATTAACATAAATTACTGCAATTATTGACAAATAAAATACGGCAATGGAAACTTTGAAAGTTGCATGATAACTCAGGAATTAATATTAAAATTCAATGCGTAATGTCATGTTAGTGCAATCGTACATCAGCCTGTTTTTGCATTTAATAGTGGGTACGGGGACGGGACAGGTTGTAATCGCATCGTTATTTTTTGAAGTAAATTAAACTTGATGATTCACCAGCAAACTTCTTGTGCATAATAGAGTTTAAAAGTTATCACGGATGCTACCGATAAGAAAAGGGCGTCGAGTCAAATTTGGAGTGCACGCTATTTATAGAATTTGCATACAATTATAATTAAGAAAAAAAAACAAATAGTTGTTGTCATGTTTGCCGTGATTAATACTTCATTGAATACAAACTTGATGAACAACACTAAAATAACGTGCATTACTACAGGATATATAATAGACACTATTTGCGAACCAAAATGGCGACATTCTTTTTTCACAACTGAAAAACCCTTGAATTGTTGAGAAAAGGGCAGTATTATGCTTCTTCACAATATACACGTCTCACTTAAAATTAGATATTCATTTCCAAAGTGTAGTGTGTTCTATTTGATACCCATATTGAGGGGACTGAAAAGATATCTAATACTGTACTTTTTGGTAGCGGTGACCATCTTGGATTTGATTTCTTATGGTGTATTGTATTTTTCTAGTCAAGCCCCGCTACTTGATACTCATATTGAGGAGGGTGGATAAATAATATCTACTGTTGGACCAGCGAAAGATTGCAAGCCGAAAGAATGCGGACAAAAAATTGCGAAGTTGTCAGATGTTCTACATAAAATGCGGTCCATACATATTAACATATTTAAGATATAGAATTGTTCCGCTGAATTTGGCAATGTAGCTGGAAAACCCAGGCCGCAGGTAAACATCCGGTCGCTGATTGGTCCAAAACTCTTATCTTATCTGAAACTAGAATAACGTGCCGATGGCACGGTCATTTATAAACCTACTCCCATAGGCGTAGGCAGTTGGCAAATACTTTGAAAATATAATTTACTGTTTAGTGGTGATAATGGAATTCAAGCATGGGAAAGTTATTCACAGCCAGGCAAGGGAAATAATAGCAAACGTGATACGTGCTTGCGATGCAGAAGCGGCTAACAATACTTTCGTTTATCCACTGGTAGCTAGAAATGCAAGGGCGGCATATTATACGGGTGTTAGTGAACGAACTATAAGTAAAATTAGAAAAGAAGATAAAGACAGGCAAAATGCAACCTCCACACAGCCTTTAGCTTCTCCCGGAAAAAAGAGATCACGCCCTTCTGTGATCCAAAAAATTGATGGAGTCGATTTTTCCATTATTCGGAGAATGATAGAAAAATTTTACTGTGATTTTAAAGTGGTACCTACTTGTAGTAAACTTCTAATCAAACTGAAGGAAGAAATGGAATTTCCATTTGGTAAAGAATCGTTGAGGCTGCTTTTAAAAGCAAAAGGATTTTACTGGCGTAAATGCCACAACAAAAGGAAATTACTAATGGAAAGACCCAGTATTTTACATTGGCGATACAAGTATCTTAGGTCTATTAAAAAGTTCCGGGAAGAAGGAAGGCATATTATTTATTTGGACGAAACTTGGGTTGATAATGACCTCACTTTCAAGAAATGCTGGCAAAGCGAAGAAATTATGGGTGTCCTGAGCAATATAAGTTCTACAGGTAATAAAGTTTCTTTCACCTCGATTTTGCTTATTATACATTTTTCTCAATTTTGGAATATTCTTAATAAGTGCTCATTTAATTTGTCTAATTGAATACATAATCCCTTGCAAGTATTTTTTTCTCAAAAATATGTTTTTTATACATAGTGATTCAAAAAGGTGTTGGCAAACTTAAAATAACACTAAAATGAGGCTATTTATTCATTTCCAGGACGACTTATAATTGTTCATGCGGGTTCGCAAGATGGTTTTGTTCCTGGAGCCTGTCTCATTTTCAAGGCTGGCTGTGCCACTGGTGATTATCACGGTCAAATGAACCAAGAAAATTTCACGAAGTGGCTTACTGAAAAACTATTTCCTAACATTCCTCCTAATAGTATTATAATAATGGATAATGCACCTTACCATTCAGCTTTGGAAGACAAGCCTCCAACTAGATCTTCTCTAAAAAGAGACATCATCACGTGGTTGAGCAAAAAAGGTATAGAGCATGATCCTAATGCTAAAAAAATGGAGCTTTATGAAATAGCTTGTCTACATAGGCCACCATCTGATGAGAAAAATTATAAGATAGATAATTTAATAAGAAGTTTCGGACACACCCCACTTCGAACGCCACCCTATATGTGTCAGTTTAATCCCATAGAGATGATTTGGGCACAAGTAAAATTTTTCATTAGAAGCCATAATACAAGCGGCGAATTTACTATAAAAAAACTAGATGAAATTTCTAATAAGGCCATCGCTTCAGTAAGTGCCAGTGACTGGCAAAAGGTTATTGGACATGTTATAAAAATTGAAGATGAATATTGGGAAAAAGACAGTCTCATTCAAGAAATACAGGAAGAAATAATAATCAACATAGGAGGTGAAAGTGATAGCAATGACAGTTCCTCAGACAGTGATCATGACTCTAATCAGGATTGAAACTATACTAGATTGGCTACCTTTTAGAATTTTTAGATATTCATTTATTATACTATTGGTTTGTGGCTTTTAGTATCTCAGTAGAAAGTCTAATTCTATGTGTTGTTTATGGGTTATTTCATCAAGAAATTACTTTTTGTTTTCCTATATTTTTCTATTCAGTCAGATATTTTTGACTTGTTGTATTCTATTTTAGAAGAATGCATAATTTGTTTTGCTGTTCAATCATAATGCGTACATAGGAATATTACTTGTTGCCTAAAAAATATATTTATTTTGTTCTCAATATTCAGTGTTTGTGTATATTTATTTCTTATAATGTATGTTTGGTATCACGTCATTATGAATCGCAAAAAAATATTAATACTACCAGTTGTAATAAAATATAAATTCAATTAATAATTCAAGTCTCTCCGATCTCCGCCTATGACTCCATATAAAATCGTCTAATGGTAAGGTTTTTTCATCGCATTTCCCCCTTTCGTCCCTAGCAATCTTTGGCTGGTCGATCAATAATGCGGACAGCGGCTGCTATCTTCGATATAACATTTTTTCATAGTCTACTCGTCTACTGCATTTTCCAAATTCACCTAGTCAAGCTCTATCATTTGATAACGCATATTGGGTAAGTTGTAAAGAGATATCTAACCCACCACTTTGTGGTTGCTGCTATTTTGAATTTGCAATAATAGTGAATATATACTAAGCGACATATAAATCCGAACACTAAGTTTAAATTGTTTTATTTTAATAAAGGTTGGTAAATGTATTTATCTTACTGTAAATAATAAGCGAAAAATTTTCAGCCTTATCAGTTGGACATTCCGGTTTTTATACTGCTTTTTTTAATTCACTAACGCATCCTTTACGATCGGTTACGATGCCTAGAGTACGGAGACCTGTACGATTTCGTCAACTTAGTGAGTTTGATAGGGGCCGTATAGTGGGACTTCGGGAAGCTGGACTTTCTTTTCGGCCAGTTGCAGTTAGAGTGCAAAGAAGTGTAGACACTGTGGTTAGGTGTTGTCAGGCATGGCTTCGAGAAGGCCGTACGTAAAGAGCAAGGGGCACTGGACGCCGCCGTAGAACAACAGACCGTGAAGATCGCCGCCTAAGATTATTAGCCTTAAGGGACCGTTTCTCCACTACCAGGTCCATTGCAAATGAATGGTTTGCAGAACACGGAAGACCTATTGGCACGCGCAAGTGTTTACCGACGAATGAGAAGTTTTGGCTTGTTTTCATACCGGCCACACTGGGTCCTCCCTTTAACTCGAGAACACCGCAACGTCCTCCTCAGACTCTAGAAGCACTTCGAGAGGAGTTGGTGGTTGCCTGGAATGAGATACCACAGGAGGACATTTCTTAAGCTAGATATGAAACGTATGCAGTTATTTTGTAAAATAGATATGCTGTTACGACTCGCAACATTTGAACAGAGGTTATAAACTAGAATCCAATAGGTAATTAAAAATTGATAATACAAAAGGTTCACACAACTTTTTTCGCACCTTTAAATTCAGCCAATTTTTGTTCGCATATTAGACGGATATTTGTTCTTTGTAAGAAGTTATTTAAATGTTCACGTAGCCGCACATCTTCATAGATTAAAACACCCAGGCACTTGATATGCACATTACGAAAAATCATGTCACTTATTTTCGTCCATATGTTGGTCTGTTTGTCTGTGAATCCTTGGTACCGCTACACCGCTTGGATGTTGAGGGAATCTTGAAACAAAGTTACGAGTATGTCAAGACCGAAAAAACTTTTTAGTTTCTGTAAAATTATCCAGACAACATGCAAAAACCGAAAAACCTTTATATTTGACTGTGGAAATGACAAATCACCATATTGCGAGTGCCGCCATATTGAATTTAGAATGACGTCACTTTGTTTATTGCATTCCTCTCACCAAGCCCTTTCATTTGATACCCATCGTAGGTTTTTTTTGGAGATGCTAAATCGCTATTTTGTAGCATAGTGCCATATTGGATTCAAATTGGCAGCATTCAATACATTTTGTATTGTTATGCGAACCAAACTTATACAGGGTGTCCTAGAAGTCAACGTCAAGTCATAATAGTTAACAGAAGAATATAAAAAATCTAAGTCCTGTACTTTTCAAATTATAGTCTTGAAAAAAAATCGGAAATATGTATACCCTGTGATGATCTTTTAGTTCCCATCACTACAAATTTCAATTTTCTCTTAGACGGAGTGACGAACAGTGTCATTCTATGTAGTGGCAGCAACACAGATTGTAACGCCACTTTTATTAATTCGTGAATGTATACTAAGTGACATATAAATCCGAACACCCAGTTTAAATGGTTTTATTTTAATAAAAGTTGGTGAATTTATTTATCTTACTGCAAATAACAAGTGAAAAAATTTTCAGCCTTATCAGTTGGACATTCCGGTTTTTATACTGCTTTTTTTTAATTCACTAACGCTCTAAAAATGAATATTTCAGCCGCAGTAAAGAATCAACGTTGGCGGATTTTGGTTCTTGACATCCTTTACGATCGGTTACGACGCCTAGAGTACTTAGTGAGTTTGATAGGGGCCGTATAGTGGGACTTCGGGAAGCTGGACTTTCTTTTCGGGCAATTGCAGTTAGAGTGCAAAGAAGTGTAGACACTGTGGTTAGGTTTTGTCAGGCATGGCTTCGAGGAGGCCGTACGCAAAGAGCAAGGGGCACTGGACGCCGCCGTAGAACAACAGACCGTGAAGATCGCCGCCTAAGATTATTGGCCTTAAGGGACCGTTTCTCCACTACCAGGTCCATTGCAAATGAATGGTTTGCAGAACACGGAAGACCTATTGGCATGCGAAGTGTTTACCGACGAATGAGAAGTTTTGGCTTGTTTTCATACCGGCCACACTGGGTCCTCCCTTTAACTCGAGAACACCGACGTAATCGCCTTGAGTGGTGCAGACAACGGTCACTCTGGGATCAGGAATGGAACAGTATTGTCTTTAGTGACGAGTCTCGATTTTGTTTAGGCATGCACGATGGTCGTGTCAGGGTTAGAAGGCGACGTGGTGAAAGGAGGAATCCACAGTTTTTTGTTGAAAGACATGTTCATCACACTGTTGGAGTTATGGTTTGGGGTGCTATAGCTTATGGTTCCAGGTCACCTTTAATCTTTATCAGAGGTAACATGAATGCGCAGCGTTATATCCACGAAGTTCTAGAACCCCATCTTTTACCCCATCTTGACACCCTGGCAGATCCAACTTTCCAACAAGATAATGCCCGACCACATGTTGCAAGAGTCACAATAGACTTCTTTCAACATAATGATGTCACATTGTTACCATGGCCACCAAGATCTCCCGACTTACCCCCAATTGAGCACGTGTGGGATATGATGGGTAGGAGATTGCCCAATTTGCAACGTCCTCCTCAGACTCTAGAAGCACTTTGAGAGGAGTTGGTGGTTGCCTGGAATGAGATACCACAGGAGGACATTGACCACCTGATCAGAAGCATGCCTAGGCGCGTTGGAGAATGCGTAGCACATCAGGGTGCACCCACACATTATTAAAGGTCAAAGGGCTTTAAAGCAGTGCAATCATTTTGAAATTTTTATCATTTACTTATTATGCTTCATTAAGTACTTATACAAAATTTTATTAAAATAAAACCATTTAAACTGGGTGTTCGGATTTATATGTCACTTAGTATACATGTTTGTATCGTTCTCAGAACTAAGCAGATCAATAGGCCAATAGAAAAAAGGTAAAATTTGAATTAACAAATTTGATGCACACAAGGCAAGCTGGTAAGCTAAATAAAATCGTTTAAAATCGCTCACACACAAATGACGTATTCTTTAATTGACTTTTTGTTAGTTAGAAGTCGCTTCAAATTATTGCCTTTGTCGTACAGATGGCGCTGTTTACAAAAATCGATTTAAATGGGTAATTGATACAATCGACTTAATAAAAACCTATTACTATGATTAAGAAAATAGAATATTGAATATCGATTATAACTAAAAAATAATTGATTAATCGATCAATTTTTACAATGTGTACCGTAAGGACTATCTACTATAGCTCTTATATCCACGAAAAATCATGGACACGGTTTTGAAGAGGTGGAGCTAAATAATAATAATAATAATAATATTTATTCGCCAAAATACAAAAAATGGGCAAATAAATATGAAAAAACCACAGAAGGCATCGCCTGTGTGTGGTTTATATCTTAATAACTAACAATCAATCATATATGTGTATAACAATTATTGTTAAATCTAAAAGGTATTAATGTAATTGGAATTTTGTAGTTTTAGTTTTCTATATAATTATGTATAGTCATTCGCTGCACATTACTAACCCAGTCTTTCAATTTTCTTCTAAATTTTTTTCCAAAATTAAGTATCTTTATTTCGTTTGGTACTACATTATATAATTTAGCTGCTAAGAATTTAAATGATTTTTTGAATAATGTTTTGTGTGGTCTTTGGATATTAAGGCGCGTACACATCTGGCGAACGCATGTGGCCGAAGCTCTTCGATCGAATTCATTCGATGATTTCGACGTTCGATGGAAAATTTGCTCTGCCATCCACATTACGGTGAACGAATTCGTTTGCAGTCATTCGTCGAGGTTCGCGGGTATTTTTGTAAATGGTAAAAAATGGCGTCCGATGATGAGGATATAATTATTGCAAGTGCGTTGTATATTATTATTAGTGAGGCGGAGACCGAAGCATTGAAAGAGCCCCCAAGAAACGACGAAAACGGCGCTGGTGGACAACATCATTGTTCAAAAGCAGAAGTCGGTATAGAGGGATGGACTTAATTAGTGATCTAAAAGCTGAAATGGAATACGGACTTTTTGTAAATTTTTGTAGAGTGAAGTCTACTGATCTTGAATGGTTATTAAATGAAATCGGTCCAAAAATCGCGAAACAAGATACAAAGTTTAGAGAAGCAATACCGTCAACAGAAAGGTTAATGTTAACCCTACGATATTTAGCTACTGGTGACACATATACAAGTTTAATGTATACTTTTAAAATTTCAAAACAACTCATTTCAAGGATAATACCAGAACTTTTTGTAATCTTTATGCACTGGATTCCATAAAACTTCCCGTTCTCGATATAAACCAATAAGTTTTAAACAAGAGGAATTAGTCCACTCCATTACCGCTAAATAGAAACTCAAAACAAAATGACCACGATGAGACACTTAAAAACTGAAAAGCGTACACACTAAACACAGCCAAACGAATTCGTTCTTCAATTTTCTTTTGATGTACCGCCCAGTGACCGAACTCTCGCGAAGGCAAACACATGCGTTTGTTAAGTCGTACACATTTACCGACGGCGTACGGTCGAAAGGCTTCGGCCACATGCGTTCGCCAGATGTGTACGCGACTTTAGATGAGCCTATTCGAAATCGTGTGTTATGCTCGTGTTTATAGGATTTTTTCTTTTTATTACAATACTTATGGTATAAGGTGGTGGCATGTAAGAAATAAAGTTGTCTTGTATCAAGTATCCCTGTTTCTTGATATAAGTTGTTCGTTGGATATAATCTTGGCTTATGGAAAATGGCTTTCAAAACAGTTTTTTGTGCTATATTCAGGTCAGAAATATATGTCTTGCAGGCGGCACCCCAGGCTGTGATGCCGTATATTATATGGGTTTCAACTAAGGCATGGTATAGGATTCGCAGATAACTTTCTGTAAGAATGTTAGCAAACATTTTGAGTTTATAGGCAACATTTCTAATTTTTTTGATATCATATTTAATATGGTTATCCCACCTTAGATGTGAGTCTATAAATATTCCAAGATATTTCAAAGTGTTAACTCTATCGATTTTGGTCTTTTGGCCATGATAATTAACGGAAATTTGTTCGAAGGTAGGTAAAAATTTTGAATAGGATGTAAATGTAATAAATTTTGTTTTTTTGAAGTTAACTGTTAAAATTTTAGTATCAAACCAGTCAATGATCCTTATAAAATCCTTTTCAGCTATTTGCTTCAGTGTGCTCCAGTCATCAGCTTTATATAATACGAGGGTGTCATCTGCAAAACATATAATCTTTCCAGAACTGTTAATTTTGAATAAGTCATTTAAGTAGAGACTAAATAATAGTGGGCCTAGTACTGTTCCTTGAGGCACACCACACTTGATGTACATTTTTTTACTGTAAGTGTTAGTGATTTTGACAGTCTGTGCCCGACTTGAAAGGTAATTTTTTAAAAGGATTTGTGACGCTCCCCTAAATCCCAATCTTTCCATAACTTTCAGAAGCTCGACATGGTTAACCGTATCAAAGGCATTTTTTAGATCAACAAAGATACCAATAGTAGGTATCTTTTTGTTGACATTAGAGTTAATTTCATCCATTGCAGCCAAAATTGCATCTGTAGTAGATTTTCATTTTCTAAATCCATATTGGTCAGAACATATAATTTTGTTTTTGTCCAAAAATTGTAATATCCTTTTTTGTAGTAATTTTTCAAAAATTTTGGCTACATTCGATAGTACTGATATGGGTCTATAATTTGATGTTTCCATTCTGTCACCGCCTTTATAAACAGGAGTAATAACAGTTGTTTTAAATGCATCAGGACAAATTCCAGATTGGAAACACCAATTAATGACGTAAGAAAGTGGTTCGGCTAAGTCGTAGGCTATTATTTTTTATGCTCAGCTTTGATACCATCTATACCAGGACTTTTTTTGGTTTTAAGTGATAGGACAGCTTCTTGTACTTCAATCGGACTAACGCTTTCTAAAAAGAATGAATTGGGAAGTTGGGTTTTTGTGAACTTTTCGTTCGAAACCATTTTTTAAATACTGGATGCTAAATTTTCTCCAACATTAGTGAAAAAATTTAAGAATGCATCGGATATTTGTCGTTTATCTGTTAATATTGTTCCATCATGATTCTTAATTTCATCAATATTTGGTTTTTCTTGAACGTCTTTGTTAGTTAAGTGATCGACAACTGACCACAGTTTTCTTGGATCAGATTTGGCATCTTGTAATTTTTTTAGATAGAATTGGCGTTTTGCTTCTCTAACTAGATTGATAAAAATATTTTTATATTCTTTATATTTATGGGAGGTATCTGCACATGGCGATGCTTTCATTATTTTGTATAGTTCCTCTTTTTTGTTGGCAGACTTTATCAAACCTTTAGTTATCCAGGGATTCCTGCTTCTGTCAAAATGTTTAATTTTAACTCTGTTTGTACTACATTCAATTAAATATTTTATGCGTTCAATGAGTGTGTTTGCAGCATCATTAACATTCGTTGCACAGTACACTGCTGTCCACGATTCTAATTTGATATTTGCAAGTAGTTTTTTATTATCGACAAAACACCTAAATTTCACTGTTTTATTATTGGAGATGGATCTACTTTTATTTTTTTCTGGTGATGATATAAGTATTACAGTGGGTAAATGATCGGTAATATGGTTTTCAACAATTAACGGTATGTCCCGAAAGAAATTTGAAAAATTTTTGATGAAACAATGATCAATGCAAGAACTGGAACTATTATTGACTACTCTTGTTGGTGAATTTATATTTGATATGAATCCATTGCTCTGCATTACAGTGAGGTATTTGTTTACTAATTTGGTATGTTGGAGTATATTAATATTCATATCTCCTATTATGATGTGGTGTGACTGTATGGCATTTTTGTTATCTAACAAAAATTTTTCAAGATTTTCTACAAATGTATAAGGGTTTGATGATGGTGGTCGATAGACAGATGTGACTTTTATACTTTTGTTATTAATTCTCAATATCAAATCCAATACTGTGATACCGTCATCAAATTTAACAAAATCACATCTGTAGTTGATATCATTTCTTACATATACTACCACCCCATCATTCTGGTTGTACGTACCATTACTGTAAAGCGTATCATAACCTTCCAAACAGAACAAAGATACATCATTAATTTTCCAAGTTTATGTTAATATTATTATATCAAATTTGTGATTAATTGTAGTTAGGAAGATATTAAAACAGTCAAAATTTTGGTTTAGGCTTCGAATATTCATGTGATATAAGCTAACATTGAAATTAGAATATTCTAACCATTTATTAAGAGCATTTGCGTCTTGAGCAATATTTGTATTGATATCATTAACCTGAAAATTATTTACGTAACTATCCATGTAAAATTTTGCAAATGATATGTAGCTCGAAAAACGTAAAAAGAACTAAACGCTCAAAACATTATTCTGGATGAATACTGTTTTTGAAAATATAAATACGACGGGCATTTTTTGTCTGTGGGCGAGTGACCAACATCATTATTCTTATTATGCTTAACGTTATAGTTCATACAGTTAGAACATTTTAAAATGTTTACAGTACAAATTTCACTTCTATGTGCTTGTCCACATTTAATGCACATTTCCGCGCCCCTACATTTTTTGTCTGTGTGACCAAACTTCAAGCATTTTCTACACTGCGATATCTGGTTATTATCATAGACAAATAAGTTTTGCCAACCTAGTAGTATTCTTGATTTCTTGTGAATGAGAACGATAATAATATAATAATAACAATAATAATAATAATCCGTTGGCAGACAAAATCAATTTTGTGGCTCGGTGTTTATCGTTGTTAAAAATAACCGCGTTGTAGGTGAAGCATTCACGAAATAATGATGTCCTGGGAAGGGGCATTGTGAGTGTTTTCGAATGAATATCGCTTCTAGATATCAGCTTATTTTTCAAAAACGGGGGAATGGAAGAACTGTGTGAGCTACACTTAGTTACATACACCCATAAACGTTTGCTCTCAACCATTTTATGTCCGTGAAAAAAGAGCTGATATCATTTTTTTTTCAAATTCTTGATCAACCTACAACATAAGTTTTGGATTTTCTGGAGACCTGTGAGAGATAATGGGTCGAGAACTGGAAATCACAATAACTAATTTTGGACATTACCAAAGATTCACACAAAATTGTCGTATAGTCAAGAAATTGTCTATTAAGACATAATTGACGTACAATGGAAAAGCAACTCTTACCAATATTATTTACATATGGTGCAAAATTTAGACATTCATCGAAAGTTACACCCAAATTTTTGGCCGATTCACTAACTTCAGTTTTGGTGAAAAAATATATTTTGATTTCAAAGGGTTTAACTAAAGGTTATGATTTTTTGCATATACAGTGCTTTTCTTTAATTCTTTGAATTTTTGAACGGATCAATTCAAAAAAATAAAACTTGAGGTAATGAAATTAATGCGTGGATACCATATTTTAGAGTAAAATTGACAGATGAAAATGTCAAGATGGCCCGCTTGGCGCCATCTTGGAAAAAAATTACCTATATAAAAACGGAGGTCTTGTGGCATATCATTTTGAAGCTGCTGACGAGTACTTTATAACCCTAGGATTGACATTTAACTTGATAATTCGAATAAATAGGTTGAGTTCAGTTTGGAACATGTTGGAAATGGTTGCTTTGAACTTCTTGACACAATAACAGCCGGTCCGTAATTTCGCGTCGAACATTTTCAAACATAGTAACATCGATATTTCTACAAATATTTGTTATTCTCAGCCGTATTTCCAATACTGAAGCAGGTTCAGTTTCATGCAGATTTTGCTTCAAATAGCCCCATAAAAAAAAGTCTAAAGGTATCAAATCTGGCGAGCGAGCTGGTCATTTCACAGGACTTCGACGGCCAATCTACCTACCGGGTAAATTGTTATCTAAATAATTACTAACTTGTCTGGAGTAGTGTGGTGTAGTACCATCTTGCTGGAATACAATATCAGTATCGAATTCATTAGGATTTGCTTCGACGATATTCTTGTCACTGTCAACAAAAAAATAACAAAACAAGTTTTTTATCGCTGTTGCTCTGGATATGCCAGGGAATTACAATTATTTGTAGAGATATGCATGTTAGTGGGTTTGTGTTCAAGTAATTAATAAATGTACCGCCATTTTGTAGTAGGCAAAGGTATTGACTTTATATTCTAGGGTTCTAAAGTCAATGTCAATAATATGTACCCTTTGCTATCGATTTCCAAAGAAGCTCTGAATCAAATTGGAGGAAGAATAAGAATAATCACTTGGCTACTAGGAAAGGATGATTTATGCTACCGAACGTCTTAGAGAAGTCCAGAAGAGCTTATGATGTGATCATCTGTTGATTCAGGCTTTAATAATGTTATCGGTTAACTCTAGTAGGGCACCTGCAGTGTTATATCTTTTTCGATAACCGCATTGCTTGGAAGGCAAAATTTCATGCTTAGAGATATGTTCAAGCTTTAATACACTTGCATTCTATGTTTACCTTACTCAATTTTCGTGACTGTTTCAATGGCGTGCTAAAACTCACCTACATTCACTGTGATTTCCTCGCCAAGCACAAACCCAATCAACATTCCCAAATACGTGATTCTACCCCACATATTTATAACTGTTTTTGGAACATCACCTAGCCACCATATTATTTGATAGCACGATAGTCTATGTTTAATAAACTTCTAAAACTATGTGTCACAGGTAGTAGTTTGTGCCAACGTCTGGGATGCACTTCAAGTACAAAATTTTTGGCAACGTTGTGACTACTGGTTAAAATAACGTTCGATTTTCATAATTACTTGCTTCCTAGTTATAAATATCGTCCATGAAATTAACTAACTGGCTAGCCAAAATAAACGTCTCTGATATTTAAGGAACTATCGAAAGTTGAGCCGGTCATTTTAGTCGCGCCGGACGACAATCTCTAACACCAACGGTCGCACTGCTGACTCGATAGCGGGTAGTGGTGTACCTATAGTTCGTGAACGAACTAGTTCAATCGAACAATTCTTACGATTGAAGTGAACTAGTCCATCATTCCTTGAAAAACTCGTTCAATCGTCCACTATGAACGACAGGTATTGCAAGATCTCGATGATCCAATCGAACCATTTGTGAGTTATAGGAGAATGGAGTCGGAACATAACCAAAATGAAAATTATGTAACTGTTATAAGAAAAATTACCCATTGCGGCTCATGAAAAAATTAATGCAATACCTACAAAAATTAAATATCTTTTGAAATGGTGGAAACAAAAAACAAAAATTCATCCCACATTACTTGAGATTCTTAGAAAACGTGTAAGCCTCATTATTACAATTTACGTTGATAATTTAAATTTGAAACGACCATCCTACAAAAAAACAAAAAACAAAAAATCAATAATACGAGGTATTCCGAAGCGGTTCCCCTTCCAAATACTAATTCGCACTTACTTCTAGAGGTTTAACACCCTGTAAGGTGGAAGTTATCATTTGGAACTGAATCACGCTTGCAAAATATGACATAATGGAGATTACTGAGAATTATTACATAAAAATATGTACCACTTTATGATAAAATTTTTTGAGGTTTTTTCGATCATTCGGAAGAAAAAAGTCCTTAGTGACTTAATCCAAGGTTATTATTATAACTATAAACTATAAACTATAAACTATAAACTACTAAACTATAAACTATAAACTATAACTATAAAGAAACTATAAACTATAAACTATAAACGATAAACTATAAACTATAAACTATAAACTATAAACTATAAACTATAAACTATAAACTATAAACTATAAACTATAAACTATAAACTAAAACTATAAACTATAAACTATAAACTATACTATAAACTATAAACTATAAACTATAAACTATAAACTATAAACTAAACTATAAACTATAAACTATAAACTATAAACTATAAACTAAACTATAAACTATAAACTAAACTATAAACTATAAACTATAAACTATAACTATAAACTATAACTAAAACTATAAACTATAAACTATAAACTATAAACTAGAAACTATAAACTATAAACTAAACTATAAACTATAAACTATAAACTATAAACTACTAAACTATAAACTATAAACTATAAACTATAAACTATAAACTATAAACTATAAACTATAACTATAACTATAAACTATAAACTATAAACTATAAACTATAAACTATAACTATAAACTATAAACTATAAACTATAAACTATAAACTATAAACTATAAACTATAAACTATAAACTATAAACTATAAACTATAAACTATAAACTATAAACTATAAACTATAAACTATAAACTATAAACTATAAACTATAAACTGGAAACTGGAAACTGGAAACTGGAAAGTGGAAAGTGGAAAGTGGAAAGTGGAAAGTGTAAAGAGTAAAGTGTAAACTGGAAACTGGAAACTGGAAACTGGAAACTGGAGACTGGAAACTGAAAACTGGAAACTGGAAACTGGAAACGGGAAACCGGAAACCGGAAACCGGACACCGGAAACAGGAAACCGAAAACCAAAAACAGGAAACCGGAAATTGAAAACTGAAAACTGAAAACTGGAAACTGGAAACTGGAAACTGGAAACTGGAAATTGAAAACTGGGAACTGGAAACTAGAAACTAGAAGCTAGACTCTAGAAACTAGAAACTAGGAGCTAGAAACTAGAAACTTGAAACTAGAAACTAGTGTAGTTTTCGAGGTACAAACATTTTTAAAAACTAATATGGATTATCTTCCACGTTACCTCTGTAAATACATTTCAAAAATGAAATTGAACGGAGTGCATAATTCAAGAAGATGGATAGAAATTGTAAACTATAGAAAATTCGATACAACAAAAAATATTAAAGTGGCCAAGATACTTATGGTCTTTAACTGATTTATCAACATTGTAACTACAAGATGAGGAAAAATACAGATGATATAAATAATCCTACAAAAAAAAAAAAAAATCAATAATACGAGGTATTCCGAAGCGGTTCCCCTTCCAAATACCAATTCGCACTTACTTCTAGAGGTTTAACACCCTGTAAGGTGGAAATTATGATTTGGAAATGAATCACGCTTGCAAAATATGACATAATGGAGATTACTGAGAATTATTACATAAAAATATGTACCACTTTATGATAAAAGAAATGTGAGACTTGCCAAGCTTTTCACGGAAGTATATATTCTTCTTGCTTGTAGTTAGTTACCCTGTAACTTCGAAATGATCACCGAGAAATGAACTACAGCTGCAGAATATGATAGAATGGACATTACTGAGTCATCTTAGATATAATTAAGACTCGCTACATATCGGGAAAATGCTAGCCAGCGTGACCGTTGGTGTTACGGGCTATCCCCGGTGATGATAAATGACCGGGGTTGAAGTAAATTGTGCTAGAAAGTGATAAACACTGTAAATGTCAGAATGAAAACTTGGCTAAGCTTATTGTTTAGCTCAATTCTGGTGCAGATTTCTTCAAGAATTTTCTAAAGAAATTACAAATGTTCTTACGCTCCGGAGAGGATTTTTGAGGTTTGCTCGATCATTCTGAAGAAAAAGGTCCATAGTGACTTAATCCAAGGTTTCCATTCAAAAGCGTGGCCCAACCGAGTATGTATCGGCAAAGGAAGTGATGCTAAACAGGAAACTAGAAACTAGAAACTAGAAACTAGAAACTAGAAACTATAAACTATAACTATAAACTATAAACTAGAAACTAGAAACTAGAAACTAGAAACTAGAAACTAGAAACTAGAAACTAGAAACTAGAAACTAGAAACTAGAAACTAGAAACTAGAAACTAGAAACTAGAAACTAGAAACTAGAAACTAGAACTAGAAACTAGAAACTATAAACTATAAACTCTAAACTATAAACTATAAACTATAAACTATAAACTATAAACTATAAACTATAAACTATAAACTATAAACTAGAAACTAGAAACTAGAAACTAGAACTAGAAACTAGAAACTAGAACTAGAAACTAGAAACTAGAAACTAGAAACTAGAAACTAGAAACTAGAAACTAGAAACTAGAAACTAGAAACTAGAAACTAGAAACTAGAAACTAGAAACTAGAAACTAGAAACTAGAACTAGAAACTAGAAACTAGAAACTAGAAACTAGAAACTAGAAACTAGAAACTAGAAACTAGAAACTAGAAACTAGAAACTAGAAACTAGAAACTAGAAACTAGAAACTAGAAACTAGAAACTAGAAACTAGAAACTAGAAACTAGAAACTAGAAACTAGAAACTAAAAACTAGAAACTAGAAACTAGAAACTAGAAACTAGAAACTAGAAACTAGAAACTAGAAACTAGAAACTAGAAACTAGAAACTAGAAACTAGAAACTAGAAACTAGAAACTAGAAACTAGAAACTAGAAACTAGAAACTAGAAACTAGAAACTAGAAACTAGAAACTAGAAACTAGAAACTAGAAACTAGAAACTAGAAACTAGAAACTAGAAACTAGAAACTAGAAACTAGAAACTAGAAACTAGAAACTAGAAACTAGAAACTAGAAACTAGAAACTAGAAACTAGAAACTAGAAACTAGAAACTAGAAAACTAGAAACTAGAAACTAGAAACTAGAAACTAGAAACTAGAAACTAGAAACTAGAAACTAGAAACTAGAAACTAGAACTAGAAACTAGGAGCTAGAAACTAGAAACTAGAAACTAGAAACTGGAAACTAGAAACTAGAAACTGGAAACTGGAAACTGGAAACCAGAAACTAGAAACTAGAAACTAGAAACTAGAAACTAGAAACTAGGAGCTAGAAACTAGAAACTAGTGTAGTTTTTGAGGTACAAACATTTTAAAAAACTATTATGGATTATCCTCCACGTTACCTCTGTAAATACATTTCAAAAATGAAATTGTACAGGGTGAATAATTCAAGAAGTATAGAATCTGGATAGAAATTGTAAACTATAGAAAATTCGATACAACAAATATTAAAGTGCCCAAGATACTTATAGTCTTTACATGATTTATCAACGTTTTAGTTACAAGATGAGGAAAAATACAGATGATATAAATAATATATTACACTCAGATAAAAATATATTGACGGTCGGACTTCTTATCAGCATAGTTTCCTAAACTTGATTTGGGCCGCGTAAGCGAGTGTCTGGATGTATCTCATTTATTTCAGGATTAAGGTCAATGTCAGTCTCTGGAATGTCCACGGTGCACCCAAAGACGCTCACACCAAAAGTGCTAGTCACCAGTCCTAACATTCCAAAAATTGGGATTACATTTCTTGAGGATAATGGGTAAGATTGTATTGTACTTTCTTTAAATTAAGTCTAAGACCATTTTATTTTCGAAATACCGTTTTGTTTCGCTGCAGGGCGAATATTTTCGAAAATGAAATTTACAAAAGCTGTCTAAATTAACTGCAAGAGTCGCAAAAATGTTTTTTTCACCTCGGGTTGTTTTATGTAGGTGTCATGTAACAGTAGTGGAAAATGCAACTGAAGAGGATGTTTTGAGGCATATAGCTGGAGTTGATGCACTACTTGTGCTGGCACCAGTAAAAATAACTAGAGCAGTTCTGGATGCTGCAGGTAAACACTAAACGATTTTGTTGAGGGAGTAAGCAATTATTTAGTGTGTCGACCAATTACAGTTTGGTAGTCGGCCTTCTTGACACCACTTTTATATTTTCTCTGATCTTTAGGAAGCAATTTGAAAGCAGTAAGTGCGCTTTCTGCTGGATATGATCACATTGACGTACAAGAGCTCAAAAGGCGAGGAATTAAACTGGGAAACGCGCCAAGGGTTGTTAATGCACCAGTTGCTGATCTTGCAATACTTCTAGCGTTAGCAGCTGCTCGAAGACTGCACGAGGGAAGACTGAAAATAGAGAAGTATGTTGACCTTATGCTACTTTGCATTTTTATTCCTGTTTCTATTTCAAGAAAGGTCTGACACAGTCGCGCAACATGCGTTTGATAAAATTACTGCGATAACTGCAACATTTTTGTTAAATTTTGTGACAGTGTTGATTATGAATGAATCATTGCAAAAATTTTTAGAGAAACAATAAAAATGTGTCATCTACAAATAAAGCAGCTTAATATAGTATACTAAGTGACATACAAATCCGAACACCCAGTTTAAATGGTTTTATTTTAATAAAAGTTAGTGAATGTATTTATCTTACTGTAAATAACAAGTGAAAAAATTTTCAGCCTTATCAGTTGGACATTCCGGTTTTTATACTGCTTTTTCAACGTTGGCGGATTTTGGTTCTTGACATCCTTTACGATCGGTTACGATGCCTAGAGTACGGAGACCTGTACGATTTCGTCAACTTAGTGAGTTTGATAGGGGCCGTATAGTGGGACTTCGGGAAGCTGGACTTTCTTTTCGGGCAATTGCAGTTAGAGTGCAAAGAAGTGTAGACCTTGTGGTTAGGTGTTGTCAGGCATGGCTTCGAAAAGGCCGTACGCAAAGAGCAAGGGGCACTGGACGCCGCCGTAGAACAACAGACCGTGAAGATCACCGCCTAAGATTATTGGCCTTAAGGGACCGTTTCTCCACTACCAGGTCCATTGCAAATGAATGGTTTGCAGAACACGGAAGACCTATTGGCATGCGAAGTGTTTACCGACGAATGAGAAGATTTGGCTTGTTTTCATACCGGCCACACTGGGTACTCCCTTTAACTCGAGAACACCGACGTAATCGCCATGAGTGGTGCAGACAACGGTCACTCTGGGATCAGGAATGGAACAGTATTGTCTTTAGTGACGAGTCTCGATTTTGTTTAGGCATGCACGATGGTCGTGCCAGGGTTAGAAGGCGACGTGGTGAAAGGAGGAATCCACAGTTTTTTATAGACTTATACTATAGACTTCTTTCAACATAATGATGTCACATTGTTACCATGGCCACCAAGATCTCCCGACTTATCCACAATTGAGCACGTGTGGGATATGATGGGTAGGAGATTGCTCAATTTGCAACGTCCTCCTCAGACTCTAGAAGCACTTCGAGAGGAGTTGGTGGTTGCCTGGAATGAGATACCACAGGAGGACATTGACCACCTGATCAGAAGCATGCCTAGGCGCGTTGGAGAATGCGTAGCACATCAGGGTGCATCCACACATTATTAAAGGTCAAAGGGCTTTAAAGCAGTGCAATCATTTTGAAATTTTTATCATTTACTTATTATGCTTCATTAAGTACTTATACAAAATTTTATTGAAATAAAACCATTTAAACTGGGTGTTCGGATTTATATGTCACTTAGTATATTTGAGTTTTGAAAACCTATGCAGTTTAGATAGAGAGATAATCTTTATTGTCTTATTGGTCATTTGTCAGCCTTATACATTACATAAATAAATAAATTGCATGACATGATCAGTTCTATAAATACCACAGTGCCAAGAAATCGACAAATAGCTTAAACAAGAAAAAAGAGTACAAAACCGAATTTTTACAGATGCACAGAACAAATATTGGACATATAACAAACATATGAAAAACAATTAACAAACAGTAAATGGATATGTAGATCGATTAAAACAGTTAACAAATAGAAAAAAATGAAGAATGTCTCGCATACCCGTTAAAATAATAATATTAATTTATTAATTAGTAATAATAATAATGGAAAAGGCGCGAGAAACCGTTCTCGACTGGTTCTGGTTGTCTTAGTAGGAAATAGGCTTAGGCAAAAAGATCATAGTAATCATATTTTTATTGCTTATCGTTGAATTGTTATGTTTACGTACCTGTTTTAATATCTTTAAGGTACATCGGGAAACCTGGTCAAAGCGAATACCAGGTGAAAATGTATTTTTCACACCCAAACATGAATAGGCTATTATCAAAAAGAATATAAGGTTATTCGTTCAACCTTCCTTATAGTTGGCAATCGGTTCTGGAAGAACACACGTGCTTATTTGACTACCAGTGAGCAAAATATGTTTAAAAAAATTACTTTGCAAGATACATATGTGCTCTGTACAATTGTGTAATTTCAATGCATCTTTTTAAAATATTCAGGGTATATCTAAAAGACATTCTTAGTCATACAAATGAGCATGATTAAGTCAATAGTTTTGGTAGGTAACAAGAAAACTTAGTGATTGTGAGCATACCGTACAAAGCAAAATTGATACTGTAGAAGAGACAGGAATTTCAATTAATATCTTCAAAAAATAAACCATAATTCTGAGTTGGTTGTAATTACAACTTTTCATATGGCAAAAATCAAAAAGATTCAAAGTATCTACAGGGACCTTACAAACTCGCGAAGTCAATTCATATTACAAATGATTATAAACTAAATTTTAACAAAAATATTATGTAAACTGATAGGAATAACCATGGACAGTTTCAATTCTTCATGACATCTCTGAAAGTGTTCATTACAGTGCTAGCTTCCATCAATTCGCAGTTTCGCATAAATGAGTTTATGTTGTTACGATTCACAATGTTTGTTTTTATTTTCATATCTACATATAATCTGCACCGAAATATACTAAGTGACATATAAATCCGAACACTCAGTTTAAATGGTTTTATTTTAATAAAAGTTGGTGAATGTATTTATCTTACTGTAAATAACAAGTGAAAAAATTTTCAGCCTTATCAGTTGGACATTCCGGTTTTTATACTGCCTTTTTTTAATTCACTAACGCTCTAAAAATGAATATTTCAGCCGCAGTAAAGAATCAACGTTGGCGGATTTTGGTTCTTGACATCTTTTACGATCGGTTACGATGCCTAGAGTACGGAGACCTGTACGATTTTGTCAACTTAGTGAGTTTGATAGGGGCCGTATAGTGGGACTTCGGGAAGCTGGACTTTCTTTTCGGGCAATTGCAGTTAGAGTGCAAAGAAGTGTAGACACTGTGGTTAGGTGTTGTCAGGCATGGCTTCGAGAAGGCCGTACGCAAAGAGCAAGGGGCACTGGACGCCGCCGTAGAACAACAGACCGTGAAGATCGCCGCCTAAGATTATTGACCTTAAGGGACCGTTTCTCCACTACCAGGTCCATTGCAAATGAATGGCTTGCAGAACACGGAAGACCTATTGGCATGCGAAGTGTTTACCGACGAATGAGAAGTTTTGGCTTGTTTTCATACCGGCCACACTGGGTCCTCCCTTTAACTCGAGAACACCGACGTAATTGCTTTGAGTGGTGCAGACAACGGTCACTCTGGAATCAGGAATGGAACAGTATTGTCTTTAATGACGAGTCTCGATTTTGTTTAGGCATGCACTATGGTCGTGCCATGGTTAGAAGGCGACGTGGTGAAAGGAGGAATCCACAGTTTTTTGTTGAAAGACATGTTCATCACACTGTTGGAGTTATGGTTTGGGGTGCTATAGCTTATGGTTCCAGGTCACCTTTAATCTTCATCAGAGGTAACATGAACGCGCAGCGTTATATCCACGAAGTTCTAGAACCCCTATCTTTTACCCTATCTTGACACCCTGGCAGATCCAACTTTCCAACAAGATAATGCCCGACCACATGTTGCAAGAGTCACAATAGACTTCTTTCAACATAATGATGTCACATTGTTACCATGCCCACCAAGATCTCCCGACTTATCCCCAATTGAGCACGTGTGGGATATGATGGGTAGGAGATTGCTCAATTTGCAACGTCCTCCTCAGACTCTAGAAGCACTTCCAGAGGAGTTGGTGGTAGCCTGGAATGAGATACCACAGGAGGACATTGACCACCTGATCAGAAGCATGCCTAGGCGCGTGGGAGAATGCGTAGCACATCAGGGTGCATCCACACATTATTAAAGGTCAAAGGGCTTTAAAGCAGTGTAATCATTTTGAAACTTTTATCATTTACTTATTATGCTTCATTAAGTACTTATACAAAATTTTATTAAAATAAAACCATTTAAACTGGGTGTTCGGATTTATATGTCACTTAGTATACTAGTTTTAAATTCACCAACAACAAAAATAAGGATTCGCGTGAATACGGTATCCACCCCTTTTTCCCATCTGCTTTGCCTGAAGTTACTTACTTAGGAACTTTATGGATTTCTACCACAAAACATCGACTCATTTGTTCAATGAAAGAAGTACTTTTAAAGTGATCTAATAAACATAATTTATTAAACTTACTTAACTTATTAAAAAGCCGTTTGTATAGATAGTATGAAATTGGAATTACATTGCAAGATAAACCTCTTCAATGCATAAACATATTTTCTTGTTTGGAAGCTTCGAATTCTCATACAACTGATTGCCGCCTGAGCGTCAAGTAGGTTGACTCTGCATTTCTTACGCAACGCTGTCATCAGTTCATAAAGCATTAAGTTCAGCACAGGTTAAACCCGTTGAGAAAGAAATTAGTTGACAAAACAGGGTCGATTTTTTGCTAGTGCGCCTGGTCTCTCACATAAATATTTCATATTTGATTTTTAGCAATGAGTGGGACAGGCTACATTACCAGTGGATTTTGGGTCAGGACATCAATAATTCCACCGTTGGAATAGTTGGCTTTGGCGGAATTGGCCAAGCTATAGCCAAAAGACTCAAAGGATTTGAAGTTAGGCAAATTTTGTACACTGGTCACAGAGAAAAACCAGAAGGTAAGACACTTTCATGATCTAAAACTTTATCGCTATTTACTCATACCAAAAGCTCCAGAGATGCGTCATATTCGCGACACTTCCCAAATCTCTTCACTTCTTAACACGTTAACTGTGTTACATTTCCTCGAACCGTTATCTAGTGTGTGTTGGCGGTAAAACAATTATTTTTATAGAGTATTGGAGTTGTTGGTGTCATCAACTACAACAATCCTACCAACTAACATTCGTAACTGCAGCAATTCTTTCCAAAGGGCACAAATAAAAAATGAATAGTTGTGCTCCCAAAGGAATCTACGTTCTCATATTAATCATATGATTGTATCATCGAATACTAAATAAATATACCTTTGAGATTTCTCGATACGAGGGATGTCTTTTAAGTTTTGCATATAGAAACATAGTAGGCCGCGCGGATCGAACGTCAGTACTGAATCTTAACCTCACTCTTTAGTAAACTTAAATTCAAATTTTCACAACAATACGTGCAGTGTTCTCACTACAGTGAATTTTTAAGTGTCACCAAGTCATTAGAAAAATGGAACTCAACCGAGAAAATTTTCGGGCCATCATTTATTACAACTTTCACAGACAATTATCGCAACAAGAATGCCTTGCTGAGTTACTGTCTGTTTTCGGTAACGAAGGGCCACATCAGTCGACAATTTCCCGTTGGTATGGAGAATTCAAACGTGGACGGGTGAGTCTTAGCGATGATCCCAGGGTGGGTGCACCAAAAACGGCAGTCACCCAGGAAAACGTCGATGCTGTGCGCAAGCTCATCATTGAAGACAGACATGTGACATATCGCGAGATTGAGGCGTCCTTGAAGATCTCAAAGACCTCAATTCAAAAAATTTTACATGAAGAATTAGGAGTAATAAAATTAGTTTCTCGTTGGATACCCCACCTGTTGACTGAAGAGCAGAAAGCTGCCAGGGTTAATTGGTGTCAAAAATGCTTGACCGTTTCAATTCGGGAAACTCAAAAAAAGTGTACAGCATTGTTAGTGGTGATGAATCGTGGATTTACTGTTATGAACCAGAAAATAAACGACAGTCGGCTGTTTGGGTGCTCCAAGGTGAAGAAAAGCCAACAAAAGTCATTCGTTCTCGAAGTGTTTCGAAAAAGATGGTCGCGACATTTGTGTCAAAAGCGGGTTATTTTGCAACAATTCCTCTTAATGAGCAAAGAAATGTTACTGCGGTATACCGCCATTTGTTTGCCAAAAAGTCATCAACGAGCTTCGAAACATCAACTTCGAAAGAAGAATCATCCTCCACCAAGACAAGGCAAGCTCGCACATAGCCCAAAAAACAGGGCAGTATTTAACGGAAGAAAACGTGGACCATCCTCCATATAGTCCCTATCTAAGTCCTAACGATTTATTTACTCTCCCGAAAATTAAAAACAGACTGCTTGGTTCCAGTCACCAGAAGAAGCAGTTGACGTATTCAAAAATGCCGTTTTGGATATGCCAGCAAACGAGAGGAATAAGTGCTTCGAAAATTGGTTTGAGCGCATGCAGATGTGTATTAGTTTTCGTGAAGAATACTTCGAAAAATAATAAAGTCATTTAAAACTACCTAACGTGTTGTTTATTTCCATATGCAAAACTTAAAAGACATCGCTCGTAGAAACTGCGCCAAAACACAGACACCTTTTTATTATTTATTATTTTATTTTTCAAAATTGTTGTTTGAATATGTCACCACATATAGTTGAGTAGATTATACTTAGCTTTTTCTATTGGCTTTCTGTATATTATAATAATTTTGTGTGAACCACTTTAGGATTACGAGGTCTACTAGCTAAGTGATGAGACTGACCTCACCCTCAAAATAAGTTCCTTACAAAGCCACGCAGCGCTGGAGACGGTTCTTCCACTGCTCATAGCAGTTACAGGTTACAGCTGTTTGAATGTTTTCAACTGTCCCAAAATGAGTTACTTTGAGGTATTTTTTCAACTTCAGGAAGAGACAAAAGTCGCAAGGACTCAAGTCAGGCGAATAATGAGGCCGAGCAAAACATCGTTTAACACTTCTCCGAATATTCTGACTGTCAACCGACGATCTGAACATGCTGGAGTCTGTCGATATTTTCATCGGTTCTTGAAGATGAAGGCCCTCCGCTTCAATGCCTTAAACCACCAAAAAGCTGAAAAAACACTATTTCCGTAGGCCTGCTGAAGTCTAGCAAGAGTTTCCTTTGCACTGTGCCCAAGCCTGAAGCAAAATCGGATAGCACACTGTTGCTCGAAATTGATGTCATCCATTTTCAGAGCACAATAGGAAAAACTGTTTCACAAAAAAAAAATCGCTACGGACAACCAAATAGCTCGAGCGACTTTAAACTTGTACGGAAGACGGTTCATATGTTTCCCTGTCGTTCCCAGTGTTGCCAGATGGGACGCTACGTTTGCAGCCTCATCACTTAATTTACAGACCTCGTATGTAACCAGATCATCCTTAAAATTCACGCACCTTCTAACAGAGTAGCACTATTATTCTAGCGCAACGAAATTAACCATAAAACATAAAAAATATGGCGTATTAACACAGTCTTAGGATTGTTGATCATCTAAGTTACTGGATGTTACATACCCCGGAGATATGAATGAAACGATACCGTATGCCGGGGATATGTAAGACATAAATATTCCACTCCCAGTTAGCGTGTACTTCTTCCTACATCCGAAAAAAGGATTTTTCTGATATAATATGCTTGGAGTATACCTACAGTATATTCAGATAAGAGATAGACCGGATGTAAACAAAAGGTTCGGGTGATTTTCACGCTAACGCCGCCGTCTCGACGTAAAACAGGAGCCCTCATTGGTCAATTCGCAATTAAATGCCTATGCCGAGCGGCAGAGCAGTCGTATCAAGGCAGAGTCACATTCAGGTTCAGACGTGTTACGTATGTCGTGTGCATCATTGCAATTTGATATTTCTTTGGACGTTTTCGTTTGTTATCTTATTAAGTTGTTGAGTTTACCGTTGTTATTGTTATACCTTGTTATTGATTGTTATTGTTATCAACTGCTTGCGCAAAATGCCCAGTAGTACAGATACTGCCGATGAAGTTGTAAACTCCTGTAGTCCACCTAGGAAACGCTCTAAAAAAAGACACCTGAGTGCAGAAATGAAAGAGGTCATTTTGAATATATATAAGATCGAGCGCGAGGAGAACGAGGCATCAACCATCAAAGAAATTGTTGTGAAGGTTTCTCACAAAGTTGGGGTGTGTCGCGCATCAGTGTTTAATGTGTTAAGACAATACAAAAAAATCACACCTTTTCTGAGCCAATGACCAGTAAACATCGCAAAAGTATTGTTAAATCATTGGATGAAGCTGATAAGCATGCGATTAGGAGGAAAGTGCATGAATTCTTCTTTAGGAATGAAATACCTACTATAGATAAAGTACTGCAGGAGGTAAATGGAGATACAACGTTGCCAAATTTCAAACGATCAACTTTCCATGCGTTACTGAAGCATTTAAATTTCAAATGGAAAAAACGGGGTCGTAATAGTTTACTACTGGATAGAGAAGAAATTGTGCTATGGAGGAGGGATTATTTAACAAAAATTGGGAAATATAGAAATCAAAACAGGAAGATTTATTACCTTGATGAAACGTGGGTAAACGCAGGACACACTACAAGTAAAGTATGGGTTGATGATTCTGTAACTTCATCCAGGAGGGCCTTTCTAGATGGACTGTCCAACGGATTAAAAAATCCAGCAGGTAAATACGAGTAATAGACAACAATCGGATGTTTTTCAAACCTTGGGAACAAGGTTCTAAACATTAATTCCAGGGGGCAGATAAAACATATTACAAGTAACAAAACTTTTATAACTTTCGATAAAATGCGTGGATGTTTTATTGCCATTTTCATTTGTTAGAACTTTTTTAAGCCATGTTTTTATGTGTTTTCGATATTTCAATAATTTTTTAATATAATCTTAAAATATGTCGAATATTATAAACTTAAAAAAAGTTACTAAGTTTTATAATATTAACTATTGACATTTTTGAACCCATTTTGGCAAAACCTATTCAAGAATCTACTTTCTGACAATGTTCAACCATGCACATTTTTTTACGTTTTGAACGTTTTAATTTGGTTACATATTTACCTAGAAATCAAAAAATATATTAATCAATATTCTAAAAGCAATTTTAAGAGATATACGATTATTTTTAATTTAGGCTAATTTAAACGCCATTTTGAGATTATATTCGACTGTATTTCACCAAACATCAGGCGGCATCCGAAGCTGGAAATCGAAGCGAAAATTTTGAAACCCTTATGTATATTTAAATCATTATATATTTCTTACCCCACCCCCACATGATCCTATATCCATCACCAATCGTATACACATCGAATTGTGCTAATTTACTACAAAGTTACGCAAAGCAGCATCTACTATCTAAAATATGTACTGCGTGACTCTTAATACGTCCTGCCGAATGTTACAGCATTCGATGATCACGTGGTCTTGTTTATGTCCGGTCTATCTCTTATCTGAATATACTGTACGTAATAACGTTGACAACTGTTCATTTTTCAGGAAAAAGTCTGGGTGCAAAATTCGTTTCTCTGGACACCTTATTACGAGACAGTGATTATGTTATCATTTGCGCCCCTCTAACAAAAGACACCGAAGATATGTGCAACGAAGAATTTTTTTCAAAAATGAAGAAAACAGCCGTGTTTGTGAACATTAGCAGAGGGAGGGTAGTTGATCAACCAGCCCTGATAAAAGCTTTGAAAACTGGTACAATCTTTGCGGCTGGCCTAGATGTCATGACTCCAGAACCTCTGCCTCCAGATCACGAACTCCTTAAACTACCAAACATAGGTCAGTATATAGCCAACCTCGAGTATAGCGCAGAATGGGACGCCTGCCTACTCCGTGCGTTCTATGCCACCTACCTATAGCTACCTATTGCAATTTTTCTTCCATCATCACGAGGTTAATACAGGATGATTCAAAGAACGATAGCAATATTTCTATAAAGTAGAAAGGATATCCAGAAATAACAGGAAATATTAAACAAACATGGGTTCCAAAATGCCCCCTTACCGAGGTGTGTTGAAGTTATAATTTTGAAATAGATAAAACATACGGAGTGGCCAAGAATTGGAGAATAATCCTGAAGCTGCAAAGCGGCCACGTCATGACATAGGCGCCCGCAGGAATTTTTCTCTGGGGGCCGGTCATCGGCGAGAGATATTTTTCTTTGAGTGTACTTGCCTCAAAAACTTTTTGGTGAGCGGGGGCTGGAAAATTATCTTAGGAGGTTCAAATCATACGAATCCCAAAAATTGTACACAAAACGGCTCTTTCTTGTGGGCGTCCATGCGCCAGGACTGGCCTACCAAGTATATGGAAAAACCTTGTTTTAGCAATGCCCGGTTTTTCAATCGCAAGTTAAGATGTTGGTGAGTTGATTAAAACCAGAAAGTTTACTTGTAGTTGCCTGCAAATTCGTTTTTCAAGCATTTTGACAGCGCCAGTTAACTTAACAGAAGTTCATCATATATAGTCAACGCCAAACAAAGTGGCGTGCACGTCATCAAGGTGGGTGTGTTGAAAAATTTACATTGTTGCCAAACTTTTTGTAAAATAATAAAATTTATTATTTACATATCTAGGTTTATAAGCAATATTAACCTCAAATGAGAACAAAAATAATAGTATAATACAATTATAGATCTGTACTTGCATAATCATTAAGTATGACAATTATTGATCAGATGACACTATGAAACTACCATATTTAATTGATAGCTTAAAGGTACTGAATAAAAATCCAAATGGGGTCCTCCAAATTTTATGCATGGTATTTATTTTACAGAATTCATACAGAAAAATGCATTCTAAAATTAGGTAAGCTACTGGTGTAAGCTTTTTCTGTACAATAAAGTTAGTCGGAGTTTCTTTCTTCAGCGCTGTCTGAATCTGAATCTTCATCACTCTCAAAGTTGATTATTAAAGGTTCGATGTCTGGTCGATCAAAAATTCGTTCTCTTTCATACCATTTAAAAATTTCTTGCTCAGTATGTCGAACACTATTTTTCCACATGTCTGGGGTAACCGTTTGTAGAGCCTCGTTCCACATATCCAAACAGTCTTTTTCACTGTTACCATCTCTACCAATATGTTTGTTATAGTAACCTTTTGCTATGCCCCAAATTAACTCAATAGGGTTAAATATACAATGGTAAGGAGGCAGACGAAGAACTTTGTGCCCATGTTGTTCCGCCAATTCATCAATCACGTATATTTTAGGTGGTTTGTTTCTAAAAAAGCAGTTATTTTAAGAATAGGAATAAACAAAAGAAATATATACTGTCGACCAAAATATATATAATTAAGAAGCATTATGTACCGAGCAACAATACTCAATAGCTCTGTTTTAAACATTGTGTTTAAAAATGGTATGTTTTGATTTGTTAACCAGTCTTGGATATTTTTTTTTGTCCATGCATTGTTGGGCACTTTGTTCAATATCATGCTGTGATAAGGGGCGTTATCCAGTATAATCATAGATGGACTCTCCAATTTTTCTAATAACTGATGTTGAAACCATTTCAAAAAATTGTCCTTTGTTCATCTCTCCATGGTAATCGCTCAATTTTGTTTTCGAAGAAAATATCACTTCACTACCCTCAATAAACCCATTTTCATTTCCAGCATGTAATATAATGTATCTAAAATATATTAGTTTTAAATTTTATAGTGCAAATTGTGTAAAAGTACATACCTTTTACCATCTGTTTTAATAGCTTTCACGCTTTTTTGGTTTCCATTTTGCCAAGAGCGACCTATGGTCCCATTTTGAAATATCCAAGTTTCATCGAGGAAGACAAACTGGTATAAGGCCTCAACCTTGGCTTGATTGTATTACCTTAGAAATTCCACCCTTTTCAAAGCTATACTTGGTAGTTCCATGAGCCCTCGTCGCGGATTGTCCTTAAGCCACTTAAATCAAAGATCTCTAAGCAACCGCCTTAAAGACGTGGCACTACCATCAAATAATGCCCTATCTCTTAATCGAGACCATAAAGTTTGTATCGTAACTTGTTCTTCTGAAACCATGTGTAATATGACATTATAATTTAGTTAACAAATTAATGCAAATTTCTGATATGTTATTATAATAAGATCTTACTTTTGTGATACATATTATAGATCACTTCTCGAATGGCACTTGTATCCAATGTCGCTGTGTTGGTTACACGTTTAATATAACTCCGCTTTTTCTTGGGCGATTCTAAATTTGCATCACTTTTCACACCCTCGGAAATACGACTAACTGTCCTTAAACTAATTTTTAAAGCAGCAGCAACGCGCTACAAAAAATGAAATAAAATTTCACTATTATTAATATACATTACATATAATTATTAGTAACCTACCTCTTGAACAGCATTTAAAGGCAACAAAGGCCCGTTGTTGTCCCTTTCTTGCTCAAAGTAGTGCATTAACGAGGCCACGAGTTCCTTACACCGACTATTTAACTGTTTGGGCATCTTTATATACCAAAATTGCCTTTATCTACTCGTAAAATGAATAAGTTTGTTTTGTAACAAACAGTTGTTGATTTACAGTATGCGGGGCCAAAGGATTTATAAAGATTTGAAATGCCACAAATTGATTCAGTGTCAAAATTAATACAAATGTCAGTTCCCAGTTTAAATAAGTTTCAAGGTGACAATGTGTCAACGCTGCGAAATCGGTTTAGTGCGTTTACATGTCGATAAGTGATTGGAGCGTTTGCAAAACATTTTATTTCGCATAATGCGTCTAAATTTATCAGAAAGCAACTTATGTGATATTTTAATAACAATGTTTATATGACTATTAACCATAATAAGAGAGTAATGACCATTTTACAATTTATATATCACATTAATATGAAACTGCAATAGAGCAATTGTTTGTGATAGAAACCTAGGCATTAGGTCGGGGAATTTTTATCGTGATGACGTGCACGCCACTTTGTTTGGCGTTGACTATATCTATGTTGCAACTCTGCATCTTTAGTATATCGTGTTCTATGCGTTTTGTGGTCTGAGCGTCTGTATCTTGTGTCATATCCTCATACCATAATACGTGTCATACATGACAGCTCGTCTTTTTTTAATGAAATTTTATAAAATAATGGAAATTTAAATAAAGCCTTCGCCAAGCGATGTAAGGTCTTTCAAACATTGCTTGAAAATATGTAGTAGTAGACTCCATAGGCGGGATTATAGGAATGGTTGTAAATAAGGTGGCAAACGTAATGTCTAATAAACCTTGCATATGTCAAAAAATACGTTAAAAATACAAACAAGTTTGTAAATATCTGTTAAATATCATGTTTGCCACCTTTTTTAGCATCACTTCTATGATATATGACCCAAAAATTAAGGTCTTGTGCAGTGAAGGAACAGAAGATCAAAAAAGAGCACAAAATTTCTCAAAAGATGAGGAAATTATGTTAGTATCATGCCACATGCAACAGTGAAACTTTAAATGAAATGATGAGATTACGAAATGATTCGCAAGAAATTCCAATACCACATGTCCACAGAAAACTAATTGATAAATCAAACTAAAAAATGAAAAAGTAAATAATAGAAAAACAAAAAAAAAACGCTTTTATAGCTAAGCGATCTAAAAAGTAGAAAATAATTTTTAATTACAGAGTTTATATTACGGTAGTAAATTCACAACAATCAGTTATAATAAAATTATAATAAAATTTAAGTTATTAACAGAATAATTCAATTCCGAGTAAAAGCATTTTACAACATTTCCTTCTCTCTCCTCTTATAGATGGTTGTCAATAGAATGATTGTAACATTTAATAGGTATATCAAGCACCCCACGCTTTTAACTCTGAATTTAATTCTTCTGTCAGTAACTTAAATTTTATTATAATTTTATTTTGAGGTCATTAATTATAATTGATTGTTCGACCATCTACTACTGTAATATACTAAGTGACATATAAATCCGAACACCCAGTTTAAATGGTTTTATTTTAATAAAATTTTGTATAAGTACTTAATGAAGCATAATAAGTAAATGATAAAAATTTCAAAATGATTGCACTGCTTTAAAGCCCTTTGACCTTTAATAATGTGTGGATGCACCCTGATGTGCTACGCATTCTCCAACGCGTCTAGGCATGCTTCTGATCAGGTGGTCAATGTTCTCCTGTGGTATCTCATTCCAGGCAACCACCAACTCCTCTCGAAGTGCTTCTAGAGTCTGATGAGGACGTTGCAAATTGAGCAATCTCCTACCCATCATATCTCACACGTGCTCAATTGGGGATAAGTCGGGAGATCTTGGTCGCCATGGTAACAATGTGACATCATTATGTTGAAAGAAGTCTATTGTGACTCTTGCAACATGTGGTCGGGCATTATCTTGTTGGAAAGTTGGATCTACCAGGGTGTCAAGATAGGGTAAAAGATGGGGTTCTAGAACTTCGTGGATATAACGCTGCACGTTCATGTTACCTCTGATGAAGATTAAAGGTGACCTGGAACCATAAGCTATAGCACCCCAAACCATAACTCCTGGATTCCTCCTTTCACCACGTCGCCTTCTAACCCTGGCACGACCATCGTGCAAGCCTAAACAAAATCGAGACTCGTCACTAAAGACAATACTGTTCCATTCCTGATCCCAGAGTGACCGTTGTCTGCACCACTCAAGGCGATTACGTCGGTGTTCTCGAGTTAAAGGGAGGACCCAGTGTGGCCGGTATGAAAACAAGCCAAAACTTCTGATTCGTCGGTAAACACTTCGCATGCCAATAGGTCTTCCGTGTTCTGCAAACCATTCATTTGCAATGGACTTGGTAGTGGAGAAACGGTCCCTTAAGGCCAATAATCTTAGGCGGCGATATTCACGGTCTGTTGTTCTACGGCGGCGTCCAGTGCCCCTTGCTCTTTGCGTACGGCCTTCTCGAAGCCATGCCTGACAACAGATAACCACAGTGTCTACACTTCTTTGCACTCTAACTGCAATTGCCCGAAAAGAAAGTCCAGCTTCCCGAAGTCCCACTATACGACCCCTATCAAACTCACTAAGATGACGAAATCGTATAGGTCTCCGTACTCTAGGCATCGTAACCGATCGTAAAGGATGTCAAGAACCAAAATCCGCCAACGTTGATTCTTTACTGCGGCTGAAATATTCATTTTTAGAGCGTTAGTGAATTAAACAAAAGCAGTATAAAAACCGGAATGTCCAACTGATAAGCCTGAAAATTTTTTCACTTGTTATTTACAGTAAGATAAATACATTCACCAACTTTTATTAAAATAAAGCCATTTAAACTGGGTGTTCGGATTTATATGTCACTTAGTATATAAACTCTTTCTAATTAAAAACTATTATCTACTTTTAAGTTCGGTTAGCTATAAAAGCGTGTTTTTTTTAGTTTTTTTGAACTATTATTTATTGTCCCTTCGTCTCCGCTATACGCAATCACGTCGTAATCCATAAACATGTTTCAGCATGAATTTATATTTCTTAATAAATATAAATGAATTTCTAATTTTTGAATAAACGCCAACGGTGCTGCTATCTAACCACAACCTTTCGAATTAACGCATAGATGGTCTTCTGGTTAACATTAACAACCATTTTCCTATAAACATGAAATTGAAAAACGCTTTTTCATAGACAACTATAAGTTAAGACCAAGATCGTGGTTAACCTGCGACTGGAAAACCGGACCTAAAAGTCATAGTATCTTTTGATTCAAAACTAATATCAAATGTCAAACAAGAATCCTGGGAACAATTATACTTTATAAATAATATAGACAAAGCAACGGGACTGTTCATAGAGAAAATAAAAAAACTAATAGATATTAGTACCAATAAAGTAATAATTAGTCACAAAGAGAAAAGCAGAAATGCCTGGATTACCAAAGGATTAATAACATCGGCAATAGAAAAAGAAAGACTATATAATGTAATGAAACTAACGCCAACTACAGAGAATACCGACTGTTACAACCAATATAAAAATAAATTTATAGAGCTTGCAAAGCAAACCAAACGAAAACATTACCTAAATAAATTGAATAATAACTTAAATGATCCTAAGCGGCTTTGGACAACTATTGATGAGATTACTGGGAAAACAAAATTTAAAGAGTGTGTCACTGAGTTAAATACAACATCGGGAACAGTATTAAAAATTACTCAACAGATATGCGATGAATTTGTACAATTCTTTACTGACATAGGCGAAAATTTAGCAAGTAATATACAAGCAAATGTACAAAATACTCAGCCTATAAAAAGAACTCTGAACTCATTTATTTTGGATAAAGTCGAATAATGTGAAGTATACACCACTGTTATGTCCTTAAAAAATCGGAAAAGTCCTGGGTTCGATGGTATTAAAAGCGAGCATTTGAAAATTATAGCCGAGGACATAACAGAACCACTCACTTACCTAATCAACAAATGCTTTAAATCTGGCATATATCCCTCAATTTTAAAAAAAGGTAATATAATACCGATACATAAATCAGGAACAAAAACAGATGTTAACAACTATAGACCAATATCAATAATATCCAGTGTAGCAAAGGTTTTTGAAAAAGTTTTATCTACTAGAATGATTCGATACCTCACAAAATTCAAAATTTTAAGTGAAAATCAATATGGATTTACAGAAGGGAAGGCTACATCGGACGCAATAACTAAAATTGTAAATCAAATATATCAAAATATTGATAACAGAATCCCTTCAATCTGCATTTTTGTTGATTTAAAGAAAGCTTTCGACACAGTTAATCACAAATTATTATTAGAAGCATTGGAGAGAATTGGTTTCAGAGGAAACGCGTACTCACTGATCGAAAGTTATTTGTCAAATCGCCCACAATCTGTGCAGATATCAAGATCATTTAGTAAAGAAGTGTATATTAAGTGTGGTGTCCCACAAGGAACTGTCTTAGGTCCGCTGTTATTCAATATATATTTAAATGATATTTTCCAAATTAATTGTGTTGGCAAAATAACTAGTTTTGCAGATGATACTGCAATATTATATGAAGGCACTGACTGGTCTGATCTGAAAAATGTAATTGAAAATGATTTTATCAAAATTATTCGGTGGTTCAACAGTAGAAAATTAAGCATTAACTACTCTAAAACACATTTTTTACCAGTTGGATCTTATGCTAGACATCTGCCAAATTACACAAATTTCTCCTTCAATATTAATGATCAAAAAATGCAAATTAATAGAGTGCCCAACATAAAATACCTTGGAGTGGTCTTGGATCCTTACTTACGTTGGGACATCCATGTCAATTATATTTTTAAGAAAGTTAGATTTGTATCCTACAAAATTAAATACCTTGGGAATATATTGACAGAAAAATATCTTCAAACATTATACCATGCACTGATTGAGCCTCATCTCACATATGGTATATTAGCATGGGGAGCTGCATGTTCCTCACATATCTATAATTTAGATGTTTTTCAAAAAAGTATTCTAAAAATGATATTTAAAAAACCGAAACTTTATCCCACTGAAAAATTATATGCAGATGTTCGAATGTATGATATAAGACAGCTTTATTTCTTACACAGTATCACTCACTACCATAAATTTGTAAACACCGACCAAAAAATTAAACATAATCATTATACCAGGTACAAAATTCGTGGCACAGTAGTTCCTCAACCGCATAAATCTATAATGCAGCGATCATATCTCTATTTAGCGCCTAAATTTTATGAAATTATACCTAAAAACTTAAAAGATTTACGTTTCGGAAATTGTTTCAAAAGAAATTTAAAAAAGTGGCTACATTCTATATCTAGGACTGAAATTCATAAACTCATAAATACAAACATCTACTAAATACATAATCTACTATAGCTAATTTTTGTCCTTTTTTGTCATTTGCATTCTACAGTTTCAACTTAAATTATTGGTCCATGTACAGGCGATGCCTTCTATTGGGCCTGTTTTGATTTTATATTTATTTACTCATATTGTTTGTTATCTTTGTACATTGAGTAAATAAATATCATTATTATTATTATCAAACCAATTAATGTGACTGAAAAAAAGTTTTTTTACGAATGCCAAGTTATCCAAAATATGGTATAAAGAATAGTTTCCCTTTTTTATTTCAGTACTCACACCACACCGTGGTATCGCTACGGTCGAAACAGAAAACACAATGGCATTGCTGGCAGCGAAAAACATCCTCAAATGTTTGGCTGGTGAAGAGATGCTTCACCCAGTTGTATGATATCGCATAATATATGATATGTAAAACCTCCGTATTGTATTTACACCCAAGCCTCTTGGTGTCAGGTAAATTGACACGCAAATCTGCCATAAACAAGATTATGTTCGGTTTAGTATGAAACTTAACGGCCCATGAACTATGATTAAAAAAATCGACAAGGTGCATGTGAGAATGAATATTACAAGTTGCATGATGTTTTTTTTTTAATTTTCACTTGACATACGCAACATATATACAATTCCTAACCAGCTCGAATGTTCAACCCCACCAGGTGCTCTGAAATGTCAAAAAGTGAAAATGAAGGTGATTATTTGCTTTTGTGTAAATGTCGTAGTTTGTCAGCGATTTATAATTATTCCAGTTTTTTGCTGACGGATTCCTTTTGAACTTAGAAAGTGCGGAATTTCTTCGTTTGGGGATTGATTTCAAATTAGGGGTGACCAGGGAGCTCTAGGCCTTGTGACTCACATGGTCCTAATATGACAATAAGCATTAACAAGTCCGTTGGTGTTGTCAACTGATACATGATTTATATTTGATCTGACATAGTTGATCCAAAAAGGAGTACTGCCTACTGCGCTACTGAGCGGGGCCGTGGCAAATGCTTGTTCCGGAAGTTGTTGTATCCAGTATACAACTTCTTCCCGTTCAAGTGATTGTTCACGCGTTAAGGTACCGATTGCCGGGTGGCGGTACAAGTCCACCAAGGGGCCAATTTAGGTCTATTTAATATCACTAACACATAAAACGAAGGTGGTAGACAACGACCAGTCGACCGAGGCGGTACCACCCGCTAGCTTTTCCCAGGGTGTCTTATAAATGTCTGCATGTTTCCACACCTAAGCTATGCAGTCGGTTATTTTCCAAAACAAAGAAATTAATGATGATGGATCCCTCAAGCATTAAGAACTCCAGACGTAAACTCACACCACTCTCGGAATGTCCGGGTGGAGGGTGGGCTTGAGGGAACAACATCGAAAAATTCATTTTTCGAACAACTTCGAAGTTGAGTCATTTATTTTAACAGTGAGTAGATCTGATCAAAAGAAATGTTTTTTTCCTTTAACATTTTTCTGGTAAAATTAAAGTAACAAAGTTATAGCCCTTTAGAAGTTTGAGTACCGCCCTGTCTCAATAATAATATTATGTGCTCGTGTTTGGCAACAACGGATATAATCCGCGTTATCGGTTCATCGCATCGGAAACAAAAAAGCGAAAGAATTTGAAACGTTTATCACGATGTTTTTCGTCAGTCGGTAACGCGTGAGTGAATGGTGGTGTTTGTTGCGTGGCTCAAACGAAATAAAAAATAGCACATGTTTACGAAAATGCTGAACTTGTGGACATGATTCTTATTTAGTCTTTACAAAATGCTGCCGCGGCATCACGGATTTGTGCGAATCGGTTTCCCAATCGAGTGCAACCAACCCCTCGTGCCTTTGTTAATGTAGTACAAAGGGCTCGTGAATCAGGTGACTTAAGACCTCACAGGGGAGGGCATGCCGGTGCTCCAAGACCGCACGATCAAATACAGGTCCGCACTGAAATACTTGTCGGGAGGATACTTTATAAAACAAGGTAACATTTTTTTAATGTTTTTTTTATTTTTACACACATATTTTGGTTTATCTTCCTTCTACAATCATTATCTGAAAATTAATGACTCAACTTCAAAGTCCCCAGTGGGGTTTTGTAAGAAGATTCTGTGTGCCTTGATCTTCTGCTGGCGAGCAGTGTCACATGATTTGTTAAACCAGCCGTTGGACCCCGGTTTAGGCACTTTCACTGTGCAACAACATTTTCGACTAAATGAGAGCAGCAGTTCATAGATGCCATCAGCTGTTTTTTGACGCCATGTTGTGTAGTGATATAACCACTATGATTGTAGATCTCTTTACAAGCCATAGATACATGCTCGTGGTTGATGCTAAAAAAAATCAATCAACTGAAAAATGCCAAAAACTTACAAACAAAACCCTAGGTTCATTACGTAAAGTAAAAGCTTCTTATTTGCAGACAATGCTTAACAATGAACGTTTGTCCAAGTGCTATAAGATTTTGGGTAAAAACGGATAACACTCGATCGGTAAACAAAAAGGTAGAAATTCCACAGGTTTTAAAAGATACGACAAACATTGATGATTATTTTGTTTCGATATTTGAAAATAGCAGCTTTGCGAAGAATCAACTGATTTTTTTCAATAACAGCAAATCAAGAAATGACCTAAATTTTTCATTCACAAACGAAGAAGAGGTCTGGACTACCCTAAAAAGTATTAAGTCAAATGCCAGTGGAAGCTACGGTATTAAAACCAAAATGATCAAATTATGTTTTCCAATGATCAAATGTCATATTGCACACATTTTGAATCAATGTTTAGTGAACAAATATTTTCCAAATTCATTGGAAGAATCACCGATCATTCTTGTTCCACAAATGTCTTTACCAGAGTCATATAGTGACCTAAACCGACCAGTTTGCTACCCGGACTATCAAAACTCCTTGAAAAAACCAGTTCCAATTCCAGCTAAAATTCTTGCCTGAGAATGACCTAATTGATGATATTTATTTATTTTATATTATTTATTGAAATCCACCACCAACAGTGTTAACCAATTACTGGTGGCAAAATAACAATAGAAATAGTAAAAAAAACATAAAAATACAACGAAAACTAAAAACTAAATCATTTCACTGCAAACTCTCTTAATATTCGAAATACTTGTGTTGAACAAATCAAATGTACTCTGTAGACTATTATAACATGAACACATCGAGTACAAAGGTGAGTGCAACAGTAAGTTAGTTCGTGGGGTAGGTAAGTAAAAAGTGAGTGTATTGCGAGTAACAAATTTTGTGAATCTTTCTTCTGTTATCAAGACTGATAATCTTGTGCTTACGTAACAGGTCTTCCTGTGGGACCCCAATGGGTGGGTACGTACCGTCGATTTTGAATGAAAGAAATTTCAGAAATTTCCGCAGAATCTTCTCCAGAGAGCCACAAGTTGTAACATAGCATGGATTCCATATTAGCCGTCCATATTCTAATTTAGACAGTATGAATGAATTATAAAGCATAATCATGGCATCTTTGTTACTTAATTCCTTTGAGTTACGTATTACAAATCCTAATAATCTGTTGACAGCATTAATAAGGTACTCAATATGAGGATTGAAGCTAAGTGATATGTCAAAAATCACACCCAGGTCCTTGCATTATTTTACTCTCAGCAGAGAATGATTGCCAATTCTGTAGTCAAATGCAATAACATCTAGCTTTCTGGTGTAAGACATAACACTACATTTACTGTAGTTAATTGGAAGTCGATTTACAGCACACCATTTAACTATTTTGGATAGGTCTTTTTGTAAGTGAGCACAGTCAGTGCTGCAGTCGACATTGGAAAAAAATTTCAGATCATCAGCATAGATTAAGTGGCTGCTGTCGATGTCGCTAACAATATCGTTTATGAACAGTATGAAAAGCAAAGGACCTAAGCAGGAGCCTTGAGGTACCCCTGAGGTTGGGAAGAATTCAATGGATTTGACACCCTCATATTCAACATATTGCTTTCTTCCTGATAGATATGACTTAAGAAAGGATAACAGCTTGGGGGAGAATCCAAAATAGCTCAGCTTCGTTAACAGAATACTGTGATCAAGTTTGTCAAATGCTTTACTAAAATCTGTATAAATTACATCCACCTGACTATTAGTATCTAATGCAGAGGAGACTGACTGAGTAAAGCAGGCTAGGTTAGTTATGGTTGATCTACCCTTCATAAAGCCATGCTGAGAAGTACTTATTTGGGAATGTGTATTGTGGTATAGGAAATTATGAAGCAAAGTTTCTAAGGCCTTGGAAAAGATATCGGTCTATAATTTTCAACCTGTAGTCTATCACCTTTCTTGAAAATGGGACGCGCCTTTGATTCGCCCCAAATTTCAGGAAACGTGTCAGTCTTTAAACATAGGTTGAAGATCTTTGTCAAGGGATGAGCTAAGACGTAGGCACAGTCACGCACTAAAAATGATGGAATTCCATCGGGTTCGGAGGTAAATTTATTTTTCATTTGCTTTAACACTGTAAAAACTTCTTCTTCGGAAAAGCTCTGAAGTATTATGTTAGTATGCAAGTCCGAAATATTGATATCAGTTGCGTTCGAAGGCATAGTATATACAGACTGAAAAAATAGCGCAAAAGCATTAGCAATTTCATTGGGTTTATCATACTGCTTACCATTATAGTTTACTTGGCTGATTGTGGAATTGTCCCCTTTTATTACAGATAAATGACCAGAAATTGTTCGGATCCTGAGATAGGCTACTTTGGATATCTACTAGATATTTTTGATATGCGTTACGCTCATCGCGCTTAATTTTGGTCCTTAAGTCTTTGAACTCAGTGTATGTGATCAAACTTTTATCCTTTTTAAACTTTCTGTGTAACAAATTTTTTCTTTTAATGCCTCTAATCATTTCACCGTTAAACCAAACTGGAAATTTGAGAGATCTGAGACTTGTCCTAGGGACACACATATTAAAAATTTTACGAAGAATGTTATAAAATGTTTCCAAAGCTACGTTTACATCTGTTAAATTGTCAAGAAACGTCCAATTAACCAAGCTTATTTGTTCATATAGTGCTACAAAATTGGCTTTTCTGAAATTATATGATTCTCTGGCGCATTTGATACTCTTTTTAGAATGGAAGCTCATGTTGATTATCATGACAAGCGGAGGATGGTGAACATCCTCAGGTAGTAGGTCATCATAAGCCTTAACGACGCTACATTGTTTATTTGATAACACTAAATCTAATAGCCTATTATTTTCATTCCAAACATCATTGAATTGAGAAAGATCGAAGAAACCCATAAATGACTGAATTGTTTTCTGCTTGTGAGAAGATTGGAGGTGATTTTCATTATTAAAAAATTCGGGAACATTAAAGTCACCTAGTATATAAATACTTTTTCCAAAGAGGTAATCAAGCGATTCTAGATGTTCAAAGAATCTTTCATAGCAGGAAGTACTCGTGTCAGGCGGTATGTATATCACAAAGAAATAAGTCACATCATTTTTATATCTAAGTTTGATTCCAATTATATCAATACTGGGAATATC